TGGTGTAAGGCCTCCACCTCAGGTGCCGGAAGCCCCCAAGATGGCATTCCCACTGGTGCCCTGCCTGCCCTGCCACCTCTGGTGGTGATGAAGTGGGCCAAAGTGACCCCTCTGGTGGGCCAAGTTTGGTGACAGGGATTTTTAACCTGCTTCAGCGGTGGAAACTTAAAGTTCTGAAGTAGAATTAGTGACATGGGAGGTTGACATCTCTGCCAGCATCGTGGCCCAAATCTGCTTCCCTTCTCTTTAAAAGTTAAAGTTTTAACCTTAAAAGGAAAATAAAAAAGATGCAATAAATCCTGATTATGGATCTGTCCCATCTACTTAGTTATACAGTATACTGCTTTCTGAGCACACAAAGTACTCACACATCTCAATAATCTCCCAGGTAGAGAAAAAAAATGTGGGCTGAGGGAGGAGAGAGCTGTCTTTTCCTCCACATGGCAGTGAAAGAGACGAGGCTTAGAAAGGATGACTTACTCAATGCCACCCAGTTTGTTGTTAATGGCTGAGGTGACATTGAACTAGGGAAATCTGGCTCTGGATCTCTTAACGTCTAAAGCAAGGATGGGGGAGCTTTTTCATCCCCTTCTGGGCAAACTTTTGGGGGCCGCATTCAGTGGTGATCAGGGCCCGAGGGAAAAGTGAGCAGAGCAAGGAATGTAATGTTTACCTTTGTACAGCAGGTACACACCCTCTGCACACACACACACACACTCCCCCCACTCCATCCTTCATCTAGACAAGCACCAGGCAGCCCTAAAATACCCCCACAAAGTAGTTCCCATGAGGAGCGTGGCCTAGGGAGAGCCCCAAGGGACAGATGGAGAGGTCAAGAAGGTCACAATTGTCCCCCAGACCTGAGGTTCCCCACCCATGGCTGCAGTACACCAGCTCAATCAGGGCAAGTGTTTTTCTTAACCTGTTCTGCATCAACAAAGCATTATACAATAGGCAAAAATGCAAGCTACATGGCCACAAATAATTCTTTAAATTCCGTGTATTATTTTCATAATACTAGAAAGGACAGCCAGGAATTTATGACTACTGATAATCATCATTAGCTCGGGGATTGGAAGGACTAATTAAAGACTATAAATGGCACATTCCTTCTGAGCACCCTTAGGAAAATTGCACGGATCGAGTAAGTCTCCATTGCTCTGGGGAACTCCTGTCTCCTGGCAGAGGTGGATTTAGGGGAGCATGACCAGTTCAGGTATAGAGCCTTGAGAGTGCTGCAGGGGCGCCTCAACTATGATGTAGAATGGAAAGCAAGAGGCAGACAGTGCCAAATTTTGGGGTTGCACAGGGCACCCATTTAAATTTGAGACTCCAAGGTCCACTATTGCTCTTGAGCACGCCGGGGAAAGTAACTTTCTGTTGGACTATTTGCAGAATTCATACTATGCTTGCAATTGTATCTTGCTTTTTTGCAAAGAGCCAGACTGGAGAAGGAGACAGGGACTGCCTGAGTATACCTGTAGGAAGAAGGGTCCTGTTTTCATTAGTACATTCTGAGCTTTTTTCAGGACATGCAGTGCCTTCATTTCAGGCAGCACTTAACTGAGAGATAGCAGGGCTCCAGCGTGCATAGAAGCTATTAACCTCAACAATGCAGACACCAGTTGCCAAAGCCCAGTGCTTCAGGCACTAGGAATAGCAAGCCAACAGCTCATGTGACACAGAATCATAGAATCACAGAACTATAGAGTTGGAAGAGACCATGAGCGCCATCAAGTCCAACCCCCTGCAATGCAGGAATCTTTTGCTCAATGTGGGTCTTGAAATTAAGAGGTTCATGCCTTACCAACTGAGCTATCCTATGGCAGTTCTCTGGAAGGCAACCAGCTTCCCCTGGTGTGTACTGCTGCACCGGGAAGGAGGATCCCAACACTCTTACCCAAGGGTGATGTGAGGTGGCAGTGGAGATCAGGGAACTGTTATCTCTACACTATGCAGGCATATAGCACCACCTAGTACAGGCCACTGCCATAACTGCTCACACTCACACAAAGCATTGCCACCCACCCAGGAACCGTGTCCTCCCAAAGTGCTGAAGTAATAGCTCTTGTACCTACGGTACCACCTTGCAAAAACGTCTGGTAAGGCAATCTTTAGCCCAAAACATCCAGAGGGCACTGGGATATTGTTTCAGGCCAGGTCCTGGCTAGAGAGGGTCCACAACAATAAATGAATGTTGCTCTGTTGGACATACAGCCCTTAAAAAAACCCACATTCTTGCTTTCTCGGTCCTAGGATAATGAACATTTTGTGAAATTGACTAGCCAAAGAGGCACAGAGACAAATGAGTTATTTCCACAGTGAACTGGAGAGTTTATAACTTGTCCCATGCTACATGTCACCAGGACTCATGCAGTGTTTGCTCAAAAGCTGTTTTGTTTACTGTACCATTGTGGGAGGAAATTGACAACATGGAAATGCTCGAGTCAGTTTAGCAGATGCTCTTGCCGAGTTCAGTAACCCTTACAGTAACCCCCTGTGTAACAAGCATGGAATGCTGATGCATGTCTGAGGATTCAAAAATAGATCTGTGTGCGCATACAGTTCTAGGAGGCAAGTTAAGGAGAAAGGAATTCAAGGAACAAAAAGAGAGAGGAAGAGTTGCAGAAGTCCTGTCCACTTCTGACCATTGTGCTTCATTAAAGCAAGGAGGGCTAATTCTGAAGGTCTGCTTTGTGTCTTGTTCTTAAAAGCAAACCTGAAGCATTTGTGAAACCATCGTGCTTGGGATTTTTTGTTGAGGTTCCTTTTAAACTCAAGGTCATTTTCAGTGTCCTTGTGAAATATTTCCTGTGGCTTATTTGAAAAACTTTCCCCACATTCCTTTCAAAAAGATACTGCATTTTGTTTTGAGCTTCTCTGTAAAAAAAACTTACTAGAAACACGTGGTTGAATTGAGGATACTTAAGAAGTTACTAAGGAACTGGTTGTTTGAACTTAAATATTTGTGGCAGAGCATTCACCTGCAGCACCAGAGTAGCATCCTCCTACAAGGCCGCTGTACCAGTAGAATTTGTAGGGCTCAGTGTGGAGCAATTGAACATGCGAAGGAAAAAGATGTCTTTCACCTGTAGAGTGCATTCCCGTCAGTGAGCAAAGCCAGAGGTAAAAGTGGGTGGAGTTTGCAGCATTGCATAGACTGGGCCCCTCCATTCAGGTGTGTCTTTGAAGGTGTATCCTTCAACATGGGGTATAAAAAGTTAATGGGATTTAAGCAGGAAGTTACAGGATCTGCACTGATTGGAAATGAAGTGGTGTGACTGCCTCAGAACTTTTGCAGGCATAAACAGTTATTGAAAGCAGGATCATGTGTGACTACCCTGAAAGCATCATTTGCACAAATAATCAGGAATGTGCAAGAAGAGGAGTTTCCAGAGGGGCCCTTAATGAGCTAACCCCATCTCTCTGCCTCTTCCTTCCTCTCCTCATTAGTCACACATAGGAGATGGCAGGCAGGATATATGGGGTGCTTACCCTCCCTGAAGGGATGCGGGTGACACCGATCAGAAGTCGGCGGTTTGAATCCCCGCAACGGGGTGAGCTCCCGTTGCTTGGTCCCTGCTCCTGCCCACCTAGCAGTACGAAGGCACATCAAAGTGCAAGTAGATAAATAGGTACCGCTCCGGCGAGAAGGTAAATGGCGTTTCCATGCACTGCTCTGGTTTGCCAGAAGTGGATTAGTCATGCTGGCCACATGACCAGGAAGCTGTACGCCGGCTCCCTTGGCCAATAAAGCGAGATAAGTGCCACAACCCCAGAGTTGGCCATGACTGGACCTAATGGTCAGGGGTCCCTTTACCTTTACTACCCTCCCTGAATGGAAATGAATGAGGATAAAGTAATCTCTCGCTCCATTTCACTGCATAGGGAGGGAAGCATGTGGCTTTTTGGAAGAGAGGCGCTCTTATGGATGCTTCTCTAGAGATCAGCAGTTATTTATTTATTTCGTTCCTGCCACCTGGGTTCCACTTGCTGTTCTGCTTCAGCACTCCCCCATGCTCCAGATAAAGAATGGGCAAGGATCCTCTTCCACTGCCATACTAAGTAGCTTATTTCTTAATAAATATATTCTGCAAATTCATTCCTGGAGAAATACTGAACATCAAAGAAACCACAAACACTCTAATCCTAAACACTTATACTGATAAGCAAATCCCATTGACCGCAGTGGTATTTATGCCTGGGATTTCAGTTTCTATTTAACATTTAGTACACAATTGTACCCAGCAAACATTCCATGGGGCTCACTCCCCATAAAGTATGCCTTAAATATGTATGTGTTTATTTATTTATTAAAAAAGAAATGCTTAATTAAATACATATGTTTTAATGAAGATATAGATTTAAGTTAGTGCTTTGCCGAAGAAATAATTTCTTCACTCTCTGGATGGGGATAAAACACAATCCTCCCCAAAATCACAGGGTGTGTGCGGGGAGAAGACATTTCTCTGAACCTGTGGGACTTTCCCCCATTTCCCCCGCTTTTTAAACACGTTTTGATGTCAATGGATTCCGGAGTTCTTCTTTAGCCAGGCAAAACACAAAACATGTTTGCCTGCTGTTGGACTTCCCATGGTCATCTGGTTAGCTCTCCATACATCTTCTTTCAGGCAGGAGAGGCACTTGCCAGTGTTTAAACACAAACTTTGTTTCTTTTTTCATCACCTTGTTGCTTAAGGCAGATCTGTTCCACTAGAAAGAATGTCCACTGAAAACAGACAATGGTATGTGAAATAAGAGGGGAAGGCCCAAGAACAAGCAGAAATGTTACTGTTAAGTTGTGGGTGAACATATCAGACGACACAGCGATTCTTCAAACAGCTCTTGTTTATTCCCAGGCCAGAACAGAACTGAACTGAAGGGTTCAGTCAGCCTGCTTATATAGAGCTCCAGTACAATGTAACTGTAACAATTTTCTAAAACTATCCAATCACTGAACGTCACTTTTGATCCCTTATTGGCATAACTATCTACAGTATCCCCCTGCTGGCCCAGGGTGAGAACTTCAGTACATAACAGTTACCTACAGTGGAAGTCCCCAGACAGGCCGAGTGATCATTGCTGAGTGATGACCAGTGTCACCATCTTCATGAAGCATCCATATAACCCTGTTAAAAAAACAACACCTTCAGTGTCTTGGATTGGGAACAGGAACTAAGAGGAGCCAATGGCTAAGGAAATGCATGTTAGGAACAAAACTAGAGTCTCAGCAGAAAGTCCTGCAACCAATTTCCAGGTTTGTGTGTAGTTTTCTTTCCTCTGTAGTAGGTTTGTGAGATAAAGAATGCCAGCCAGCTGGTCTCTCGGCCAGCAGCAGAAGCTGACTGGCTCTGGACTCTCTGCACTGAGGGATGAGTCGCACTTAGAGACAGGCTAGCTGGGAGAGCTCAGGTGGAAGGAAGCGCTGAAGCTCAGTGGTAGAGAATATGTTTTCTTTTTATGCAGAAGGTCCCAGGTTCCAATCCCAGGCATCTCTAGATAGTTCTAGGAATGTCCCCTTTCTGAACCCTGTATAACTGCCTGTCAGTGCAGGCAATGCTGAGGTAGATAGATGAATGATCTGATTCAGTAGAATACATCTTCCAGTGTTCCTATGATCCCATGAGGTGAGTGCATTCACAGTATTCAGAGACTCCACAATAGGGATGGGCAAATAGGTCAGTTTCTGTTTCTCATTTTCCAGCCTTAAATTTGCCTCCCCACACTTCCACATCTGTTTGTGAATTTTTAAAAACTAGTTCTCATAAATAAAGTATCATCTTATTGTGAATTTCTCCTAATATCCTTTTTTTGGGGGGTATGCAATATTGCCTAATACAGTGGTACCTCGGGTTACATACGCTTCAGGTTACATACGCTTCAGGTTACAGACTCCGCTAACCCAGAAATATTACCTCAGGTTAAGAACTTTGCTTCAGGATGAGAACAGAAATCGTGCTCCGGCGGCGCGACAGCAGCAGGAGGCCCCATTAGCTAAAGTGGTGCTTCAGGTTGAGAACAGTTTCAGGTTAAGAACGGACCTCCAGAATGAATTAAGTAACCCGAGGTACCACTGTATCCAGAGTTAGATCCTGCATTTAAATTAACAAATAGAAGTGGTAATAGGCAGAGGCAGAGGCATAAGTACTGATTTAAGGCTTTCTTGCCAAGGGATATTGTTTAATCTTGGACCTTGGTAGGTATCCTTTTAGAAATGAGGCACTGGTTGTTGTTTTTTGGAACGTGGAATTGTCTTAGTTATTGGCGTGCATTTATTTTCACTTAGGAAGGCATGCCATGAGTTGCTATACTAGAAAAGCGAAATCTGAAGTAACCTCAATTGTTCTGGGACAACAACAACAAGAAAAGATTGCGCCACAAATTAAATAATAAAAAAGTTAATGTTTTAAACAGAAAATCTCATTAAAAATAAACAAATTATTGCTGGGTCATCCAAAGTTCAGAGCAGCCTTGCTGATTGTGAATATTCAGTGAAACATTGAACTGACGTCAAAGGAGGCTAAGGCTAGATGCCACCTGTGATAGCCCTGCTTCTAATTAATGCAGCTTTTGCCAACCTGGTGCCCTCTACGTGTTTGGGGCTCAAGCTCCCATTGACATTAATGCATACACAAGGTTTTTATTAAAGGTTTAGAACTCCGACTGCTTCTCAGATTGCAGTTTTGCTGTGTAACTTGAGCTGACGTACATAGGAAATGGAAAAATGTTCCGTTGTAAACAGAGGCTAGACAAACAACAAAAACGCCTGCGGACATGATTTCATTCCATTTGCTCCCGCTATTATCTTATCAGTTTTAAAATGAAACATAAGCTAAACAAATGAAATGCCACTGTTTTTATAAACAGATCTCTTCCATGTAAACTCATGCCACAGGTGCTTTATAGGAACATAGCAAGGCATGCAGCTACCCTAATATGCACGGTGACATACTAGTTTTGAAAATGGGAACCTGAGGCGTGGGATTCTTGAATGAGGATAAGATTGTTGCGTGATGAGATTGTTATAGGTGAATGTTAAGGGGAATGTAAGTTGAATGGTAAATGTGCATAACAACCAGCCATTGTGTACATTCACCAGGCCTCAGTAGGCCCTTTAAAAATCCATACATGCTCAGGTTGTGGCAAACATTTCAAGGATAGGAAACGTTTTGTTAGTTCAGCAGCAATTTTAGTGCAAAGTTCTCCCAATATACACATTTGTACATGCAGTTTTGCCATATATTCACATTTTTGCAAGGCAATGTTTCCTAATACAATCCATTTTCTAAACTATTTTCACAAATATATGTATTTATATACATTTCCTCTAGTATGTGCATTTTTACCCAGATTATTTGGCTGAACAACAGCCATCCTATGATGTTGTGCACTTTTCCCAAATTTTGCAAAATTCAGAGAAGTGCAAATTTCAAAGGCTTCAGTTTGTGCATTGTTACATCTTTCAATGTGACCTCATCAAAGGTGTCCCTTATCCCTGACTGCAGGTGGTTGGTTACCCACTGGCTCTCTTGCTGCAAGGCAGCAGGCTCCTTATTGGGCTGCCCAGGTACAGAGGTCACTAAAGGTGAGGCAGCCGGTGACTCATTTCCCCACCCCGTTCTCAGTTTCACAGCAGTGACCACTGGCTTATATAGCTTGCTTGTTAACTGAACCACGGGAAACTGAGACCCAGTGAAACTGAAAGTAAATGCTGCCAAAGCCCTAGGGTTGTGAGCGTGCAAGCCTGATCCTTCACTCGTGACTACACAATTGAGGCCTTTCTCTAGCATGGGAAGTTTTTATTGACTCCCACGTTATTCATCCATGTGTTAATCACATATTTAAAATGTGTTGTTGATGAGACTCTAGTTGAAGTTCAACGCTAAAGTTGCTTCATCGATTGAGGCATTGCTGTAAACAAAATTCAAGCAATGTGCACGTAGGTTTCCAAACAATACTTGAATTGTCTCGTCGTTGTGCAGAATGGCCTTGTCTGAAAATTTTGTACGACCTCATTTGCTTAATGCCTTTCGATGACTGTTGGTTACTAGCTATCCAGCACATTCAATCTGGGTAAGGCCTCAGGGAAAGTGCCTGAGAATTGGAATGTACAGTAGTCAGTGGAAGAGAAGGATCCTAAGGGGTGGGGTTGGCAGCCAGCTGGCAAAATGCAACTCCGTGAAACAAATGTTGCTTTAAAGGAGAAACACACTGTTTGCCTAAGGGTCTTCTCCTCTGTGCTCAACTTGAATATTTTATAAACATGTATTACACAAAGCACTATAAGATTCTCATACTCTCTTCCCAACCAAATTCCTACCAGCTGCTGAGCCATCAAGAGTTGCTAAGTTCAGGTTTTGGTGTCTCATCCCGGGAAATGTGATAGAACAAGAGAGATCTTTCAAATAGTTTAGCCCTGACCTTGTCCACAGTCGCCAAGCAGTGAAAGCTTTTAGCACCGCTATGCTGGTGCTTGCGCTCTGCCTGGGAAACAAGCATCCATGTATCAGTAGGTACATCAAGTAGGTATTAGGGCTAGGTGTGTCAAAGGAGGGCTGGAGTACTGGCTGAGGGGCGATACGTTTTGTGAAATACTTTTTTCTGGAGCGTCGTGTGTGTGTGTGTGTGTGTGTGTGTATGTGCAGAAGAATGTAACATAATAATTCATATAAACAATAAAAAAATCCCCCAATCCTAACTTAAACATATTTATTGATATATGTGTATATTTATATTTAGATGTCCAAATGAATATCCAAACGAGACTGATGATCATTTGATAAAAATTCAAACATAGAAAAGGCAGTGAGATCTTCAAACCACTGAGTAATGGAGGTTGAGTGCTTATCCTTCCAGTCTTGAAGCAGAAGTCTCTTTGCCACCATAATGTCTCATAGGATCCGCTTTCATTGTGCCCACAAAAAGGGAATGTAATTTAGAAGTGTCTGAACACCTGAAAATATAAATAATTCCAGTTGAGTTGCCCGTTATGGCGGACAGGAGCTCTTTCGCGGAAAGGGCGCCGGTGCTTTGAAGCCAGGGGAGAACCACTAGAGCGCCGCGGTACCCCGAAAAACCCTCAGATCGAGCGTTCTGAGGACCTGGTGTTCCTGTGGGTGGGTGGAACAACTCCCCCGCTCCCCGATAAGCTCCAAAAAGAGCGCCAAGTGCGAGCGGGGTTGGAGACGGAGGCACTTGGGAATTGACGCGCTTCCTTCATTGCACGAAGCTCTGAGTCCGGCAATCATGAGCAGCCAATTCCTCCAAAGAAAAATCGATTGGAAATTCGTGAGTAAAAAGATATAAATTTGACTCTTTAATTTGGAAGTTGATGTGGAGTCCAATACACCTGCAACGTCATTTTGAGCCCACGGACAAATAATGTTATTAGTTTTGGTGGGTGGGTGGGGAGTAGGCTGTATACCAAGAACCCTCTAACCCCTGGATACAGCAAGTGTTAAAATATAAGCCAGGCTACCTTTCAGTTGAGGTGATAGCCTGGACAACGAGCCATTAGCGGCAACAAAGGAAATGAATCTGTGTGATGTGGCAAATGGGTAGGCCTCCGTCCCTCAACTCATGAGTAGTTAGAAGAAGAGTTTTGCAGTGATGTGAGCTAGAAGCAAATCGGCAAACTGGGGATAGAGAGGGCAGTGTTTGATTTCTGTTCGAATCCAAGCCTGTGGCTATGGGAGAAGCAAGACCCTTTTGGGGTGTTGATGCTGTGAGCCCCTCCATCGTAGGCTCAGGTGGTTTATATATATAAACCATATATTATAAAGACACCACAGCCTTCACTGTGCCTCCTTTAGTAGTAGTAGTAGTAATGATGATGATAATAATGATAATAATGTATTATTTCTACCCCACTCATCAGACTGGGTTCCCAGCCACTCTGGGTGGCTTCCACCGTATATAAAAACACTGTAAGACATTACACCTTAAAAAGCTTCCCTATACTAGGCTACTATCAGATGTCGCCTAAAATATATATAATTACTCATCTCCTTGACATCTGATGGGAGGGCATTCCACAGGGTGGGCGCCACTACCGAGATGACCTCTGCCTGGTTCCCTGTAGCTTTACTTCTCGCAGTGTGGGGACCACCAGAAGGCCCTTGGTGCTGGATCTGAGTGTCTGGGCTGAATGATGGGGAGGTGCTCCTTTAGGTATACAGGGCCCAGGCTGTTTAGGGCTTTTTTTTCCTTTCCTTTTTTTTATAATAGTTAGTTTTTATTTCATTTTAATACAACACATACAAAAAGAAAATATGAGGCTTTTTAGGGCTTTAAAGATTAGCACCAACACTTTGAATTGTGCTCAGAAATGTACTGGGAGCCAATGGAGGTCTTCCAGGACCAGTGTTTTATGGTCGCAGTGGCTGCTCCCAGTCACCAGTCTAGCTGCTGCATTCTGGATTAGTTGTAGTTTCCGGATCACCTTGAAAGGAAGCCCCATGTAGAGCGCATTGCAGTAGTCCAAGTGGGAGAGAACCAGCACATGTACCACTCTGGCAACACAGTGCGCAGGCAGGTAGGGTCTCAGCCGGCGTACCAGATGGAGCTGGTAGACAGACACAGAATTAACCTGTGACTCCATGGACAGCTGTGAGTTCAAAATGACTCCCAGGCTGCGCTCCTGGTCCTTCAGGGGCACAGTTTCCCCATTCAGGAAACATGAACTTTGGAAACATGAACTGTGTGAATGACCAAGAGCCCTTTGATTCATGCACTGCTCAGAGACTGGGGAGGTGTGCAATAATAACAAATCATCTGCACAAATAACTATTTTAAATTCCACTTCATGTAAAAAACAACAACCATGAATTTTCCTATTCTGCTCCAAACGCAAATAAAATATCAACGGAGAAAGGACAGCTCTGCCTCATACTTCTCCAAACCAAGCACACTTGAAAGAATTCCATTTGTTCACACCTGTGATTGCTGAGAAAGCTGTAAGATTCTATTCCAATTCTTAAATTCCCAAGGAAACCTGGTGAGAGCATGGCAAGGTTGTGGGATTGTTATGCAATACAATAAGAGCCCTCAGGTGATACTAAGCCAGTTCATTCAGTTTATTTGATCTACCTTCTTTTAGCTATACAGCTGCAACATTACTCATGATATCACCAGCCACAATCAAAGCACCAGAACACATTCCACTTTCATTGTCAGCATTAGCTAAAGGAGAATGAAGTTCTAAGCTGCCTAGCACAGGCTCTCATGGTCCTCTCCTTTCAAAGTAAACATTGACAGGTATATCTTTGCTTGATTAAAAAAAAAGACCTATTGCCAGCTCTATGTTGTTGGCATCCATCTGTCTCGAGAGACAATGGAGTGCGTCTCTGGGGGTAAAATCAAACTGCTGCATTAGCCTGGCGGTCCTAAGCTGCCCAGATGACAAGGTCCCCTCTTGACCACATTGATATGGTTTCAAAGGACAACAGAGCAATACATTAGGCACCAGCTTAGGAGCAGGGATTGCTGGAAAGAGGAGTACAAGGTGCCATCCAACCGTCTCAGGGACTCCAGATTTGTATATGGTTTACTCCTTAGTCTTTTCTTCTCCTGAAGTTATCCCACAAGGTAGCAGAGGTGTAGGATCAGAGCTTTCCTTCTCCTAGATGGGCTACCTTCCCAGGTTGAAGAGCCCCATCTGCCCCCTCTACAGCCCATGCAGAAACTGCTTTCTTGACCATTGGATCCACTGTTGGTCTCATCCACTCAATCCGCCGGAGCCTGTCTTCACATGCAAGGGAAGTCTCTAACTCACTGAGGGTTTGAGACCCATCGGCTATCTCACCTGGTTTAGTTGGCCCGTTGAAGCTGTTTCCTGGGGTGTGGCCTCTGTCACATACTGACAGCTTCTAGGAGCCACAGGTAAGAGCTGAGTGCAGGGTGGGGACCAAAGGTGGACAAACTACCCCAGGAGGAGCACAACAAATCCCCCACCAGAGGCACTACCCCTTCCCTAACATGCCGTATACCCATGGTATTTTTTAATATATATATATATACAGTGGTACCTCGGGTGGTGCTGTCGTCTAAACCACTGAGCCTAGGGCTTGCCGATCAGACGGTTGGTAGTTCAAATCCCCACAACGGGGTTCGAAAGCACGTCAAAGTGCAAGTAGATAAATAGGTACCGCTCCGGTGGGAAGGTAAATGGCGTTTCCGTGTGCTGCTCTGGTTTGCCAGAAGCGGCTTAGTCATGCTGGCCACATAATCCGGAAGCTGTCTGCAGACAAATGCCGGCTGCCTCAGCCAGTAAAGCAAGATGAGCTCTGCAACCCCAGAGTTGTCCGTGACTGGACCTAACGGTCAGGGGTACCTTTACCTTTACCTCGGATTACGAACTGAATCCATTCTGGAAGTCCTTTCTTAAACCGAAACCATTCTTAAACCGAGGCACACTTTCCCTAATGAGGCCTCCTGCCACTGGCGCCTTTCCACCTTTCGGATTCCGTTCTTAGACCGAGGTAAAGTTCTCAATCTGGGACACTATTTCCAGTTTTGTGGAGTTCATAAACCGAATGTTCTTAAACAGGACTGTTCTTAAACCGAGGTACCACTGTACTGGGGGTTATCACATAGGTGAGTTGCTAGAGAGCCAGTGTGGTGTAGTGGTTAAAAGCGGTGGACTCGTAATCTGGTGAACCGGGTTCGCATCCTCGCTCCTCCACATGCAGCTGCTGGGTGACCTTGGGCTAGTCACACTTCCCTGAAGTCTCTAAGCCTCACTCACCTCACAGAGTCTTTGTTGTGGGGGAGGAAGGGAAAGGAGATTGTTAGCCGCTTTGAGATTCCTTAGGGTAGTGATAAAGCGGAATATCAAATCCAAACTCTTCTTCTTCTTGCAACTTCTGGTTGCCCAAGTCATCTGGACTGCAGGATAAGTATTACTCCAGAAACTTAGGACTAACATCACACCTGTTCATTTAGTGAGCCTCAATAAGCAAGAGCTAGAACTGGCACATGGCTCCATCTCTTCTCCAGAGAGATGCAGGAAGGACACAGCTTAATCCTCCTGCTCTGTAGTATTGAGACAACTTGTTTGCCAAACAAGTGTTCTTTCACTGCTGCTGTCCCCATCCGCTATCCTTTAGCAAGGGCGTTTGGATGGGGCTTTGCCAATTCAAGTGTTCTCAGGATTGCATTCCTCCCTTACAGATTGGTCCATTAAATATAGCACATGCTCTTGGCATCAAATGTGGGGCAAGGGGAACAACCTGTAAACACTCCTTGCACATGTTTCTTTAGCAAGTTATTAAGTTATGAGGGGGGACTGGGCCAAATGGACAGAGCAGAGCTTGATGAAGAGAAAACAGGAGAACCATATTTGCAAAGTGCCTCATTTTATTTCCTGTATTTTCCCTGATCTTCAATACCCAGTGATTTTTGCCTGCCATAGAAGTGATCCCAAATCCACCTAATCAGAACAGAACAGAAGCTGGTACAACTTGAAAATGCAAGGAAGGAAGATGGCTTGTCTTGTTGATTTTGCTAATTTGCTCTGTGGCTTTGAATTGTTTTACGCACTGTTTAATGTTTGCCTGTTTTCAGCTTGCGGAACTTTTATTGTATTTGCATTGGGGGTTTTTTGTATGCCACCTTAAGAGCCCTCTGGGAAAGTGGCTCATACATTTCAAGCCAGACAGGTCAATCTTGGGCATATATGACTGAAACTGCTTTTATTTATTCAAGAGTAAAGCAAACCACCTGATCATTTTGTTGATCATGCAATATATCTGCTGATTTTACATGTCATGCAGTGCAACCCTGTCTATGTTTACTCAGAAGTATGACTTGCTGTTTTAGTGGTTCTTACTCCCTAGAAAATGTACTCAGGATTGCAGCCATTGAAACTGTGTATACATCATACATTAAAAGCACATAACTTCCCCCTCCCCCCCAAAAAGCATCATAGGAACTGTGCTTTACCCTTCATAGAGTTACATTTCCCTTTTTTAAAAAAACTACAATTCCCAGGATTATTCCCCCCCCCCCCACCCGGAAGTCATGAACTTTAAATGTGTAGTGTGTATGCTGGGTAGCCAATGCAGTGCTGTATAGATCTTTTGTAGGGTTGCCATACATCTGGATTTTCCCAGACATTACTGGAATTTCAAAGGCACAATTGACATCCGGGGGGGATTTTCGAAAGTCAGCACTTTGTCCTGGATCTTAGGCAAGTCAATCGAAAAATCATGTTTATTTGGCAATTTTGTAAAAAAAAATCTCAGCAACTTAGGGGTTTTCCTTAAAAAAGCTCCACAACTCTTTCGGGGTGTCCTGGTTTTTTACTTTTTGAAATATGGCAACCCTATCTTTTGGACTACAATTTCCATCATCCTGACCACTGACCATGTTTGCTAGGGCTGATAGGAGTTGTAGTTCAGAATATATGGAGAGCACCACTTTGGCTTGCCTTGCATGTGCTACATCTGCACATTCTCATGTAGGAAAAAGCATATAAACAATCAGCTATGATGACTGCACTTGCATCTGTTTTGCTGCAGCTCTCTAGCAGAAAGGGCTTTACCCAGGTTTTGCACAACTGAATTCGAAGGAAGGGCTGAGAACTGGAATGTGTGCAAGCCTATGCTGGAGCGGCCCCAGCACACAGAAGTCAGTAGTACTTTACCTTGCCTAACCCTGGGAAGGATTAGAAGGCAAACCTGCTAGACTCCAACAAATTGGCAATCCATGTAGCAGCCCCAGATTTAGGGCTGTCTGGGCAGCTCCACCACACAGGGCACTGAGCCAAGGGGGCACATAATAATAATAATAATAATAATAATAATAATAATAATAATAATAAAAGAAGAAGAAGAAGAAGATTTTTACAGCTATCTGCTGAGAAGATCCATAAAAAGCAACTGTACCAACATGAATTATTGTGAAAAAAAGAAATATTTAAGGCGGAAGCACCCAATTTTGTCCTCGCTCAGGGTGCCATCTTACCAAAGTCTGCCCCTGAATGTTGCTAATCAAATGTGAGTAAAGAAGAGTTCAACAACAGTGTCAGGGTGTTGTGACATCATCAGAGCCTGAAGCTGTAAAAGCCTGTTGAGTAGCTAAACATCCTGTTTATGCTTCTTATTTCTTGTACTTCTAGTATTGTATGGCAAGCTGCCATTCTGGCAAATGGGGCAATTACGGAGAAAAGAGCCAGCATTGAGATGGAGAGAGGAAATACATATACCTCCTAAAGGCATCTTTTGCCTCCTATTAGGGTGCCCTCTAAATAACCAGTCTATGGCCTTCTTAAAATGTGTGCCTATCCAAATAACGAGTGTTTAACATAGTAGAAAAAGGAAGTGACAAATGATGAACAGCTGGTGCAGTTAGTTCATTAACAATACAATCCTATGCATCTCTACTCAGAAGTAAATCCGATTGAGAGTGCAGCTCCATTAAGGGTATGCAAACTCCCATCCATTCAGTTCATGGAATGCCGTGAGGCTGGGTCTTCATCCCCTCAATTGCCAGAGCCAATAGGATAACCCTTTTCTGAAACATACAGGTGACTCCCCACTTACCGGGCTATGTTCCAGTGCCCTGCATGCATAAATGAAAATTGCGTAAGTGAGGAGCACCCTCTAAAAACAACCTTTAAATGCCCTCTCTACCACTCCCTCTCCAACCCAGATCAAAACTACTGTACAAAGAATATCCACAACTGAAATTGAAGCAATGGGGCGAGCTGGAGGACACGTGGAAAAGCAGCTGCTTCTGCTACGCTACTACGCACAGTAGCTGTTAGGTGGGGAGGCTGAGCAGCCTAAACAAAGCCCCTGTGCCTTCAGTCTCTTCTCTGCCCTCACTGAAGTCCTTGTCAGGCTCTGGGGAGGGTCTCCAGCTCTCTCCCTTCATTTCCTGATATGAAACAAATTATTTAATTATTTTCCAGTGCCGCACATATACAAGTTGATTGTGCACAAGTAGAGTGTCATGGGCTTTGAATGCACTCGAACACAGGACAAAAGGGAGAAACAAGCTAAGAGGAAGGCACACTTGGCAAACCATCATTGTGATCAACTCCTGCCCAGAAACCTATGTCCTCACTGTGGAAGGATGTGTGGATCCAGAATTGGCCTCCACAGTCACTTACGGACTCACTGTTAAGACCATGGAAGACAGTCCACGAGTGATTGCCAAAGAAGAAGAGAAACCTGTACTCAAAACACTTTTCAGTGATTAAAGTCATCGTACAATCAGATTCTTACAAAATAGATGATGGCACCTTTAAATCAGGAAGAGATAGTAAGCTGTCATCCTTATTTATATTCATGTATGTATTAACAGTGCTTCTGTTGAGTATCTATTGTACAGTGGTACCTCGGGTTACAGACGCTTCAGGTTACAGACTCCACTAACCCAGAAATAGTACCTCGGGTTAAGAACTTTGCTTCAGGATGAGAACAGAAATTCGCGCGGCGGCAGCGGGAGAACCCCATTAGCTAAAGTGGTACCTCAGGTTAAGAACAGTTTCAGGTTAAGAACAGACCTCCAGAATGAATTAAGTTCTTAACCTGAGGTACCACTGTAGTATTAATTGCCAGTGTGATGTAGTTGCCACAGTAGGACAAGGGAGACCAAATATGAAATGACCACACAGCCATGAAGCTTTCATTGGGTAACCAGATGGGTCAGAGTTACTCTGACCCAGAGTCAGTGACCGAGAGTCAGTGTGGTGTAGTGGTTAAGAGCGGTAGTCTCGTAATCTGGGGAACCAGGTTCGCGTCTCCGCTCCTCCACATGCAGCTGCTGAGTGACTTTGGGCTAGTCACGCTTCTTTGAAGTCTCTCAGCCCCACTCACCTCACAGAGTGTTTGTTGTGGGGGAGGAAGGGAAAGGAGAATGTTAGCCGCTTTGAGACTCCTTAAAGGGAGTGAAAGGCGGGATATCAAATCCAAACTCCTCTTCTTCTTCTTCTCAGCCTAACCTACCTCACAGAGTTGCTATGAGGGCAAGACAGGAAAGGGAACCACTTATATCCCCTTGGTTTGTGCAGACTTAGGAGGAAGTCCCATTGAATATAGTAGTTGTGATACAGCCCAACTGATTACTGTGCTCAAACACCATTAACTGAGCTTTTGAAAAAGGGAACCTTTTGAGAGCTAATGAGCATCAACAAACATCCATTCTTTCTCTTTAGAAATAGCATTTACAAACATTAGGTTGTGCCCAGAATGTTTGCTTTCTTTCTGGTATGTGACTCCTTTTTTCTGAACTCTTTGTGATCAGTATTTCAGAAACTACTTTCCTGTTTGGTTTGGCAAGGATATGTAGGCTTTGAAAAGGTATGTTGTAACTATTCAGGTGAAGGGAGGCCCTAATGTCACCCTGAGGTTAGGAAAAGGGACTCTCTTTGCAGGGATGGACTTTGGTAATATGGCGTCCTGAGCAAGCAGAAAATTTGGTGGCCTCCCCTTCAATATTTCTTATTTTCACAATAATTCCTTTATTATTTATTGTTATTTGTGGGCCCCCCCCCTCAGCTCAGCACCCTGTGCGGATGAACTGCCTGCACCACCCTAAATACGGTGCTGCTCTTTGTTAGATATTGAGATAGAAAGCATGCTTTTTGGTAATTCTATAAGGGAAATGGCAAAAGGGAGAGAAAAATACAATCACTTGTGTGGGGCTGAACTACATGTGATGCATGCACCTGCAAGCGACCCAAGTCAGCACGCATAAATAATAAAATTCACATTGCAACTGAAAAGGATAGCCCCACCCAGTGCTTTTTGTCCAGGGGTATGCATATCCATGAACATTTTGTGAATCTTTGTACTTTTGTCCATTTACTGTATTTATTTTTCCTGATATAAAATGGTGGTTTCCTTCAGTCAAAATGAAAGTACCCTAAACACATTATTTTAGGGGGGGGGGAAGCACTGACCCCACCAATTCAAATACGGTAGGATAGAAGGCTATTAATCAGATCAAGGAAGTAGTTATTTACTGCGACAGCATTAAGTGAAATCCAATGCCATTCTTTTAAAAAACAAAATCAAAACTAAATGATGTTTAAGTGCACACTTTAAAATGTAATGTATGAATTGATTTTGAGAGGAACTTGATAGCAATCAGGTTGTTTGGCATAGCTGGATTGTTGCAACAGGCTGGGAAACAGGTTGACAGATCTTCTGAATGCAGGGAGAAGCAGCTGAGAGTATGCATAATGCAGATCAGAAGGTATTTCTACAGAGTCAGGGGTGGGACACAAGCAGGGAGTGTTTTACGGTAACTCCTGCAAGAGCGACAAATAGGATGGAGTCTGCAAGTAGCCCACTGGCCTTGCGTTATGCAGGCCTATTTCACGTGTTGCAAAATGAACTCTCACTCTCTCTATCCCCACCCCCCTTTTGTGAGCGGTGTTCTCAAGCCAGGCATTTAAATCGGCATTTCCCTGGTGAAGAGGCCTTTCAGCTCACAATTCATTCAGTTTCACTGAATGCAATTTCAACAGGGAACCATGTCCTGCAACTGGCTGCACCTGTCTCAATAGCATTATGTTATATATATTTGGGGTTTGTGGATTTAGGGTTTGAAACAAGTGTATATTAGACAATGAGAGCTTAATGCAGCTTTCTCCAGCCTGCTGCCCTCCAGGTGTTGTTGGGCAATAATTTCCCTCATCCATGACCAATGGCCATGCTGACTACAGCTGATGGGAGTTATAATCCCTGAACATTTGGTGGGAACTAGGACGCGGGTGGCGCTGTGGGTTAAACCACAGAGCCTAGGGCTTGCTGATCAGAAGGTCGGTGGTTCGAATCCCCGCGATGGGGTGAGCTCCCGTTGCTCGGTCCCAGCTCCTGCCCACCTAGCAGTTCAAAAGCACGTCAAAGTGCAAGTAGATAAACAGGTAACGCTCCGGCGGGAAGGTAAACGGCGTTTCCGTGCACTGCTCTGGTTCGCCAGAAGCGGCTTAGCCACATGACCTGGAAGCTGTACGCCAGCTCCCTCAGCCAATAAAGTGAGATGAGCGCCGCAACCCCAGAGTCGTCCGCTACTGGACCTAATGGTCAGGGGGTCCCTTTACCTTTAGGCTTGGGAAAGGTGGCATCAGAAATTATTATGGCCAGCTTTTGAAAGCCACAGCCATATTAGTCAAAACTCATAGAGAACTTCTCTTGCGCTGCACCCTTCAAGTGTGTTTATGCCTTTCCCCAGATAACTATAACCTGTCTGAGGCTCCTGCTGCAGAAAACTAAGGATCACTTATCCCATTTTGGTTAGATGTATAGCCTTCTCCTATGCATCCACCTCAGGAAAAACACATTTTATAAGTGAAGGGACTCTGCACAGTGCTTGATTTGCCAGTCCTTGTGACAATCATAAGTCACTCCTGTTGCTAGAGCCATTCTTCAAGGTTTTCTTTTTCCAATAATAAAAAAGGAACCTATCCATTTTGGTTTGGTTTCTTTTAACACCCTGAACGAATCTCTAATTGGATAAACCCACAAGGTATGCAGAATGGAAAGTCATAGTCTCCCTGAAGCATTAGGGAGCACCAAAGAAGTCAGCGTTGGATCTGCAGACAAGCACATTTATCACTTGTGGAATAAAGGACAGACAAGCTAACCAGTGGCAGAAATACACACCAACCCAGTGGAAGCTGGCCCATAAGGGCAGGGTGGAGGCGCTGCTCTCACCAACCTCAGGCTGCCCTCAGACAGTCTCCACCTGCCTGCTTTCTTCTTACTCCCAGTCTGGAGGGTGATGTTGATTGTCTGCTTCCTCTGTCTATGTTAGGGCTGCCATATGTCTGAGTTTTCTTGGACACGCCTGGAATCAGACTGTCAAAATTGCAACTAGGGCAATTTTTTTTAAAAGAAACATGCTTTTAAAATGAAAAAAAAACCCTAAAAAACTTCAAACCCCCCCCCCCCATAAAAAAGGGTCAACAACTTTCTCCAGATTTTCACTTTGGTGAGTATGACATCCCTATGTTGCCCTTGTACACTCCAGCAGGGAAGAGGATGGGGACAAAACTATAAACAGGTGGCCTTGCCTCTCATTGGCCCTAACCCCACCTACTGTTGGTCTCCATGCCTCTCCCATTCCCAATATGCACCAGCCGCCACTGCACTAACCTGTTTGTAGGGATGTTTGTAGGCCGCACCCCAAATTTTCCTATAACTTGAGCCGTTATTCTCAAATAATTTACCTCAAAGCAACTTGATTTCCCTCAGTAGATTATTTCATGTTTGGAGGGGAGGGGCTTTGAGCAGCAATACTTTTGATTCCTTACTTATTTCCAATGTAATATTTATGATGTTCTTGTTAATACTGCATAATATTTTTATGTAATTGTTAATTCATGGTGAGAAGCACTTTAGTTTTTTGTCAGTGAGTACTGGGGAGGACTTTGCAACTTGCAGTAGGCGTCCGTGCTGTGACTGAGGGACTTAACAAGGAAGAGAGTCTGGTAAAGATAATGGTGTAGGATGCACCATTAGGCCCTGGCTGCAGATCCACTTTTAGTGGATCGAACAGATGGGGATGGAACTAGCTGGCAACAAAAAGACTGCTGCTGTTAATGGAACACAGTGGCTAAGGGCCAAAATATGTTAGCTAAACATCTGTGTTTTGAAGTGCAGCAATTTAAATTGTGTTACCCAAACTGTTAGCCCTGGCTGCTCAATCTGGATTGGGAACCTGGGGTGGGGGACTGGGGGAGCTGTATCCCTTTAACCCCTGCTGTGGTCCTGATCCAGATCAGTACCTCCTCCACCATGCCTTCAATTTGGACTGAGGGGTAATAGAAGTCCCATTCATTTCAACTGAATCTGGGGCTAGGGGGCAGCTTTCAACAACAACAACAACAACAACAACAACAACAACAATTTATTATTTATACCCTGCCCATCTGGCTGGGCTCTCCCAGCCACTCTGGGCGGCTTCCAAAAAAAAAAATTAAAATACTGTAATACATTCTATCTTTGTTCTCCTGCAATTCCCAGCCACATTGACACACACCAGATAGAATATGGTTCTAACAGAAGGGAGGCAAGAGACCTGCTCAAACGATGCAAGGGCTACAGTCCTAAGCGCTGTTACTAAAGGCTCATCCATAATGCTGTTTAATGTGAATTGTAAGCTTCCTGTGCCTCCATTAATTCTCCGTTGTCCATATGATGGTCACCTCTAAATCACTGCCTTCCCATACTTACTTCTCCCTCAATCCAGATTTTCTCATACCAGGGATACTCCAAAAAAGGAAGAGTATGAGAAAATCTGGATCGAGGGAGTGGGAAGTATGATTTAGAGGATAATGTCAAACAACGGGGGATTAGTGGGGGAACAGGAAGCTTACTATCCACATTAAACAATGGTGTGGATGAGACCCAAGTCCCAAGGAGACTCTCTGTGATTTACATACATGTTGAAGATCGGGCTGTAGATCTCAAAATGTGTGCCCTCAATATTCAATGGCTTCACCATTTCAAGCCTTTCCATGGGGGGCAAGAAGGGGGGCAGCTGCTCCCCTAAATCAGGAAAAATCAGTACAAATCAATACAAATATGAGGTTCTGCTTTCCCTAACAAAAGCCTGTCCCCCCAAGAAAAAATCCTGGCTATGCCCACACAGCCTTTCCATTCTGTTCCTTTTTTGAAGAAGCTCATGCATTCATCAGTATAGCATTGTACATCTTCCTGAATGGGAGGGGCAGGGGTGGAGAGAAACACAGCCTACTCGTTTTCACATCTACCTTTTGAAAGACAAATGAAATGGAGAAGTTTGCAAAGGGAGGCATTCCCACCAGCAGCTCTGTTTCATTCCACAGCACCGTGACTGAGGGCTTGGTGTGGATATTGCAAAGGAATGCATGGAGTTGAGAGGATAAGCTTTAATCCATTTATGGTTTTGGTACATTAGGAATGGTGGGCATTAGCACCTAGAAAGGGCAGAATAGTTCTCTCAGATTTCCGTGTAAATAGGCTCTGGGGAAGGTGAATGACAGAGTAGACTATCCTGTTTTGGGGTTTTTTTTGTAAGGATGAACGGATTAGTTTTAACCCAGAGAAAGGCAATCCTTCCTTGCAGTACTATAAGCCTTTAAGAACAAAATGACTATTTGAAAAAAATTATCTAAGAACAAACAAGTATTACCACACAGGTATTTACATGATGTTCTGGCATCATTGTACAGAGCACATGAAATCCAGTTCTTTGAGAATCCACCCAATGGAGATATATTACCAAGGTCATAAATTTCCCATCTAGCTTTCTATCTTCTCTTGCATCAGAGTACCCTGATTCAAATATACAAACAAATTGGGTTAAATAATGCATATGTATAGTAGCAATTATATATAGGCGTGCATCTAATACTCAAAACTATATAATTAAAAAAAAAAGAAATAGAAATCATAAATGGACAGGTCTCTCATTTTTGTTTCCTTCTCCTCCTGTTATATCACTCTTCAGAAAATGCCCCAATATCCTTCATTTGTTTCCCTTCCCCCTCCCTTTTTGGCAAATAATTTTAATGTCTCACTCAAAAAAAAGCACCCAAAGGTATATGATGATGGGAACTGGTCCAGGAGTGAAGATGCAGTTAAGCAACCTCATGGGTTATTGTGACATACTTACCAAACATTTCCCCAGAAATACAGGAATTGACTTTGATATGCAAAACAGGTTTTTATTTAATCAGATCCACACTGCGTAACTTACCATAACTTTAATGTAGTCCTCTATAAGCAACAGTGAACTCTTCTGTCAAACTGTAATTTACAGTGCATAAAAGGGGTATTTAAAAGCACACACAGAACCCTATACAGATGGAGTACTGAAATATTTTGTTCATTACCTTTTGCTCTATCTTCTACATCATGGGTCAGCAACCTTTTTCAGCTGTGTCCACCATTCCTCAGACCATGTGGTGGGCCAGACTATATGGGGGGGGGAATGAACGAATTCCTATGCCCCACAAATAACCCAGAGATGCATTTTAAATAAAAGGACACATTCTACTCATGTAAAAACACGCTGATTCCTGGACTGTCCGTGGGCCAGTTCGAGAAGGCGATTGGGCTGTATCTGGCTCCCGGGCCTTAGTTTGCCTACCCCTGATCTACATTAATAAGCAGAAAGGTTTTTTTCCTCTGAAATGTTTTCCTGGTCAATCAACAGCAACATACTGGTAGTTCCTTTTCAATTTAAAGAGCAAGTCAGTGAACCCCAAAAAAGAGAAAGCGTATTGATACCAATTCAAAAACATGGCTACGTGAATACACAAAAGTGCATAAATTAAATATATCTGTTTGGGTTATATATAGGTATAACTCTAGTATCAGACTGCAGCAGCTTATAGGTAAGATAACATAAGTTAGTGGCATCAGTAGATATGACACAGCTCATTAAAATATGATGTTGTAGTAGCTGGTGTGCAAGAGCTATGATGACCTTATGTGGAATCAATGCACTTCAGTGGTGGAGTGTTAAGAACATAAAGTTACCTGTACAGATCCCTGCCTTTAAAAATACACACACACACACACACCACCCTTAATTTTCTGGCCAATGAATGGGGACAGAATATGCTTCCCTTCAGTTTTGCAACCCCAGGACACTCTGTTGGAGCAGAGTGATCTTTCTGGCAGGCAGAGAGGATGGATGCAATGTGAACATTTAGCATTAATAGTTGGATATTGCAACCCCTGGTGTTTGGTTATATTATTGGGGGAGCAATAAAGAATTATGTAAGTTGGAAATTATGACACTAGTCCCTGCTGAGTATGTGTAGCAATGAGGAAGGGGCTATGGGCAGGGTCTCAAAGAGAGGGACTAGTACAAAGATCTGGCTAAAGTTACACAAAAGCCTCTCTTTCACAACGGCAGACATAGACTAGATTTTAAAATCTAGTTGCTATACATAGATGCCACTGGATAAAAATGCTCTCCCGAGACACAAAATGTGAGACAGAGGGGAGAGGTACGAATTATGCCACTTAATAACAGGCTGGTTTAATGGTTTGAAAACAGAATAGCAAAATGATACTTCAAGCATTCCCCCCCCCCCAAATACTGTTTCAATACTGAAAGAATACCTTTCAGTACTGAAAGAATACCTTTTGGGTGTCTCTCCATCAAACTTTTGCTCATGATAGAGAGACTTGAGTCTGTCTCCTAGTCCTCTCCCTTCTCCAGTTCCTCTGAGAGGAACACAGGCAGCTGCATTAGTTAAGACCATTGGTCCATCTAGTGGAGTATTCAGATGGGACATTCTCTGCCCTACCTGGGGATACATCTTGGCACCTTGTGCAAGTCCCATTCTCACAGGTATTTACCAGAAAGAGGGGGGAGGGATGTAAACTTTGGCAAGCTCTATGAGTTACCTCTGTGGGCAACTAATCATGTTTGTTGTCGTTTAGTCGTGTCCGACTCTTTGTGGCCCCATGGACCAGAGCACACCAGGCACTCCTGTCTTCCACTGCCTCCCGCAGTTCGGTCAAACTCATGCTGGTAGCTTCGAGAACACTGTCCAACCATCTCGTCCTCTGTCGTACCCTTCTCCTTGTGCCCTCCATCTTTCCCAACATCAGGGTCTTTTCCAGGGAGTCTTCCCTTCTCATGAGGTGGCCAAAGTATTGGAGCCTCAGCTTCATGATCTGTCCTTCCAGTGAACACTCAGGGCTGATTTCCTTAAGAATGGGTAGGTTTACTGAGAAGTAATTCAGCGGCAAATGTGCAGTCAAAGGACACTCTCCCCCCCCCCATATAAAAAGGGTGGTAGGTTTGTTTCATTTATTTGAGGGGTAAGCACTGAAGTGATGCTGCTTCCTAGGATTTGTTCTCCCGGGCCACAGATCCCATGGAACTCATGGAGACATGCTTCTGAGTAGACCGTGTAGAACTGCCCTGTTAAGCTGGGTGCTTGAAGGTGTAAGGGGTGTGCGCACGTTTTTGTTTTTGTTTTTGTTTTGGCTTGCTCTTGCTTCTTAAAGGGCTTAATTTTGATGGATGCTTGGCTCTTCCAGAGAACCTGTTTTTTCCCCTGAGCAGGTCTCATTCCACAGAACATGTGATGCAATAAATCAGTTTCCAGGGGGCAGTTGCGCTGAACTAATCCCTTCCTTACAACAACAACAACAAGGGAGGTGGCGCGCAGTGGAGTCTTACGCCGCCTTTTAATTATTAGCCGCTTTATGGCGGCATCAGCTTTCGCGGACCAGACCCTCGATCCTTAATGCGCATCCACAGCTAGGTGGCGCGAGCTGCGGTAGGCGGCGGACAGGCGAGCGCACGCCGCGGGTCCCTTGAGAATGCGCAGAGCGCAGCCCTTCCGCCCGCGCGCAGTCCCTCCCTCCTCTGCAACTCCGAGTTCCCGGCCAACCCCGAAACACTGGCTCTGCCCCGTGGCGCCCTGTGACTGACTGCGCCCGGCCTTCCTCCTCGTCCTCGTCCTCCCAAATTCCGATTGGCTGTGGGCGCAAAGGAGAGGACGCCGTCTGGTTGGCTGGCCAGCCTCCTGAGGGTCCTAGTGCCCCAGCTCTCGTTGCGCTTGCAGGAAAGGCGGGCCCGACGCGACGTAGCCACACGCTCTGCTGCCCCAGCTCCGGCCGGGGGTGTTTCGCTTCGTTTCGTTTTTTTCTTTTTTGCGGGCCGCTTAAATAGGACGGGCCGGGCGCTCCAGCTGCAGAGCGCCTCGTCGTTGTAGCCGTCGCCACAGCCGTCGCCGCTTGGCCAGGGGCGAGACGAAAGCAGGTGGGTGAGTCAGCCCGCCAAGACCGGCGCCTGTCATCCCGCAAGGAGAGGGTTGAGCCCGGCGCGCGGCGGGAGAAGCTTCCGCGGCCCGCGGGGACTTTCCCGCTTCTTCCCCCGCCTAGAGCCGCTTTCCTCGAGGCGGACCTTTCCTTCCCGGCCGCCGCCGCCGCCTCTGTGGCTGCTGCCGGGAAAGGGGGCGGGGAAGAGGGGGTCGCCCTGGCTCGAGAGCCGCACGTCAGGAAGCCGAAGCTTTCCGCAAGGGGCCTCCCCGCCATACGTAGGCCGACTGGAGAGGCGCCGCCGCCGCCGCCGCCACGGTTTGCGGGGACCAGGCGAGCCTTGCCATCGAGCCGAGGTCGGTCGCAGCATCTTCGGGGGGAGGGGAGGCCTTGGCGGGAGGTGGTTTGGGGGAGATGATGTTCCAGGTTGTCTAGGGCTCTGGAGATGGCTGGCACTGGGCACCTCCGCATGCCGCCCCCGGCGAGTCTGAAGGCGCAGATGGACGCAGATTTTCTCATTATGGTGACGGGGAAAGTGGTTTGTCTTTTGGACAAGCGTTTGCTGCATTCCGAGGCACTGAATGGCAGGGCAGGGGAAGGGGAGAGTAATCCATTTTTCTCCACCGCACTTGGAATGTGTGTCATTATTATTTGCCACCACCCTAAAACTAGGAGAGCTTTTGCATATGGGCCTGTAAAAAGGTGCAGCTAGTCAGGTCAACAGTGCTGCCCACTTTACCACTAACTTGCTCTCCCTTGGGCTGGCTTCTTATCACATGATGGAACTTTCCTGGCTTGCTTAAGCACCATCAGGGTTTGGTAGAACAGCTCAGTGTAACGATATTGTTATTTGGAGGTGGGATCTGCCTTGCAGCGGTTCTTGGACAGCTGCCCAACCAGTTGGGATAGGCATGAAATGCTTTTAGGTAAAAGTGTCTAATGGTAGCATTGCTGCAGAAATAGTAATTTATTATGGACCAGGCCATTCTGTTCCCATTTAGGATTGCCATATTTCAAAAAGTAAAAACCAGGACACCCTGAAAGTTGTCAAGTTTTTGTTTTTTTTTAGGAAGCCACTGAAATGCTGTGACAAATAGGTGCAGAATATTCAACAGGTTTAGCAATAGAAGTAGGAATCTTCTTCCTTGAGGATAAAAAGCTGTGGCTTCATTTCAATATTTGAACAATGGTGATCAGGCTAACCAGAGCTCATTTGGAAGCATATTCATGGTGTTTTACTGTTGGATATGTGTCAGCTTTGGTTGATGGTCAGATTATTGCTGTGGTGGTTTAATGTCCTCTATTTTGGGTGCTTGGATAGCTTCTCACAGGTATGTAGAAAGCAGAAGAGAGGACACTTTGGCGGGTAGAAGAGGGGAAAAGGAGGGAGTATGATAAAGGAATAGGCAGACGTAACCCCTGTAGTATCACAAATTTGCCTAAGAGTAAAAGATGGGGTAGATACCTTCTGAGTGGATGTTTGCTTGAGTCATATTGCTTAGTGCAAAGTGGCTCCAAAAGCAGCTTAATGAGACTCTTGCTGGGGGTTTTTTCTAGGTAGCTCTTAACTACACACTAAAAAGGTAGTGATAATCCAAAATATACTATACTTTTAGTAAGGTAAAATTAGTCTTTGATCTCTTAGTTGGAATGCTTTTCGAATTAACATTTACTATCATTACTAAGAGTCGTGTTGTGCTAGAGGGCCTTATGCCCCTTGGGTTCCTCGCTTTTAAATGCTCTTATGGTGCCAGAAGTTCTGGTACTGTTTCTACTTGTTTGCTTGCCATAGGACTAGAGTGGTGGCCATCCAGATGTTGTTGGGCTTCAACTCCTATCAGCCTCAGCCAGCAAGGCAAACAGCCAGGGATGATGGGTGTTGTGATACACTTTCAGTTGAAAGGATAGCCAGCTTAGCCATCACTTACAGCAGAAATAAAACTTTAGAGGCTAACAAATATGTGGTTCCACAAATTTTCATCAGTCACCAAGAATGAAGGACTGTAGTCCCAGAAAGCTCATTCCCTAATAAATTGGTCTTTAACAGTGGCAGAACGTATGCCAGTGTTGCCCGGGGTGGGCGTATGGGACGTGCCCCTGAGGGGGGCGCGTGCCACAGTTCAGAGTTAGGAGAGGGGTGAGGAAGCTGCTGCCCACTCTCTTCTTTCTCTCCACTGTCAGGTCAGGTCAGGCCTGACCCGGGGCCGGAGTTGTGCCAGGCCCAAGCACTGCAGCCTCGGTGCAGCTCCTTCTGGCCAGGATCCGATGAAGGAGCCTACTCTGGGGGCGCCTGTTTGCGTTTGGGGCCACAGCACACACACACCCTCCCACGCTTCACCTCTGATCCTTAATGTTTGTTTTTGGTTGTTCTGATAAAATCATACTGTGGTCTACTTTACAGGATTGCTGTGAGGATAAAGCAACTATCAAACACTTTGCCAAACTTAAAATGCTATTAAAACAAGTAGAATGGTGCAGAGAATGGTCCAGATGAGAACTCAGTGTGCAGAGCCTATATGTAGTATACTTAGGGTCATGGATAGCACCCTGCCTGTACCCTCCACCCAGGCAAACCTGTCCTAGCAGATAGCCACATACTGCATTTGCTGAGGACCCACATGTAAAGTCTGGTTTTTGTAGGTCTGAATATCCTGATTGTGTTCCCAATGCTTTTCTCTTTGATTTTCAGATAGACTTTTTCCAAGATTCCAAACTTGGTCACCCCTTTCTCAATTCAAAAATTGGGAGTAAGCAGGTGGGAGACACATTTTATTTTGCTTGTTCTTTATTTATCAGTTTTACATTTATATCCATTCCACCTTTCATCCAAGGAACTCAAGGTGGCACTCACGCACCCACTTTCCCCCATGTTATTCTTGCAACCACCCTGTGAGGTATGTTAGATTGAGAGACTGTGAATGACCCAAGGTCACACAGGAACCTTTGTGCCTGAGTAGGTGACTTTTACCCTGATCTCCCAGGTCTTAGTCCATTTAATATCCTTCTACTTTATTCCACATTCTGGAAAGAATGTGGAACATATAAATGAATAAGCTGGGAAAGGAGAATAATATATTTCCATAGGTTTGGAAACTTATGGGGTCCCTTTTTTAGCAGTCCTGTGTGGATCACCAATTCCAGCCTTCATTTCTAACCAATTCAGACTGCAATCCTGCAAACACCTATCAGGAAGCAAACCCTATGGGATTCTGAGTAACATACAGTTACTGTGGCATGAATCTGCACAAACAATTCTGAACCAAGTTAAGCTGCTTGGTTAGGTGCTCAGTATTTATATAACTGTGGTGTTTGAGCGTCTAGTGTTTCCTTGAAAAGGAGGATAAAAGAGAGGGCCAGAACAGTTAATGGACACGCGGCTTTTTTCTCCCATTAGAGAAGCAACTGCGACAGAAAGGACCTCCTCTGAACCAAAGAAAGACATTTTTCAGTTTAGTTACCCTAGGTGTTTGTAAAACTTCAATGATTTGCAAGGGAGGAGGATGGGGAGAAATCAGTGACCTCCTAGATGCTCTGCCAGGTCCAGTGACCACCAAAATTTTGGTGAAAACCAAAATTATACTAGCTGTTAAATTGTTGTGCTATATAAATGTGCCTGAGGAGACCAAGATTTGCCCATCAAGTACTGTATACTTGTAGCCTTTTTGTAGCAATATAAGTGCTCAAATTTATCCACAGCTAAGTTACAAATAGATTACTTGAGAAAAAACATTTAAAAGTAGGAATACACTAAAACAAAATGTATCATGAAAATAACAGTGCAATCCCACCCTATTGAATTCCCTATTTAAGACCTGTTGAATTCAATGGAGTTTCTCCCAGGTAAGAGGGTTAGGACTTGTGGCCTTAACTATGTGTTTGTTGCATAACTATACTGCTTAAGACTGCAGGTAGGGTATAAACCTTCTACATTTAGCAAGCTAACATGCAGAGCAAAAGATCCTAGCTGTGTAACTGGGCACCAGTTGATCTCTTTGTAGAAAATGTGCAGAATGTTAAGATGAGTGGAGTAGCATTTGGGCAGGTAGTTCATTCACAAGTAATGCCTTTTTTGTTACGATGATGTTGACTCTGAAGTACCTATTTCTCAAGGTTATGACACTAATTCTCTAGAAGTCATGTTTGCTTCTGTCTAATGAGGTGTTGTCCAGATGCTGTCTTGAGAGAACATAATTTGCAGCTCAGTAACCTGGGATTCTGAAGCAATGCACAGCCAGGGTCTGATTGTGCTGTTTGCTGAAACACTTGTAGTCACTGTAAAGATACACAAGACTTACTGCCATTTTAAATTGTTGGGAACTATGAAGAAATGAGTTAGGTTGTATCTAGGTTATGAATCTTTAAGAAACTATAACAAGTTAACTTCTGTATTCATCCTCAAACTAGGGTTTAAAGTGCTCTCCAAACCTTGTTTCAGCAGCAATGGAGATTATACTTGCTTTCAGGCAAGAAAAAAGAAACCTTGTGACTAAGATCTCTGCTTGGTTATAGATGTTTCTATAGATGTTGCACTTGGTAACAAAACTAGAAAGAAAGAAATCACACAGGGACAACCAGGAGCTCTTCTGAGAACAAGTATATCAATGTTGAACAGCAGACTTTTTGAAGCTCAATGAGGGTTGGGGCATTTGTAGCTTATTAATACAAACCCTCTGCGTAGCGCAAGGGTGTGCTTGCCACACTTTTCTCCTGGCAAAGAAAGAAAAGTGTCGGGAAAGTTACATGGAATACAGAAATCTTCGTTGTTGTTTTTTTGAGAATGATCTCTGCTTCAGAAAGCTAGACTTTGTTTCTTGAAATTGCTTGGGTAGATTATTGAATTCCAGTGATACTATTTTAAGACTATCTGCATGGGTAGCTAGGATGATGCTCAGTGTTTAGCAATGCATTGTCTCATAAGCTCCATTGCTAAGCCTTCATTGAATTTTAGGGCAGTGGATTTTTTTCCTGCTCAAGGCAGAACTTGACCACAGTCAATCCTAACTTTCTTGCTCCATCTTGTGAATGCTGAAACATCTATATATGTTATTTAAATATCACTTAAATTTCCACACATATGAGCTCCACTGTTGCTACCCAAAGGCCTTGGTACCAACTGAAAAAATGCCTGTGTAGACCAAACCATAAATAGCTACTTGAAACTGCTGTTTTACCAGCCTTCCAGACCATGGACCTGAATGCTTGGCTGCTGCTCTTTGTTGAGTGTTAACTTAAATTGAGTACCACTGGCTGATTCATTAATCACTGTCAAAATAATGTTTCTGATCTGTTTCATTTTCTGTTTCCCTATTGTGCTATTAAGCAATAAATGGATTATTGGGATTTTTTTTTCTGACTTACATTCTGCAGAAGTAATAGAAAAACTATTTCATTTGCACCGAGAATTGTTTTAGCTAGCTTGATGCCTGTCTTAAGACACACCAATGTCTTAATGTGGCTTAGAACAGATTTCTCAAATATGACCACCTGCATTTGTTTTTAAAAAAGATTAGGAGTTCCAAAGGGAACCAAAACATGAGTAAAAGTTTCCATTTCAATCAGTAGATTCATGTTGATTAAGCATTTCTTAACCCCAAAGATAAGATGGGCTAAACTGGAACTTTAAATGGGGGACTTGCGCAGCTTCTAGTAGCCCCATGTAGGTAGAACTGACTCCAGTAACAGAGCAATGCCTCTGATTAAGCAACTCATGCGATTATTTTTCCCCTCAATCAAACAGCAGAGTGGGAGGGAGAGAGGCTATTGGCTCCTGGGTTCTAACGCTATAATGAAGAAGTTGACAGTTGCCCTCGAACGATGTCTGCCTATTGGCAGACAAAAGGAGAACATTCTGCCTTCTGTAAATAGATTATTGTACTTGCTGGTAGAGGAGGAGGAGCTAGGAATGGCTGCATTCAGCCAACTTGGCTGACTTCCACAAAGCTGAGTTCAGCTGGAAAGACCACATCTTGGCTGATTCAGTATTTTCCTTATTCATGTGTCAAGGAGCTTTTGGCTGGCTTGAAGCTTAGCATTTATTAACTGAGCGTGTTATAAGACAAGGACAGAAACCTGCATGCACAGCTCCCTCACTGAGCACTCTCTTCTAAAGCTAAACATTTTGGGTGGCATTTGACTAATTTGTACTCGGAGGAGACCTATTGAGATCAGTGAACTTAAGTTAGTCATAACTGACTAGGACAGATAGCACCCTTTACTCTCTAAGTAATGACCATATTATATTTAAAGGGAGAGTTGAATTCTACCATATACACAAGATGCTAGTCCTGTCCCACATATAAAGTGTGTGTTACCTGGATGCAATATCTAGGATATTGTCCTTATCCTCAATGGACTTCAATATTACATATGCCTGCAAAAATGTTTTACTTCCTTAGCTCTTGGGTGTAGAACTGAAGTATAATCCCGTTTGCTATATATCAAGTACTGTATATTAAAATGTTAATACAACATACTAAACTATGTACCCTTGACTGGTTAATTCTACAACATGAGGCCACTGAAGATCATCCCCAAGTAGAAACTATAAACCTGGGAGTGCAATTCAGCATGGACTCACGCTGCTTCAGTCTAATCTAGAGTTCACTGTTAATACAGATATCACGGAAGCTCTTTGGATACTGGCTTATCCATGGCAAGTTGGACTTTGTGTTTTCTGACTGAAGTGCTATTAAATCTTATTGGCTCCTAAACTTGACACAACAGGAGCTAAATTTAGATGTAAAAAGGTTTCCCAATAATTTCATAATACGCTTAACCTTAAGTCTGAAATAGGAATTGCTAATTTCAGTGAGCTGTACTTCCAAATGGAGTGTAGGCTAAGGAGAATATTTCTCAAAATATAGGAAGTATATAACACCTCATTCCTTATCTTAATTTTCTCTTGCCATGTCTAGTATCCTTAGATGACCTACCTCTGCATAAGGTACATCTAGCTTTTTGGCATGGCTTTTACAGGCACTAAATAAGTTGACTGTATTTAATCTCTTTTTAAAAAGTCACATTGCTCTTTATCATATGGTCTTAAGTGTTATTTTCATGGCAAATTGGCAAGCGTGTTCTGTTGCACACCAACTCCCACATACAAAAAGGTGGGGCGAAAACAAAATCAGCAGCAGTACCAGTTGAACTAGGGCTTACTTTTAATGAGGAATGTAGACACAGTTCAGGAAACAAGTTGGTGTAGATTTTTGGCATGTTGCATGTACAAAAGGGTGCAAGTCGAAGGATATGATGGCTTTGGCTTGATTTGAAGGCTTTGAAAAAAGACCTTGCACCCAAAATATCAAAGAGCTTGGTGAATTTGGGGGGGGGGGTAAATTGACTGTGGTAAGTCTTTATAGCATGTATAAGAATAACTTGACATTCATGTAGTGATCAAAGCATATTTTGTTTCTGTAAACCTTCCCAACTATGATGCAAGCTAGACTGGTTTTCTTGCCATATTGCAGAGGGCAGCGATGAGACTTCGAGTATACTGGCTTGATATTTATTTATTTATTAGAGAAGAGAAGAGCCTGGGAGGCTTCAGCTGGTAGCATCCTGCCTTACAGCTTGTGCTTCTTAACTCCTGCACTATGCAAACCGTCTTGGCCTTCTGAGGCTTTCAAATTAATCTGCTCATTTTGCTGACACTATTATTGCTAGGCCAGCCTTTGAACTAAGGGGAAAAGGCATTATAGACTGGAGAGGTAGGTGGAGGCAGAGTCTGAAAGGCACAGCAAGCAGATGACCTTAAGTCGTACACATCACTTTGGACCCTGCTCCCATCAGATCAATAAATTGTTCCAGAGAAGCTCAGGTTAATCAGAAGTTTCCCAGCACCTTCTTATGGAGAACATTGGTGGCAAATGAGCTTTTCTGAAAGACTGTGCACCACTATTGATCTTCTGATCTACAGTCATACCTCATGTTACGTTTGCTTCAGGTTGTGCGTTTTCAGGTTGCGTCCCGCGGTGACACGGAAGTACCGGAAAGGGTTACTTCCGGGTTTCGCCGCTCACACAGATGTGCAAAATGACATCACGCGCATGCGCAGAAGTGGTGAATCACGACCTGCGCGCGCAGGTGCGGGTTGCGTTCTTTTCAGGTTGCGAACGGGGCTCCAGAACAGATCCCGTTCGCAACCAGAGGTACCACTTTACTGAACAGCTGCAGAAGAGTGTGAGGTGTGTTCTAGGCTGTGCTAGGCTGAGTAGGTCTAGTCAGCCACTGCTTGAACACTTGGAATACGCAGCCTAGAACAGTCAGCAGAATCCTCTGCAATTTGCATGCGGTCTGGCAGCAGACAAACCGATGTGGAAAGTGTTCACTGAAGGCAGTCTGAAAACCACTGCCCTAGTGAAAGATTAGATGCCTGCATCAAATGCCCACAGTACAATTTATCACACTCTCAGCTGAAAGACTGTCAGTAGCATATTTTTGTCTACTGCATACAAATAGCTGTCAAGGTGTGCAAAGTGATGTGCCAAATAAGCTTTGTTGGACTACATAACTGCTGAGGTATCCATGCCTTGTAAGTTAGATACATGCTTAAATTTGAGATAGGAAACTCAGCAACTATTTAAAGATGAATCAAGAGGAAAAGTGAATGTCTCCTGTTAATCAAATCAACACTTACTTCACCACCAATGTATGCTGATAAAACATATCTATGGTATTTTTATGTGCAAAAGCTTGGGCTGCTCAAATGCACAGGAAAATAGCTTTCTGCATGCTTAAGAACAGGGGTCGGCAAAGTTTTTGTGGCTTGGGCCGGTTCATGGTTCCGCAGACGCTGCAGTGAGCCGGAGTGCGCTCGCACACACAAATGTGCAAACGCTATTTCTGGCGCTTCTTCCAGCGCGGAGGAGGCGTGCGCAGCTTCCCATTGGCTGCAGGAGCTTCCTGCTCCTCTCTGCTCTGCGCTGGTTTAGTGCGGCACACGGGAGCCGACCAAGCGGGCAGGGGGGCCATGGGCCGGTTAAATGACCCCCCATGGGCCACTTGTGGCCAATGGGCCTTAGGTTGCCGACCCCAGCTTAAGAATAACAAAGCGGCAAAATAGTGATAAAAAGAACAGCATTGTTTTGCATATTTTATTTAGACTCTGCTTTACTTACCAAAACACCCCAGTGTGGCTGGCTTAGTGCTAACACACACAAACAAATGACCCCCAAATATTTAAAACATGTGCAGTAGTACCTTGGGTTAAGAATTCGTTCTGGAGGTCCGTTCTTAACCTGAAACTGTTCTTAACTTGAGGACTACTTTAGCTAATGGGGCCTCCTGCTGCTGCTGCGCCGCTGGAGCACAATTTCTGTTCTCATCCTGAAGCAAAGTTCTTAACCCGAGGTACTATTTCTGGGTTAGCTGAGTCTGTAACCTGAAGCATCTGTAACCCGAGGTACCACTGTACTCTAGAAGCAAACCAAAAGAGCAATACCTCCTTGAGGCAATTCTATTTAGAGCAACCCTTACCTTTTGACCTTGGTTTTGAATGTTAAGTCAGCATGTAAACACCTGATTGCTTCCTCCTATCAAGTGCAGTAGAGAGATTAGGCGGCAAGACAGGGTTAATGTAAGCCTTTAAAAGGGGCCTCTTTGACGACCTGCGTGAAGTAGTTGTGCAACCATGTTGGCTATGGTCACACTGAAATTCTTTATTGTGTACAAAGAGCAGGCCATTCCCGTATCAGCCTGCCCCATACACTGTGCCCTTTGTTGGAGGTGAAGTGGGTGGCAAACATTTTCAGTTGCGGCACTCCATTTTGAGAACTCTCTCTTGCAAGGCTTGCTTGGCTCTCTGCATTGCCATATTTTTGACACCCAGCAAAACCCTCCCAGACCTTTTAGAATCTTTTACAGTCTTCAGAAGACGTGGCCTAACTGATGCTTTTACGTACTGTTTTGTTGTTTTCAGAACCATTGTCATTGTGCCCTATATTAATTTTTATAAACGGGGGACCATAAATAAAAGGCAGTACAAAAATCCTTAAATGAGCTGGTGGACATGGCTCATGAACATTGGCACTTGCCCACTGCATGCTTAGGGCTGCAGAGCTGATCAGCAGGCTTTGTCCTTACACTGGAGAAACTGCCGGATAAAATTGTTGCATGAAGGAAGCTTTCCACTGTCTCTCCCCACTATTCCCCCCCCCATATTTTTTTTAGCTTCAAACCCAATTGCAGCTCTGTCCTATTTGAGTGATATTTTTTTTCTGGGTATATTAGTAGGTAAGCTGACAATGCTACTCTACAACTGCCCTTGGTTATCACAGCCGGAAAAGGCATTGATACGCAATGACAAATGGGTCCAGCATTCATGAGCTTAGTCTTAAGAGCCTGGCTCGAAACGAGCTTGCGTTGCCTTTTCCCACAACTGCATTCATAACACTGTATCTCCTTCCTGGTTATAGTAAAACTGTCTTCATCTTGACTGCCTTGTTCCAAAAACCCCACCAGCTTCCGCAAACAAACTGTCCACGCTGACACGTTCCCCCCCTCCCTTTGAAAAGCCTTTTTGTCAGCCTTCCTCTGGTGATAGGAATGAGCTGATGATGGGCATTAATGAATGTCACTGCCAGTTGTGAGTTTCTGAGGCAAACATTGTTTGCTTCCTAGCCTGCCACCCTCTGTGTTCAGTGGGGTGACTTGGTGCTCTCTTTCCATTGGCCCTCCTTCTCTTAGAGCTAAGTATGGACTGTGCCTGCTAGTTACCTTTGCCCTAGTGGGCAGAAACTTATTAAGTGTAGTCACGTGAATCGTGTCCTGAGGGACCTTGGTGTGGAGGGAAGCGTCAGCTGAGCAGGCACAGCAGGGCTTTTGGAAGAGGAAAAGGGGAAAGAAAGGGCTGTTCCTACTCTACAGTGTTTGCTGGGGATTTAAAGGGACCATTAGGATAAGAATACAAGCTTAGTTAAGAGAATTTTTATACACAACTTAGGCTAGCTTGCACTCTAAAAGCACTGGAGGAAAACAGGGGGGGAAACAATTGCACACAGCCTCTTTTTAAAAAAATAGCTGCCATGGAAGAGAAGGGAAAGGAACTACTGTTGCTTTTTTGTCTTACGGCCTGGCTCTTCCAGCAGATTCTCCATTTTCCAGAAGCACAAAAATACAGCAAGAATGTATTTTGCAAACTTTGGGCACTATGTCTAACAAAGTGTGGTGCCTGCCAACAGCTGCCTTAACAAAGAAACAGAAATGTTAAACGTAGTGCCTTTGCCTGTTCAAAATCTCTTGCCTTTCTGGAAGAGGGCAAGTGGCAAGAATGCAGATGTTTCCAGCTTTGTATGGTGGTAGAGCATGAGAATAGCTGCATCTCCCTCTCTAGGGGGGGAAGGGCGTTCTTTGATAACACGTTGGGTTCACAACTTTTCTTTTTTGTCAACAGATTGCTGCATTAAAAAAAATAGCAAGGACAAGAGATCACAATGCAAGCTCATGAATTGTTTAGGCATCTGCGAATGCCAGAACTTGGTGACGTAAGGCAGTACGTGCGCACTCTCCCAACAAACACGCTGATGGGATTCGGTGCTTTTGCAGCTCTCACAACTTACTGGTACGCCACAAGACCCAGAGCTCTGAAGCCACCATGTGATTTAGCAATGCAGTCTGTGGAGGTGGAGGTAAGGAATCGCCATCTTTCATCCCTTGCGTATTTACTTGCAAGATTAGCATAGCATGTTTCATAAAAGGGTTTTTTAAGCTGTTCTGTGATGCAATTATTGGATTAAGGCAGTGCTTTGAATCTGGTTGTATGTGCCAACGTGCCACCCACAGTTCATACCAGTCACATTCCTTTTGTCCCCAGAGCATATAGTTCTGTTGCAGCATTTTACATAGCTTTCTCATATTGATTGCAGCAGGCTATTCTGGCAAGGTCTAGGAAGTGTGCAAAGGGAATGACTGCATCATGTGCTCAGGAGCGAGGGCTAGGGAGCTATGCAAGGCAGAAAAACTACGTGTTGGAGTAGGCTTGGTTCAAAGCATCCATTGATTTCTGAGATGTAAACAGCTCAGAACCTTTTCTGCAGCCATGTAGGTTTGAAACAGATACTTTTCTAAAGCAACGGTGAGGAACCTTTCTGGCTGGGTGTGCCAGATTCTTATTTCTCCCTACCCCTGCTGGCAAAGTTCGGCAGGTGGCTTATATTGGTACTCTGATATTTCACAGTGCTGCTGTAGCACTGTGTTGCCCTCCTTAGGCCAACTACAGTAACCACAGATGGTTAGTTTCCAGTTGATCAAGGATAATGTGCACTGTTTATTTATCTCTAAATCTCCCTCCATCTTCCAGGATCCCAGGGCAATTTACAGCATGCACATTAAAACAACAATAAAACCATTCATAAATCAGCAATTCAGATAATGCAGCCATACAATTAAAACAACTATGTCGCACCAGACAACTTCACTTTCAGCTGGTCTCACCAAATCAGTTTCAGTAACTGAGGTTGATGAATTATTCATTTTATTTAAGCGCATTTGCATAATAACACAATTAATAGTAAATTGCTAATAAAACCACATGCAAAACAAAGTGTGCCTCTTCTGTGTTGTTCTCTCCCTCTGGGCTAGGCGGGTGGTGAGTCTTTTTACCCTAGTACAGAGAATGAAGATGGATTTGGCCTCCTCAGGTTGGCAAGATTGTAACTGTTCTTTGGTTTTGCAGCACTGGAGAGAGTGGAACCAAGTATGCGCAGTCGTACTTGGATACTTTAGAGCAGGCACGTCCAACAGGTGGATCACTAGATGTCTGTGGTAGATCACTTTATACTTTGGCTCCCCTAAAAAAAGCTCAACACTTTTGCCCTGCCCCCCCCAAAACAGGGCTTTCCTTCTTTAAAAAAAAGCTCAAGAACTTTGACCTGAACCCCCCAAAAAGGGGGTAGATCAATGCCAGTTTTTAACTCTGTGAGTAGATCACAGTCTTTTGGGAGTTGGCCACCCCTGCTTTAGAGGATAGTTTCTCTTTGTGCTTTCTCCTTCCCTAGCTGTCTGGCCTGGCTCCAATCCAGGCTCATTCTTGCAGTCAAAATATCCCACACAGTCCAATACAAGTGTGAAATAAAGGTCAGTAGCAATTTCCTCTACGAGCAACTTTAACAAGCAGCTTTGAGCAAGGGGCCTGGGTAGGCTTTCACTATCCTAGTTGCCCCAGACATGACCCTTGGCAAACTTCTTTGCATTTTCTACATCTTGTGCCAAGCATAGCTATTTGTGAATTAGGAGGCCGTCTTTCCATATAGACAGAAATTTCCCATCTACAGGGTCCCTCTGGTATTCCCTTTTCTGTTTAAGCACAAGTTCAGGGATTGTGGGGATATCTTCCAGCCCTACAGGTTTTTGGGGTGAGGACCAGCATTGTTACGCTGTGATACAGGCAATCACCACACCACAGGTACCAAAACATTTTGAACATAGAGATACAAAACATTGTGATTAGACAAGGCACCTGAAAATTATACTTGATTAGCTGTACTGAATTTCTTTAAATACTCTCCTGTCATTAGTTGTACAGTATATGCATCTAGTTAGATCCATGTGCAGTTTCATTGTGTTGATGACTTTGTTTTCTGCATATGCTATTAAATTTTTGGTTCACTCATTCATTTTCATGTTAATGATATTGGTCGTTAATTATTGGTCACTGTGTAGTGTGGATCTTTATTTTTACACTATTCTTTTAAACACCATACCCTGACCAGCCAAAGAGGAATTTTGTAATGTTTTGTAATGTTGTAAGTATTTTAATAAAATAAATCTGAAACAGCCTAATTGAAATGAGCTTGATCTCTTGCTGCAGCAAGCAAAGTATACTGGAGCAATACTTTTCAGGCTCATGGCATTAAAACTGATTGTGTGGATAAATAAAAACCTTGTGCTGAACTGGCTCATACTTCGCTTTGTCTAGCAAACTATTATCCTGGATAAACTGGGGTATTTTTGCTGAATAGGAACTGCTAACTTAGGTCTGATAAGGTATTAGTAGGGTCTTTTTCAAAAAGTCAACAGATCTTGCCCATTATATTTTCCAGAGTGCTTCGGAATAATTCTTGCAATTGAAAATCCATTATCATCTGTTGCTATTTCATTTCACTTGCTGCAAAACCAATTTGATGTGTATGGAAAAGTACATCTGGTTTATGGATTTTGAGTATACTTTGTACCTTGAACTTAAACTCTGATCGGGACTTCTGCTCATTTTCTTTATCAATTGATAGGTCTGGAAGTCACTGTGCTTGAGAAGACCACTATTTCTGAGTGCAGGGCAAATAATTGAGAGTTGAGGTGTGGGAATATGCTTGCTTCTGATTCTAGTCCTATTTATGCTGAAGCTCATAGACTTCAACAATAATTCCTTCAAGTTTAGGTTAAGTATATCTGAATAAGTACTCCAGTAGATGGCAAGGAATAAATGAGGATGTAGGTCTTGCACTTCGAATAATTATGAATTTTGACAGGTTCTGTTCTTTTCCTATTAGTGTCATTAAAAAAGAAAGGCTCATGTCTGATGGAAATCCTGTATTTAAGGCATGCACATTAAAGCCATAACTAGTAGTATCAAATGAAATAATGAGCTTCTATCAGACAATGTTTATGTAAAACAAAAGGAAAAACTTAGAGAAATTTGGCTGTTCTTGGTTTCTGCAACTCTTGCTCCTACTAGGTGACACTTCCTTACAGGGCCCAGGGTGGGGAGTCATCACAGGCCAGCAGGATTACCTTATATCCCATCAGGATCACTCACTTGCCCAACTTGTACTGACCTTACACCGTGATCAGATGTTTGACTCTACTAGCCAAACAAGAAGCATATTTGTGTTTGCTTCCGTGGAGTAACTACCAATTCTTTCTGGAAAATTCTTGGAACTTAGCTGCAAATAAATTGATTTTTTTTATTTATGCTAGGGCACACATATGGCCAAACAGAAATAGCTTCACCATTTTCTCCAGGAGCTTGTGAATTTCGGCTTGTGCATACCATAACCCTGCTCCAGAGGATCTAATGCCACACTGAACTTCAGAGGCAGCGTCCTCTGTGGTCCAGGGTCAGAGATAATCCTCTGCTCCAAAGTCTGGAGAAGCGTATGGACCTTAGGGACTGCCTCATACTCTCCAAAGTGCAGCCATACTCCTCAACCACCTCCTTGAGCTGCTTCTCCCCTTCTCACTGCTTACAATTCAAGCACCAGCCAGTGCTTCCTGCAGAAGCTCCCACTTCTGCCCACCAATTGCCCTCTCCCCAATTGGGCTGGAAGAGACAGGGATCTTCTTGCAGAATCTTACTCTATATGAAAGACATGTGTGCTGCAGGGTTAAAGGCTTTAGCTTATATCCATAGATATTATATCCTTCCTTCCTTCCTTCCTTCCTTCCTTCCTTTCTTTATTTCTTTATTTCAAGGTCCTCCGAGCTGCAAACCAATATTTGTTATAGCAACCAGTTGGTGTCTTTGGGGGTTTTTCTGGGAAAATGTCTGAAATGCAACACAGAATTTTGTTACTTTAAACCTTGACATAGCCTAATGGAGGAGAGAGAACAAAGCCACATCTTCTAAAATTCCCCTTTTTCACAATTGCTGCTGTTAAGACAGCCTGCCCTCCTGTGCTCTAATGTTCCTATAAATCCTAGTTTGAAGTCCCTTTGGGCCTCCTTTTCTCAGCATCCTTGTCAAGGTTTTGCAACTGGGGTGCTGATTTTAACAGAGCCACCTCATGGCACTCTTTCCAAAGAGCGGCTGGTAATGATGACACTCTTTCCATAGCCTAATAAACTGGTAGTTGGCAAATAGCTGTTGCAAAATACCAAGTTTCTGATGGTTAGTGGGTGGCTGGCAATCTGGGCACTGCTGGCTGGGGTTGTGTGCTCTCCTTAAATCAACAAGAGCTTGCTCACAGCTGACAACACAATAGCTTCCTCAGGCATACATCCAAGGATCCTTTCACTCCAGAGAAGCGTGCCTGCAACAAAAGCGTCTTGAGAACTACCAGCACTTCTGCCATTCTTCTCCCAACCTCTTTCAGTGAAGCCGCTGGCTGACAGCAGGCCAATTGCTGTAGTTCAGGCATAGGCAAACTTGGCCCGCCTATGCCTGCTGTAGTTCCCCTCCCTCCTTCCACTGCCAGTAAACTAGGCACTGGAATATTATGCTGTAAAGCAGCATGCAAAATTCCACGTGCACAATGAGAGTTGCAGTGGTCTCTGAAGAGCCTGAGTTGGGAATTAGTTTAGATTTTTCCTCTTGCTATGAATTTTAGGGGAAGGGTATATAGCTCAGTGGTAGAACATCTCCTTTGAGTGTAGAAGATCTCAGGCTTGATCGCCGGCATCTCCAAATAAGATCCTTTGTCTGAAGTTCTAGCAAGCCGCTACCTGTCAGTGTAGACAGTACTGAACTAATGGAACAAGGGTCTGACTTAGGTTGCGTATGCATTAAAACACAGCAAGGTCCACTCCCCCAACTCCCATTGCCTTTAAAATAAAATCTGCACATGATTGCACACATCTGTACAGTTGTATGTGTTTCCAAGTCAAGTGCTGCCTGCCCACACCAGTGGGCAGAGAGGGGGAGTGGTTGTCCTCATACGTTTGCAAATTGGATTGAAATTGGTTTGGAGGAAACAACATAAAAACGCAGTATCTCTCAAGGAACTTCAAGACAGATGTGGATTGTGGCTAACTTGTGTATACTGCTTCACAAACCCAGCAGTGGGAGCACACTGGATGTAGAGTAAATAGCCTTGTGTGCACTGTATAAGGCGGCTTCCTATGTTACTACGCTTGGCAGTCTTATAAAAGCTCATCCTTTCTGAGCTTCACCTCACCCCAATTTCTCCTACAGGAAATATTACCGATACACCTTTAAAAGGTGGCAGCGAGGATTTCTGTATGAAGTACTGGACTTAGGAAGTTTAAATGCTACGTATTCACTTGCTAGAAAGTTTTTCTTTATCAGCACTGCTTCGTGCCATAAACCAGAGTCTGTAGGGCAGTTATTCTCCAGCTAGCTTGTATGGATGCAAGCTTCTGTCTAAAGAACAGTGGGATGTGGTTAACTTTGATTATCCTGCTTATATTTTAAGATAAAAAGCCATGCAGACCTGAGGCATTTTTTTATGGTACTGTGTACAGTTACACCTTAAAATTATGGATACAGCACATGTGTATGATACAGATAGTGCTCTTTCAAGGAACCACAACCACTTCTACCACCTTGGGACAAATTCAGGTTTGCTATTGCTGCTTCATCTTCATTGTCGTTTTATTATTTATACCCCGCCCATCTGGCTGGGTTGCCCCAGCCACTCTGGGCAGCTTCCAATACATATAAAAACAAAATAAGATGTCAACATTAAAAACTTCCTGATACAGGACTGCCTTCAGATGTCTTCTAAAAGTTGTGTAGTTATTTATCTCCTTGACATCTAATAGGAGGGCGTTACACAGGGAGGGTACCACTGCCGAGAAGGCCCCCTGCCTGGTTTCCTGTAACTTCACTTCTCACAATAATAAGCAGCAAGGTAAATGAGAACATAGGAAGAAAGCCTGTAAGCTTCTCATTGAGTAGAGAGCACTTTGCCATCAATTAGTCATATGTGTTAGATAGGAATGAAGCATGAAGCAAATAAAGCATTTCTTATTTGAGGCATTTATCATCTTGGGGTTTTTTGGTTGCTGGGATAGTGAGTGATCATGATCACAAGACATCCACTTACAAAGCAGGCCTTCACTGAAGAGTATAGTATTCTATAATGATGACGAGGAGCTTGTAGTTCATAAAATGTCACTTTGAAAACTTGATCAGCTGACCAATTCTTTCAATGAAACTTTCATGTAAAACTCAAGTAGTATTTTATATTTTATTTATTTTTATATAAGTAGTATAGATGTCTGTTCTTGAATATGAAACTCTGTGTGAGAACTAGTTTGAAACCAGCTGAACCAGTTTTACACTGAAAAATTCTTTTCCAGAGCGAGCTGTTTGTAAACACACCAAAAAGGTGCTTCCAGACAATTACCTTCTTTGCAAGGTGAGCAGTGTGTATTACAGTGGAAAGGCGTTAAAATACACGCTGTACAAATGTTTAGGGCACAGGTGCAATTCTTATACTTCAGTAATGTACTAAAGAGAAATCTGGTTTCTGAGACAGTTTTTCTCAGCGATTCTAAAGCAGGTGTGAGAAACTTTTGGTCCTCTAGATGTTGCTGAACTACAATTCCCATCAGCCCTAGCAAGCATGGCCAGTAGTCAGGGATAATAGGAATTGTAGTTCAGCATCATCTGGAGGGCATTACATTGGCTACCACTGCCTTGGAACAAGGCAATTGCAAAAGATTATACAGTTATTGCAGCATAATGTTAGACTTTTCTCAAGTTTGGTCTAGTTTAATTGGAAATGAGAAACCAACCTTTTGCAGTGACTCATTGACCTTGTAGTGTGTAGAGCAGGAGTTGTGATGTCCACAAACACACATGTTCCCACAGGGTCCCCCATCCCCCTTGATGTTAGACTTGAAAGAAGCGTTTTGTTTAGCAATGGAATAGGTTGTGGTGTGTGTTGCCCACAATAATTTGCAGATCTGCCCATGACTGCAAAAAAGCAGGCAACCCCTTTTTAAGTTCAACATTTTATTCTATTCAAGCAAATTTATAAGCATAGGATGACTAATTCTAGAATACACTTCCTTTCTGCAAACTGCAACTAGACTACGTTATCAGCACTAATTTTTGTTTTTGTGTACGTATCAACCAAATACAGCTGAACTTAGATTTAACTATCTGGGATGCCCTAGTATTGTAGCAGAAATGAAACGAGATAGGAACTGAATTTATATCTGTCACACATTTTAGCCAGAGTTTTGCTTCTTTCGTTGACATGCTTCCTAATTCAATCAACTGTTGCAACAACCTAGTCACTTGGCTGTTACTGTCTGACATCAAAAAGAAGTGTCACACAGGACGCTTTGGAGAAAAAAAATGTGTAATTTAACTTTCTTTTATCTACAGGGTGAAGACCATGCCCGAAGATCATCACTACTTGATAGTGATGAGACAATGTCATACTACTATGATGATGTGAAGACAGTTTATGATGTCTTCCAAAGAGGAATGCACGTGTCAAGTGAGTATTCATGCTTTGGGAAAGCAAACTGGAACAGTGCTCTAGTCACCTGAAAGAAACAGTAGCTGACTGCTTTCATAGTGCAGTAAAATATTGTCTGCTGGAATAAGGTACCCCTGCCCGTACGGGCCAGTCGTGTCCGACTCTAGGGTTGCGCGCTCATCTCGCTCAAGAGGCCGGGAGCCAGCGCTGTCCGGAGACACTTCCGGGTCACGTGGCCAGCGTGACGAAGCGGCATCTGGCGAGCCGGCACCAGCGCCGCACACGGAAACGCCGTTTACCGTCCCGCTATAAAGCGGTACCTATTTATCTACTTGCACTTAGGGGTGCTTTCGAACTGCTAGGTGGGCAGGAATAGCAAATAGTAATCAGAAAATCAGGAATAGCAAATAGTAATCAGCTAAACTTTCAGAACCTGATGATTGAAGTTTAAAGTGAGAACTGTGTATCATGATGGTTGCAATATTGACATTGTGAGTAATGAAGACTTGCACATGAATTTTTAACTTTAGAATCGTGGTTTTTTGGGGGGGCTAGAGTGAACCATCTGATGGTGGAATGAACTAGAATCTCCCTTGTGTTTCTTTCTTTTCCTTTTTAGTTGCTAAAATTCTTAAACCTTTTAAACTTTTATCACTGTAGACAATGGCCCTTGTTTGGGTGTAAGGAAACCAAATCAACCATATGAATGGATCTCTTACAAGGAGGTAAGTGGACACAACTTTGTGTATGTTGATGAGATTGGTGTTTGATTCTTTTGATGCTTACAGCAATCAAGTTATTTCCTTTCAGAAATGTTGGGATGAGGGAAGTTCACAGCCACAATTATTGGGTGCATACTTAAGTGGCCTATGTTCTTTATGTTTATATTTAATACAAAATTGTTGTTAAATTTCACTAGTATCCAGGCTTTATGTGTTGCACACTTGCCTAATCTCTAGTTCAACAGACACTTTAAAGTATCTTTCAAAACTTGAATTCTAATCAGTTTTTCCTTTAGTGAACTTCCTTATATTTCCTGTCCCTTCCTTTCTCTTTCAATCCCTGAAAAGCCTGTCTGGAGGGGTCAGAGGCTCCAGACCCTGTGCACAATGGGGAAATTACCCAGAATGGGTGGGAACTTTGGGCGATAGCAGACATCTGATTGGTTTGGGGTTTTTTGAGGGGGAGGACTTTATTCAATTAACTTTCTCAAGTCAGCTTATCTTAGAATATAAGCCACCGTGTTTCATTGTAACTTGGCTAATATATATCACAAGAGATATATTACGTGTTGGAAATATTGATCCTGTGTGTGATCCCTATAATATTTCATATTCTAAGCTTTTGTATTCTTAGCTAAACAGACTTAACAGCATTCCCACCTACGTATTCAAACTGAGTATGTCTCAGCTCATTTAAAATCTGATTCTTCTATGTGGTTTGTGAATTTAATGGCCAGGGCAGTTGTGGAATTATTCTTAGCTCTGCCTAGGCATAATTTTTTAGAGCAGATACCTGGCTTTTAAAAAACAGGTTTCCATCCTACTAATTAGTGGTATATAGCTTCCCTTAAGCATTGGCCAGTACCTGTGTGAAATGTGTAAAGTGGCTAAGGTTACTGAAGAGGCTGAGCGGGATAAAATGGAAAATTGAACAGTAAACTCCTACATGCTTTCACAGAATTGGTAAGTGGTGCACCTTTACACAGACGTGTGTTTTCCCCCAGGTTGCAGAAAGAGCAGAATGTGTTGGCTCAGCACTTCTGAACAGAGGCTTCAAACCATCTCCTGATCAATTCATAGGAATCTTTTCACAGAACAGACCTGAGGTAATCAAAGGCCATCATTAGGCTGATAACTCTTGTGGAATAAGGTAGTCCAGTTGTATAGCTTTGCGCCCCTGGGAAGATGAGCTTCCATGATCCTAATTTCACCCAACCCTGTACACAGTGCAGCACTAGTACAGAGTGAATGGTTGGGAGGTTGCCATCATCCGTAAAAATCACATCTTGCTCACTAGGAAACCAATTCACCTGGAAGCCAGAATCAAGGGTTTGGTCTCCCTTTGCAAGGAAGCTGCCCACTCCTCAGCTGATCAAGCCCCCATACTGCTCTTCCTTGCAGGAACCAGAGCAGTATGGAGCTGGGTGATATATCTCGGCTGCTTCTTCCTCCCCTAAGGTGTCTCCCCTAAGGTGGAGAGGAAGAAGCAGACAAGATACTTTTCAGACACTGTGATATATCAGCATATACTGATATTTAGCTGCTGATATATCATGATGTTGAAAACCAGATATTGCCGAGCCTTAAATTGCAATATCAACTCTTACACACCTGGATATGCACTTACAAATTCTGTTGTTAAGAATGCATTGATGTTTCTTATGTGTGTAAAAGAAAACAAAAAACTTGTACAAAGAGTGTTGTAATGCAGTGCACCTATACACTTGCACAATGTGTAAAAAGAATTCATACCAAGCCCTACTATGCAACCAAGCTCATACCAGGGTGGAACTAATTGCTCATTAGCTAACTTTCAGCAATCCTTTGTACGTACATAGCTTTATAACTGAGATGTTTTTCAGAGGGAGACTGTTCCTTCATATGCACCCTTTATGGAAATTTGAATTGTGAACTGCAGACAATGCAAGCCTCTAAGACTTGATACTAACAGACCACAAAACTGAGTCATAACAACTGTGGTAGCTAAGATACCGAACGTTTCTTCCAGTTCAATACTAGTTCAGGGAGTTTGTTTCCTGCATTGTTTTTGTTGGCATTTGTTTTTTCCAACATTATCTCTTAATCTAATGTGCGACTCTTTAGGAAAGGTGTCCCATTGAACTGATTGATCCAGTAATACAATACAGCACATTATAGAGAAATAGGTGTGGAAAATATCTGGGACTTTGGTTAAGAAAGCATTAGCATATGGCTTAGCTTTAACCATCGGTTAGCTTGCTTATTATAGTATTACTTGCTTAAATCAGCTTTATCCTTTAGGTTCATGGCAACATATAATGATGGAAGTGCCCTCCTATGGCACTTCCTGATGCACATTGCATTAAAATACTCTTTGTACAAGTGATTGCTTTTTACATGCATAAGGAATTGTAATGTGTTCTTCTAAATGCTTGTATTGAACAAATTCATGTGGCAGGGAACTGGGTTTGATAGCAACACCTGTATACAAGATGAAAGTAGATACGACTGTTGTGGAGCAATAGCCCTTCTTTAACCACTCCATGCCCTTGCAGCTGCCAAATGTATGATGCGATCTCACCACACTTTTCCAGTACTGTATTACAAAGAAGAGGAGAGGGAAACTCTTTATATCATTTTCAGCAGCAGACCTATGTTTACTATGTCCAGTTCCTCCCACAGGGGCAATGTGAAGTAACCCTGAGAAACAAGATGCAGAAGTACAGTGGTACCTCGGGATACAAACGCTTCGGGTTACATGTTTTCAGGTTGCGGACCACGGGAAACCCAGAAGTACCGGAAAGGGTACTTCTGGGTTTCACCGCTTGCGCGTGCACAGAAGCGCTAAATCACGTCACATGCGTGTGCAGATGCAGCGCTGCAGGTTACGAATGCGGTGGGTTGCGGACATGCCTCCATCACAGAGTATGTCCGCAACCCAAGGTTCCACTGTAATGTTCTTTTTTTCAGTACTCCAGACTTACAAACTATTTCAACACGAATATGTACGTCCAACTCCAATGATATATTAACAGACTGTTCCAGGACTGTTTGTGTGTGTCAGGGGGTAATAGTTCTTCCTTATCTTGGTGCCTGTTCAGACTCTCAGCTTGTGACTGAACTGGTTATTAGGCACATGCAGAATGCAACAAACTGCATCAGCAAAAGCTGGCTTGTAACTTATCATAACAACAAATCCGTGCCAAACACTCGCATGCATGGGCTGGCTAAACAGCACCGATCACAAGCTGTAAATAGCTGCGTGAATGGCATCTTAGCTTCCATGACAGTATTCATAAAGGAAACTGGAATTGCAAAAGCATTGACTTTTCTCCTTACTGCTGCATACTTCAGTTGATGGCAGCAGCTTGCTTTGCAAACAAACAAGGCTGACACTGGCATACTTGAGTCACTGTTTTAATGCTAGTGTGAAAATACCTAAACCAGGCCAGCTGGCTGTAGCATCTGTGCTTGGCAAATAAGCACTACATTAACTCTGCTTCTCTTGCAGTGGGTTATCATTGAACAAGGATGCTACTCTTACTCTATGGTGGCTGTACCCCTCTACGACACCCTTGGAACTGAAGCTATTACTTACATTGTAAATAAAGGTACATTCTGCATTCCTCAACAACTGAATACACTTGTCTGTAATACAGTCACTATTAAAAAGTCTACCCACCATAACCTAAACATCATTGAATGCAACTAATTTTGCAGCTGTAGAGTTCTTTGCAGAATTGTTTTTGAAAGCTGCTACAGCAACAGAATTGCAGTAGGTAAGATGAAGTAGCCTTTAATAGCTGAGTAGACACAAGGACTTGCTGACTATAGGAAGTGAATCCATTGATTCCGACAGTCTGTTTTGGGATATAATGGCTTTGGAGAAGGAGCAGCCTGGAGAGCGTTCTTGGAATGGCCTACATACAATGAGATCCCTGCAGCAAAATGAAAGCGCCAAACTTAAGTGTACAATATGCAATTTACTCCCAACCTTGGTGACATAGTCTTTTGTGCAGAAGTAGACTAGACAGGGTGAGGGTAAGCTGATTCTAATTATTCAAATTTTAATAACTTTGCCCCCTTTCTTCCCAATTTTAGCTGACTTAGCATTGGTTTTTTGTGATAAGCCTGAAAAGGCGAAGCTTCTGCTGGATAACATCGAGAAAGGAGAAATATCTGTCCTCAAGACCATTGTGATTATGGATCCCTTTGAGAGTGATCTTGCCACTCGTGGAAAGAAATGTGGAGTGGATGTAATCAGCATGAAAGAATTTGAGGTGAGCAAAGTAGTTTATGGGACAGCCACAAGTTTTGATGATACATCAAAATCAAGGGAAGAAAGAAGCGAAGTTTAGCAAGTTACAAAATGCTGATCTTTGACCAACAGGGTAAAGGATAAAGGTTGGACTTGTGTTGTGTAAAAGCTTGGATCTCCTGGCCAGTTTACAAATTAGTATTTCACAACATGGCACTAAACATTTGCTAAGATTAAAGATACACAACCTAGTATAACTGGTTCAAAGGTTGTGTCAATTCTGGGAGGGGGAATCACACTTGAAAAATGTTAACGAGAACCTGTAGTCCTGATTTATAAAGTGTCACTGCAACAAAGATCAGAGGTCTTGTGCGCAAATCCATACTCCAAATGTACTTTGTGCTTCTGTGATGTAGTTCTCCAGTAAGCTTTGAAGTCTGACTTTTGAGGAGCCTGAACCTTTAACTGGATGGCATGAAAAAAGATCCAGCTTCAGAATGTCTAGCGCTGATGCCTATGTGCTCCCAGTTAGGATTAGGCAAGTCAATTGAGACTCTTATCACAAGACAAACCTCACTGGATCAGCCCAAAGGCCCATATAGACCAGCTTTTCTGTTCTCACAATAGCCAGACGGATGCCTGTGGGAATCCTGCAAGCAGAATTTGAGCACAACAGCACTTGCCCCACCTGTGATGCCCAGGAACTGGTATTCAAAAGTATACAGCTCTGACAGTAGTGGTAGAACGTAGCCATCATGGCTAGCAACCATTGATGGCCTTATCCACCCTGAATTTATGTAAAGCCATCCAGGTTGGGACATCATGGCCTCCTATGCAGGCAAACTATTAACTATTTGCTGTGTGAAGTACTTTCTTTTGTGTGTCCTGAATCTCCCAACATTCCGCTTCCTTAATGTACCTGAGTTCTTGTTTTACAAGGGCAAGATCCTCCTTTAGGTGACTGGCTTTCTACTGAAGCATCTACAATATTATTTTGTGTTGAGGCTCAGGAATGTCCATTTCTGCCTGAACTTTGCCCTACCTATTTCAGAATCCTATTGCCAATAGACAGTTACACATGTTTTGGTTACCAAAGTGTTTAAAAAGTGCTTGCACTTGCAGAAGAATTCCTGAATTTGCCAACAACATGTCCAAAGACTGGGTTGAACTCCCTCTGAAGGAACAGATACACAGTCTTGGGATGCTTCTGAATCCAGCTTTGTCACTAGGGGCCTTGGCCACAGTTATTCTGGACTGGGATACCTTGGCTACCATTAAACTAGGCATTGGTAACTTCAAGACTGGATTACTGCAGCAAACTCCATGTGGGGCTTCCCTTGTAGTTGATCCAGAAACTTCAGTTAATGCAGAACGTTGCAGCACAGCTGCTGACAAGAATGAAATCTTGTCAATATGTTACACCCGTGCTCAAAGATATGTGCAAATTCAAGGTGTTAGTAAATAAAACCCTCAATAGCCTGGAATGAGATTATTCAAAGGGTCAACTTGCCCCATATGTGCCCACTTGATCACTTTGATATGTGGAACTTGCATTTTTGCAGAAGCCATATAATGTTCATTTCACATCTATGAGGAAGTCAACCTTTTACTGTGGCGGTACCCATGCTGTAAAACTTCCTGCCTGGTAACATCAGGCAGGTGTCTACTGTATTGTTTTAAGTGCCTTCTCAAAACTTCTGTTTCTTTATGCCTTTTCAAATACATAATTGCATTAGGTATGCTTGCTTTCAATTTCTGTTGATCTGTAGTTTTCTATGCATAAAATATTTAGCTGGTTTAGTGTTTGTTATTTTTGTTATTGTAGCTGTTATTAGATTGTCTATAGATTTTGTTAAATAAATAATTTGGAGTTCAACACTGCTAAAGTAGTATCACTGAAGCGTTTTCCTGGGGAAATGATGACTTTGCTTTTAATCTGCTTGTTTATTCATCACGGAAACCTGTTCTGACTAGGGTGGAATCTACATACATATAAAAACAGTTCTGAAAATGCTTTTTTTAAAAGCGTTTTTAAAAATACACTGAATTCCATAACAATCTCCATCTAGTGTCACATTGTGTATTGCACTTAAAACACACTTAAAACGTTTTATTTGCAGCTGTATAGCTGAGTCCTAGCTCTTGCCTCCAGACTATCACCAGGTTTATTTGTTTCATTACTGGTAGAAATTCACTCATCATAGCCATACCACATGCATGTCTTTCGTTTCTGCTCCCCAGCCCAATGGCAAATTCAGAAAACTAAAGAGGCCAGAGGCAGCACTGTTAAACTTAATATTAAACCAGTTTAATAATTTCTGGCTTGTGTCCTGAGGTGAAGTTTAGGGTGTGGATTTCCAAATGCTTGATTACCAGCATGAGCCTTTCTTCATTCAGGGAAGGAGCTTTCCTTTACTTATTTAGTTTTAAGTGACAAATTTGAAAACCACAACAAGCAGTGTTTCTAGGTTACCTCATGCATATACCAAGGTGGAATTTACTACTAGTTGCATGTTGTGCCAGTTCAGATCTGTCCTGAATCAACTGCATGCAATCAAACATAATTTACTGTGCTCCCACTGGAGGTGCTCCAATTCTAGTTCACCGAGGGAGGGGAAAGGTCAGAACCTGCGGGCATTTGATGAGTACAGAGCATAAGCCTTGCCAGCTTTCCAAAACTTAATTGAGTTTAAAACCTGTCTAAGTGTATAACCTATAAATGAGGAAAGCTGTCATTGTTTTAAGTGCTAGGTGAATAGTTGTGCTTTCCCTTCCAAATAGCTGAGCCTTGGTTAGAAACCGATGAATGAAAAGTAGTTTTCACTGCTGCTCCTGAGAGAGCTTAAAGTAAGAGCTATGGAAATCCCAACCTTCATTAGCTTCCTAACTTGCCATCTCTTTCTCTCTCTCCTTCCTGTCTTCCTTAAAGGCACTGGGAAGAGTCCACAAACACAAAGCTGTAGTAAGTATCATGCAGATTCTAATATAAAAACCTAGTTTACATTTTTTTAACCTTTCAAACTGTGTGTGTGATCAGTTGTTCAAGACAGACTGCTAGTCTAATCTCTTACTCTTCTTCTTAGCTTCCAAAACCAGAAGATCTAGCCATAATCTGTTTCACCAGTGGAACTACAGGTACACCTTAGAAGTATTGTAATGGGGAGACAACATTCGTCGGTTGGGGAAGTGAGATTAGAATTTTGAGATACCTGGATTGCAGTCTAACATAGAAAACTGATTTAATGCTATAAAAGCAGATTCTTTACTAAACTGCTATGAGCCCTAGTTTTTGATGGGGCACAGAGACTTCAGTTGTATGTCTAAGCTGCTGAGAAGGACAGAGGTTTTGGAGGTAGGGGAAATTATCCAGCCTTGCCCATATCCTGGATTTCTCTTCACATTTGGTAGGACATTTAAGGAAGTAAAATGGATTATGTGTATTCATTGTATAACCTATCATTCTTAAGCTCTTGCATATGTATACAAGCGTTTCAGCAGCTTAGTTAGAAACTGGATGTATTCACTATTACATATATTAACACCTTTTTTCCTCTAGGAGACCCCAAGGGAGCAATGATTACTCACCAAAATATAGTGAGCAATATGTCGGCATTTGTGAAAGCTACAGAGGTAAAGTGTGATGGTTGAGTTTTTAAAAGCTTAGAGTGTACCTCACTTGGAATGGAAGCAGCTAGACCTTCCACAATGTACTATCCTTTGAGCTTCTGAAACATGTTATAACCAAACTGTTGGAGATAGACAACTGCATTGCACAATTAAAACTTTGTTAGCAATCTTTTTTAAAACAACAACAACAACACAAAGCTGCCCAATGATTATTTAATACTTGGACACTGTGGCAGTCTCCCCCAGCCTGGCACTTTCCGGATGTTTTCGATTCCTACTTGCAACATGCATGGCTGGTTGGCAGGGATTATGGGAGTTGTAGTCAAACAACACCTGGAGGGGTAGTAGATGGGAAAGGCTGCTTTGTGAATTAATCTTAATTATAGTTGGGTTTAGAATGCACCCTGTCTTGAAGGTTCACTGAAATTAATTGTAAGGGGAACCAGAACATAGGTGTGTCTGCTAAATTTCTTAATACTTCAGATTGCCTTATGGCACTAAGTGCTGTAGTGCTCAGAACAGTGTTGTAAGAATTACTGCAATAATATAAGGTGGGTCGGTGCTCCCACATGAATAGTGCTCTGAGTGGCTTTCCTAAGGCCACTGACATTTGATGGTTGAGATGGTATTTGGGCCAGATGCTATCTGACATGAAGCCTATCTCCATAACGAATGTTCCACCAGTTTTCCCCACATATTTTAATTGTAGCTAACGTAACCTAGTGTTAACTCTATAGCCAAGTGTATTATTGCTTCTCTACTTGCCTGATTCGAAGAGCTCTTGCATAAAGCACAGTATCAAAAGATATCTGGATTTTTAAAAAAATAACAAGTAGGTCAGTCGGTTTAAGAAGGAGGATCCAATCGAGGGATGATTGGACGACGCACTCAGCCCTTTATATCTGATGTTCCTATCTAGCTTTTGATATGATAGAACATCTCACTTATCCAGTTTTTCTTGTGACCTTGAGGCAAGAAAAAACTTTTCTAATATGTTTGTTATCAATAACCCAGGATTAGACGCGAGAACCCTGTTAGCTGTGAAAGCCACACTGGAAATGATTGACACAACTTTCGAACCCCATTTTGCAGCTGATAGGGCAATGTGGTATAAAAAATAGTCTCCAAATTAACTTGATCAGCTAACTTGGGTTTTTGTTTAATTTGTAGCTTGCATTCTTTCCAGTTGCTTTGGTGGACATGTGTACTGGTTCTGTTTTAACTGACATGGAATAACAGGCGGGAATAAGTTGGTGACTTGGAACTTCTCAACATCAGCAACTTTTAAAAAATACTGTAATCAAAAGACCAAACTTTGTTTCAACTCTTTTTAAAAATTCAAGGTTAACCATTAAAAAGATGGACTTTTGGATAAATATGTGTTTGGGTATCTGTTCTTGCACTAAACAAATTTAACTCTTACATTTTCCTCTTTCTTTCTTCTATTGGTGCTTCCACTGACAGAAAGCAGTTTTTCCTTCTACAGAAGATATTTTAATATCCTTCTTGCCTCTGGCCCACATGTTTGAGAGAGTTGTGGAGGTAGGAACCTGTATTTTCTATGTAACAATTAAGTAGTGTCCTCTTTTTGCAGAGTGGCTATATAGTGAGTGCCAGAGACACACACATTTCCTATTTGCCTCTTGCACATGTATTTGAAAGAATTATGCAGGTAAGACTCTTTCTTTGTGGGGAAGCAATTTTTTTGTCAGCCTGTCAACAAGCAAGAAGAGCATCTAAGCCGGTATGTTGAAACGGAACAGAAAGGGGGGGGGGGGAATAAAACTTTTTCTTTTTTTATTACGATACTGCCTAACAACCCCCCTCCTAGAAGAACCGTCAATACAACCTATAGCAAGTGAGATGGGAAAATAAACTGTGTGGAAATAAAAATATCAACTAAAGCCTTTCTTTTTTGAAATATCTGGAAAGAAAATAAAAGGCTCTCCTGTGACGCAGTTTTTAATCGGGATGCGCCATTATGAGACAGGCTATGCTGCAGAGATTGATAGCCACAACCCTCGGGGGGGGGGGGAGTTTGAGAAGCACCACACTGTTCTGTGTATTTTAAGTGAGATTGTCTCATCCTCTGTCTCTAATGCTTTCTGAATGCCTTCAGTGCATTCCAAAAGTTGAAACATACAGCTCTACTGTAGACCAGTGAAAAAACGTTGGTGTGCCTGCTGATCTCTTTAGCCATATGTCTCCAGGCTAATTCGTCAAGCAAGATGTGTAATTCCTACAGCATTTACCCAGCAAGAAATTCAGCGAACTTGCTGACTGAGTTAAGGATGAGATTTACCAATCTTGGTGTTAGATTGTGAGGCAGGAAACACAGTATGAACCAGACTAGTCAAAAATTTGCATGCTCATTGGTATTGGGGTGCAGAACATATTGAGGACCGTAACTTTTGTTTTAGTTGGGTGTGTGAGGCAAAAATGATAGAAATAAGTTTCTTAGACAGCACTGTTTTTCTTGGTAAAGATACTTGGTCAGAGTCTAGCTATGGCTAAGCAGTTAAACTTGTGATATGCCAGAAGAGTGCAAAGAATGCTTTAAACTACACTTAGAAAATATGCAGAATGTCCCTAATTTTTAACTTGGGCAAATCTACTTGTCCAGCCAGGTGGGTTTGGTTTTAATAATATATATGGTCTCATTCAACAGTGCGTGATTCTCTGTCATGGAGCTCGGATAGGATTTTTCCAGGGAGACATCAGGCTACTTATGGATGACTTAAAAACTTTGCAGCCTACAGTGTTTCCAGTTGTGCCAAGACTGCTGAACAGAATGTTTGATAAAGTAAGTCCACGAGCAATCGAATCCAGTCCGTGCTTTCCTTCTCACTCCCCTTACAAGTTCAGAAGAGCACACTTTGCAGCTTAGTGAACCTGCCCGTAGCCATCAGGGCGGACATCGCAAGCAAAGTTGCCTCTAGGATTTGCTCGGTGAACCGGTATCAATAAGCCAGTAAATGACCCGTGCAATTTTTTGCTGCAAACATAATAAAAAATGGTCTCTCTTCTCAGATCTTTGGCCAAGCAAATACTTCATTTAAGCGGTGGATATTGGATTTTGCTTCCAAGAGGAAAGAAGCAGAACTTAGAAGTGGCATAATTAGAAATAACAGCCTGTGGGATAAAATGATTTTCCGTAAAATACAGGTAACTATACCCCTGCATTTTAAAAAATGAAAATAGTGTGCTCACTGGAGGGGGGCAGAAGCAATTGGGTTACAAGTACACCCTGCATGGCAGAAACATCCACTTTCAAGAGGATGGCTTCAAACAATCCCAATAAAGAGCCTTCCTCTTTTCCTGGCATAGAATTGCCAAATGGGGCCCACTTACACATTAATTTATTATGCAGTCATCCTGCCCTCAGCTCCTTTGGAAGGAAGGGCAGGATATACTTCTAATAAATGAATTAAATAAATGAAAATTGCCTTCTACTGTACATGCTTGGTTTTAGAATGGCCACTGATCTTCATTGCTGTGTCGTGGAACAATTCCAAATGGTGAATTAACAAGGCAGCCAGTGGTACAGTGAATACTGTTCTAAGGAATAATCTCTTTATTCACTTAACTCACATGTACATAGAAACCATCAATGGGATTTGCACATTTGAGCCACATTGAGATGTATATCCAAGTGCCACTCACCATAGCTTTTTCCTGGATGCTACTGTTGGAATGAAAATAATTGTGGACACTTCTCCCCCCCTCTCTTTTCAGGCAAATCTGGGAGGAAAAGTCAGGCTAATGATAACAGGAGCAGCTCCTGTTTCTGCCAATGTACTGACCTTCCTACGAGCAGCTCTTGGTTGTCAGGTGAGTTTGGACTGTGACTGAACTGTAAATCTGCTCTACTTGTTATTTCGTAAGTTTCCTTAAAGCATTTTATTTTATTTTTTGTCAAGAGTATAAACGCCATACTTTCCTCATAGTGTTAAAGTATAACCAAAAAGAGTAGAATCTGAGTAGGAGAGAAGCTGATGTGCAAGTTGTCTCACTCTAAGGATGTATTTGGGGAGTGGGATCACTTCTAGTAACATGTCATTAGATGCCCCACTAACAAAAACTAGCTCTCTTTTTGATAGCACGGTATTTCCATGAAGTGGATAGTAGTCCATGAAAACGTACGCCATAATAAATTGGTTTGTCGTAAGGTGACACAAGGCCACTTGTTGATTTTGCTGCAACAGACTTACATGCCTGTCCTTCTGAAAGCATTATGCCCATGAGTGGAAATCTCCCATTCCCAATGCACACTTAAAAGAGAGAGATGTGCTTCCACAATTCAGTGTGTTTGGCCTTTAGGTATAATGTTAGGCCAGGGGCTGGATGCTAATGTTTATTATTAAAACTGCAAGAATGTATTTCAGAAAACGCTCCAAATTGAAAGCAGATGGGATTTTGTTCAAATGTTCTAACAAAAGCTATGAGACTTGTGATTACTCACTAAAGACAGTTCTGTAGGAATGATTGTATATGTTGGAATTCTTACTGAAAATATTTGTAGTGCAGGAGGGTAGAGAGACCATGGATGGCTTAGCAAAAATGAATCCTACATTCATACAGGGTTTTTGTAAAAGCTTAGCCTGCATATTGCCTACAGTTCTGTTTTTTTGTGTTAAAGGAACAACAGAATAGGAGAGGGGCTATAAAAGCTCCAATGGCTAATTTCTATACTCTGTTTAACAGTTTTATGAAGGCTATGGACAGACAGAATGCACAGCTGGATGCTCCCTAACAGTACCTGGTGACTGGACCGCTGGTAGGGCTTCTGTGTTCTTTCTTGAAACGTTGTTAAAAAGATGGCATGGTAACTCAAGCATGAAGTGAGCCTTCCAAAGAAGTTTATGGACTGTTAGTGCAAGGAAAGGAAAATTGTATTGCTTCCAGTAGTGGTCCACATACCTGGTGTTCTGGAAATAAAGGGAGTCTTGCTGTTCTGCTCTGTGCAATCCCACAGAGGGTGGAGCTTTTCAATTTGCATTTCATTTCCATATTAGACTGGAATTGATAGTATATTCCATATATCTGGTGGAGATTGGCTGTGGAAGTTCATGATAGCAGAACCAGCTATCTTCATATTACACTGTTCCTTGCTTGACTACATTGGCTGCCAATTAGTTTCCAGGCCCAGTTCAAAGTATTGTTTTTGACGTATAAAGCCTTAAATGGCTCAGGACCACAATACCTCAAGGACCACATCTCTCCATATGAACCTAACCCAGGCTTCCTCACCCTGGCCCTCCAGATGTTTTTGGCCTACAACTCCCATGATCCCTAGCTAGCAGGACCAGTGGTCAGGGATGATGGGAATTGTAGTCTCAAAACATCTGGAGGGCCAAGGCTGAGGAAGCCTGATCTACCCAGACCCTGAGATCATCCTCTGAGGTCCTTCTTCGTATGCCGCCTCCTTGAGAGGTCCTGAGGGTAGCAATGCGAGAAAAGGCCTTTTCTGCAGTGACTCCCTGTTAGTGGAATGCTCTCCCCGAGGAGGTTCGGCTGGTGCCTTCATGATACACTTTTAGGCCCCAGACCTTTGGCTGATTAACATCCTATTCCTTTTTAAATGTGTTTGTGGGAAGGGGAGAGGTTTTATTTATTTGTTGTTTTTGTCCTTGTTTTCCAATGTATTTTGTGGTTTTTAAATCTTATATATTTATGTTTTTAACCACTCTGAGATCTACGGATGAAGTGCAGTATACTAATTTAATAAACAAAATAAAAATAAAAATTACGCACTAAGTGCCAGCTTGCCTGGCTGCACTTGAACTCAAGTCGGGTTCCCACTGGTTATTTTGATAAGACCAGACGAACACAGTAGCTAATCACAGATCTAGCTACTTTAATGAAAGTAAGCCTTGGATGCAAATGCATACATGGAAAGCCCTGTGTAACGCAATTAAGGCATTGTGGTAACAAAGCACTGGGCATTACATACAGATACAGCAATGCCATCACTGAAGCAATACCATACACTGCAGTTTCCAGTGTATCATTTAAGTCACATGGATCTCTCTCTATAGTCAATGACCATGAGCAAATTTGGTATGTATGAGTTGACTCTAGAAGAGTTTGTTTTGATCAATGTGATGGCTGGGAGCCTTAATACAACTTTAAAAAGTTGAGGTCAAAGTACCCTTTGAAACATTCAAAACTCAGGCTTGGGACCATGAGAAAACAATAAAGACTGCAGTCTGAATGACACCACTTCTGCTTATGTAGAGCTACAGTTATAAAGTGAGTACTATTGCCACATGCTTAAAGACATTATTTATCCAACAAATAGGTCACGTTGGTGCCCCAATGCCTTGCAACATTGTAAAGCTTGTTGACGTTGAAGAAATGAATTATTTTGCTGCCAAAGGAGAGGGTGAGGTAAGTAGCACTCTAAATCCAAGGAATGGACCTATGCCAGGAGTCCTCCATCTCAAATTGTACCCATTGTTTAAAAATAAATACTATCTATATCCAAAGAAACCATAAAAAACCTCATTCAGTTTAATGACCTCGGATTGTGATCTCGATCAACACAGTTTGTCATACAGAGACAAATGCTCTGGTAATGTCACTAAAGCATGAGATTAGAGAGAATCGCTCTTGAGTGAGATGCACTGGCTACAGAAAATGAGCTTTATTCCCACTCCATCCTAACACTGAAACACTTAATAGGAGAAACCTGTCCTGCAGATTTTTTTACAGAGTGTGTGTTCCATTCTATTTCAGGTTTGCGTAAAAGGGCCAAATGTGTTCCTAGGCTATCTGAAGGAACCTGAAAAGACTGCAGAAGTTCTTGACAAAGATGGCTGGGTACACACCGGAGATATCGGGAAATGGTTACCAGTAAGTAAACCTGTGAATCGATCATTTTGAGACATAAGAACAAATATCAAGATGGCTTGCCATTGCTTTAATTCCACAGATAGAGATGTCCAGACTTTCCATTGCCCTACATATCTTGCCTCTTTGCATTCTCTTTTTGAACTTCACAAACATGTTTTATCCTCCTTTAAGAGTGTTTCAGGTTAGAATCGGAAAGAAAGGTACCAGAGGGCTGCTTCAGTCCTTTAATCAGAAACCAATTAAAATGCAAAAATTAATGCAAGTTAGTAAGAATGATGGATTGCTAATCCTACTCAGAGTAGACCCATTGAAGTTAATGGACACAACTAATGTAGTCCATTGATGCTTTTGAATTGATGCTTTTCAATTATGGTGCTGGAGGAGACTCTTGAGAGTCCCATGGACTGCAAGAAAATCAAACCTCTCCATTCTTAAGGAAATCAGCCCTGAGTGCTCACTGGAAGGACAGATCCTGAAGGTGAGACTCCAATACTTTGGCCACCTCGTGAGAAGAGAAGACTCCCTGGAAAAGACCCTGATGTTGGGAAAGATGGAGGGCACAAGGAGAAGGGGAAGACAGAGGACGAGATGGTTGGACAGTGTTCTTGAAGCTACCAGCATGAGTTTGACCAAACTGCGGGAGGCAGTGGAAGACAGGAGTGCCTGGCGTGCTCTGGTCCATGGGGTCACGAAGAGTCAGACACGACTAAACGACTAAACAACAACACAATGTAGTCCATTGATTTTTATGGGTCTGCTCCAAGTAGGACTTAGTGGAAAACAACCCAATGTTCTCTTAAGCTTCACTCACAAAACAAAGTCTGTGTGATTTGATGCAGCATCATACTTCTAAGCCTTTAGAAGTAACTTAAGCATGTCCTTGTCTGCATGTGTAGATCAAATTGCCTGTTGTACAAGTGTCATCAAGATGGCAAGCCAAAGCACTGAATAATATGAAGTTAATTACAAAAAACAACAACCCAAGTTAATGACAGAAACAGCATTCAGACTGGAGTAGTGACTACTTGGTTTAATCCTACAAGGGATGGAAAAGAGGGAAATAGTAAAATAAAGGGAACAGCAACAGATGCCAGAAATGTGAAGCTTCTAATTAGACAAGAGGAATCTGAGAATAAACAACACTGGTGACAGCAATGCACATTCTAGAGACTATGTCCCTTTTTTAATACTGAACTAGTTTCATTCTGACTTGAACGCAGACCGTTTCTTCCAGCTACTATAATTAACTTAAGGGTCAGTCAACACCACCATCAGGATTGTGATGTAGAAGCTGGCCTTTCAGTGGAGTTAAGACAATGCAAATTTCATATTACCACAATTACTACATTTCTTTATGTTGGCATGCCATCTGCAGCTGTTAGACAACTAGTAGAAAGGCCCAGCTGTGGATCGATATATCAACAACATGAGGAATGGATGAATGTGTCCATGGATTTAGCAGTGCAACCCTCTGATTACCTGCGACCTGTGGGGGCAGGAAGAGGTGGATCAGTCAAAGCAACTGCACCTCCAGGAGGTCCCAACTGCTACAGTGGATAAACTGCAGCAAATTGTTGTAATAGAGTGTGCTGCCACCAGAACACAGCTGCACAGTATACCTGAAAGGGTTCAAACTGCAAAGCTAAGTTGCATAGTATCTCTCCTGGGATACCAACCTTAATACATAGAATGCCAGGCATTTCAGACTCTTCCCCAAGACAGATGATTAAGCAGCCCAGAACATTTAGTACCCAGGCAACAAATGGAGGAGGGCGACAATATACCACTGTAGCAGCTGAGGCCTCTTTACCAGGAGAACCCAGGAATGCGTTCTAAATAGTCTGAGGCATTCATCCCATCACCGTTGACAAAGTTGGGACAGTGTATTATGCAATGAATGTAAACGAATGAATCTTTGATTGATTTATTTGACGCTTGTAACATGCTCATAACTGATACATTAGAACTGTTTGTTCTAATGTAGGCATAAATCAGAGAGGGAGTGAGAGAGAGAGAGAGAGAGATCTAGTTGTTCCAGATGATTCAAAGATAATGAGCAAGGTCAAATGCTACTGTGAACTATTCCTTCTATTGAGTCTTCTGCTAGCACTTGTGTTATTGTTCATGGAGCAATGTGGTCCTGAATTCATTACGTGAACAGTTTTTAGGAGTAAGCTAACTATTATTATTGTGTTACAGAATGGTACACTGAAGATAATTGACAGGAAAAAACATATATTCAAACTTGCACAAGGAGAATATATTGCACCAGAAAAAATAGAGAATGTTTATATGAGGAGTGAGCCTGTTGCCCAGATATTTGTCTATGGTGAAAGTTTGCAGGTATGTTTACCTTAAATGTCTATTAGAAATAGCCTTCTAAATGGAGCATGTAAGCATAATTTTTTTAGTTGTTAGTGGATTTTATTTACAATTAGATAAAATGCTTACTTCTGGACAGGTTAGACTAGCAAAGAGCTGTTTGTAAAATATAAAAAGTGATATTGCTTATTTGGGAAAAGCCTATTTTTAAAAAGATATTTATTTCTGTGGTAGTACTAATGTGTACATTTAGGCTACCTGATACAAGCCAGGCTTGATGAATGTCTAATCTATGCCGGGAAACATTCTTCCATAAATGTTGAGTCTTAAATGTGAAGTCCTTAGAATTTTAGGGCAGATTTATTTAAATATTTACATCCCATTTTCAAACCTGCAATGAGACCTTTAAGAAGGGCAACCTAATTTGAGACCATCATAATGAGCTAAAAATGATGACCCAAACCTAATAACTCAGCACCAAGATTTAAACCTGCTGGAATAAAAATATTATGTTTTGTCATTGAAAGGCCATTCAAATCTCTTCATAGTGTCTTCTCCTACCTGCAGTGATGCAACAAACCCCTCAATAGCATTGACAATAGCATAGTTTGCTACCTGACTGTACTTTGCGGGGTGGGGTGGGGGGTTCTCAGAGAAACTTCTAAAATGAATTGTCAGTGGGCAGCTTCTAACATGCTCCCTTACTTCTACTTAGGCTTTCCTAATAGGAATTGTAGTACCAGATCCAGATGTTTTGTGTAGCTGGGCCAAGAAAAAAGGAGTGGGAGGCACCTATGAAGAACTATGCAGGAGCAAGGTAAGGGATTGGATCTGTGATTTAGAGAAGTCTATTCTTCCCACCCTTTTCATAAGCTTCATCCAGGCATCCATTCTGCTCCTGAGACCACAGCGTGGCAGGTGAACGGGGGTTACACCTGCTAGCCTCATCACAATGTCTACACATCATCGCAGTCTGCTTTTGTGCTCTGGCTAGCATTGCCTAGAGGGTTGACTAGGAGTCAATGTGGCCCTCAGTCCACAAAAGCTTAACCACCTCTGGTCTAAAGGATGTGGTGACTCTACTCATATGTTTCCCTCAAGCAACTGAGAGTCCTGGATTACTGAAACATTCAGTCTCATGGGGGAGCCTATGCATGTACAGCTAGCTCCTCCCTTTTAGATCTTCAATGAACACATGCAGGTGAGGGGTGGATAAAGGTAGATAAATATCCACAATAAAACGTGCACTTTTGATAGGTGGTCCACAAATAGTTCAGAAATACTTTCTTTCAGTATTGCTCTATAACTCTTATTATTCTGAATCCGAATAGGACATCAAAAAATATATTCTGGAAGACCTGTTGAAAGTTGGGAAAGAGTTTGGCTTGAAGTCTTTTGAACAGGTGAGTATCTCTTTGAAGTTTCAACTATAATATTTGTACTTTGATTTCAAATTAAACTGCTTTATTTGCATAGCTGGTTCATTATTGAATCAAAGCTCTAATTTTAGAACAGACCTGAATCTGTGGGGCTGATTTTTGAGAATACATCTTAATTTCATCCCACTTTCACTGCAATAGGGAATAGAATAGAGGTGCCTTTCTCTTTCCCTTTTGAGTGTCAGTTATGTAATTTTATCAGGAAATAAATGACAAAATAAACCTAATGCTGCAAGCAAGTAATGAAAGCAGTTTTAAGATAAAAAGTTTAAAATATAAATTGACAAAATGTAACCAATAGAATATGCCTAGCACTGTGTTTGTGTGTGTATCAATAATAAACCAAATGCTGTAATGTACAAATAGTAATAAATTCAAAGAAAATGCTATAATAACTGGATGTGTTTCAACCCAAGTGATCATCTTCAGTGGTACCACAAAATATTACAAAAATTTCAGCCTCATCAACCAGCATGCTTGTGAACAATATAAAATAATCTGCTAGGCGTATTTTATTGGTTTATTTTTTATTTTCTAACTTTTCCTTTAGTTTTCATTGTTAAATCCTACTTTGCAGAGTTATACTGCTGAGTATTCCTAACATAAATCACTTAGAACAAACTGTTCTGAACATTATCTCATATATTCCAAAATGCCAATTTTGCTGTTAATACTAGTTAATGAAAAAAGAATGCAAAATCTGACTTCCTGTCTTATCTTTCCAGGTCAAAGGCATTACCCTTCACCCTGAAATGTTCTCTGTCGAGAATGGCCTGCTAACGCCAACATTAAAGGCAAAGAGACCAGAGCTACGCAAATACTTCAAGTCCCAGATAGAAGAACTCTATGCCAATATACAGATGTAACTGAGGAAAACTGTTGGAGAGAATGGCATTTGCTATTGACCTTCATATCTCTAAATTGACTACAGCAAATATAGGGAAGGAAACAGTGCAATCATCAACTTGTACGCAAAGGGGTACTCGACATAGGAAAACTGAAGAAAATGGAACACTGCCTTACTGTCCACTTGTGTTGCAGACCATTTTTTATGGTGACATACAACTTCTTCAATGCGCCTTAAAACTGTAAATGGTATCTATGTGATTTGTAAGTTATTTAAGACTTCCTCAGCCAAAAATGTGACTCTCTCCAAGGCATGTAAAGGGATGTGTGTGTGTGTTGCTAGCACATTTTATTGTCTTTAGTATATTTTGCAGCTGGTGGTTTCTGCCCCATGGAGATTTTTAGTGCACATTGAGAAAGGCAGGTCCCTTAGGACGCTGGCAGAAACTTGGCTACTTTGGTTTCCTGTTGACTCCTTTGAAGCTTTTCTGGGTGTGTCTTATGCCCTAGGAATCTAGATGAAACTACCAATGCAATACATGTTGACTTCATGAGCTCCAGAGATGGTTGGGCCATTGCAACATCATGCTGTAGCATGCATGTGGATGGAATTCCAGTGCTGGGGCTAACTGTCATGCTCATTCATTGTTGGCCACTAGATTGCCAGAGCAGGCTTAACCTTGGACACTTTTAACTTGATTATCTTTGTGCAAAGTTGGCTTCTGCTTCACACTATTCTCACATTCTGATCTCCAGTATACAAAAAAGCCAGAAACTGGGATGTGGTTTAACATGGGACATTCTTTCATTAGGCATGAAGTGGGGAAAGATATTTCAGTTACCATGTATCTGCACCAGTATTTCATTGGGTGGGGGGAATGAAATTGAGATGCCTTGTAATAATCCATGCTTGAGGGTTTTTCCACATAGCAAGTCATAAATTCCTGTTTAAATATATGTAAACAAGCACAATGAAGTTTGCACTAAAGATTGTGTAACTGTAATGCACTACTCAGTTGTATAATTTCATACATATGTACCCTAATTGCACAGCCAAGCCAATACTCATAGAGTATTAAGTCACTTGTTACATTGGAGTTCGAATGTTTGCTTAGTGTTGGCTATTTCTATATTTTATAAACCAAAATTTCCAAAAACCAATGAAGGAAACCAAAATAAATATTTCTGCATTTAATTTGAGTAAACCTTTTTAAGAAATTGCATCAAATGTTCATAACAATGGGAACCACTGTCTGAAAAGTGTGGCATGGTAAAATGTAGTTTAAAAGAAACTGAGTATTACTAATTTATTTATGGGGTGGTGGGGTGTTACTTGAAGTACTTAATCATGTTCCAAATGAAGCCAAAGAAAAAGAAATTGTAGGATCCTTAAAGTTGTTCTGCTGGATTTTCAACTCTTGCTTTCTCTCGCAGGAGTTCTCTGCACTTATGGTGAAACAATAAACACACAACTCTGTGTACATCTATTGCAGAGAGCTCTTTGCAAATTTAGAGTGCTCAGCCTGTTAATAATCATGGGCTATAGCTTACTACATGAACAAGAGGAAACCAGTAGCTCATAAGAGGAGCTTGTGGTACAGTTAACATCTGCAGTGGTCTGAAAAAAGCTTGTTAAGAACTTAAGAAGAGCGCTGCTGGATCAGACCAAAGGCTCATCTAATCCAGCGTCCTGTTTTCAGTAACCACCCAGATGCACTCAGGTCCTGCTTTCAGTTTCCCATAGGCAGCCATGCATTTGAGCTTCCCAGCAACTGCCTTATTCAAAAGACTGCTCCTACAAAAATAACCTGAGGTCATACAATGGCTTTCTCCTTCCCCATCGCTGCTCCATTACCAAAACCCTTTGACTAGCGTGGGGTGTTTGTTTGTTTGTAGCTCTTATATCTGCAAAAAGTTTGGCTCCACAATTTAAAGCAGGGATGGGGAACTTATGCCCCTCCATATATTGGACTAAAACTCCCATTACCTGGCCATTCCGATGGGACCTGGAAGTCCAGCAACAGTTGTGAAGCCACCAGCTCCCCACCACTGATTTAAAGAAATAAGTTCCCTACTTCACTCAGGCTGCAGCTTTATATCCCTATTGGACATGGATTTAGAAAACGCAGGATGTATCCTCGACTCTTTCCCTATTTGAATCAAAACTGTTAACTCTGGTGTCTTGTTTTGTAAGTTTTTAATGTATGTACTCTGTATTTGGAAGCTGTAAATTGCTCTGTAATATTCTGATACCTTAACAGTCTTTTGATACTCGCTTGCTTTGAGGAAGCGCCATCTATATTATAGTCCTGCTTACTGTAAATTATGTAAAATTTACAAACATTTCTGCTTCTTGTTTGACCAAAAGCACTTAGAAGAACATGGCCTTTATTACAATATTGGGTGTGTGTGGAACTGAAAATTAGATCACCTTTAAAAGCATACTCCTGATTCTTTCTAGTTCAAATGGTGGAATGGATGTCTTCTCTAACAAAATGTTTGTCTGATTAACTTGAAAAACAGTGACATGAGGTGCTAAGAAGTACCAGGATCCTCCCTTTCCCCATTAAAGTGAAAAGAATAGAGCAGTACTCTGCTAATCTAAGATTAGTTGTGCTGCTTATGCCTTATCTTCACACTTCAGGAACACATCTGTTGGCTCTTGGTCTACCCTACAGAGTACACCAAGTTCTACCTCACCCCACCCCTCTGTAATTACTTCTGCAATTCAACCACCATAAGTAAGTGTCTACTGCTGCCCTTTCACCTAGTTTGGCAAGAGACAGAAATATGCAATCTCGCTTTATCTTGACATCTCAGATGCTTGCAGACACATGCCCACAGCATGCAGTAAAACTTTAGCAAAAGAGCTTGTTGTAGTTTAGAGTGTGTTGTAGTTGCTTTCAGATAAGCAGCCTGGCAACTCTGTAGGTGGTGGTAGTATTGTTAGCAAATACTCTGCACTGAATTTGGGGCACCTGGCAGATGAACTTGCTTTCAGAAACCTCTCATGGAGAGTGCGGCAAGCAGTTGAACCCACTGAGGAGGGCATCTTGTCAAAAGACTCTCCAAAATTGGGAGATGCCCTTCTTGTGATGATGCCCACAAGAGAGAAGGCAAGCAATTTCCCTCAAAACATCTAAGGGGGCCCTGAGGACAATTCTTTAAAATTAATCTAACCATGACATGGGTTCCCTATGTTTCTAAATCTTGAGGGATAGCAAAAGAAGCAGAATGCAGAAAGAATTAGGAATCCTACTTACCCTTTAGATGAAGAAACTTTCTTGCTTTCTCAAAACATAATTGCTTTCTCAAAAACGACCACCACAAAACAAACTAACTACCACCTTTGCTCACCTCAACTATCCTCAATTAGTTGCTTCTCCCAAAGTCCTCAGCCAAGTCACTCAGCAGGGGGACGTGTCACAACCAAGGACATGACACCATTACTTTAGCTACCTTGCTTAACTATGGGCATGGCTCTCCTTAATATTCTTTTTAAAAAAAATACATCTTTTAGTGAGTGAAGTGGTTTTATTTAATTTATTTTTAAAAGTTCTAGACCCCTTTTCATGCAGCACAGTGATTTTCTGGAAAAGACAGGAAACACCACACACATACACTTTTCAGCATGGTGGGGTCACCAAGGGAAACACTTCTGGCCTAGACTACGGCCGCTGTTTCTCACTTAATAGTTAAAAATAACCCCTCAACACCCTGTAGTAATCTGTCCAGTATTATGATGGACAGGAGCAAGACTTCACTCTTAGACCTCCTCATCCGCCTGTTTCTTTCAGTTTCTGCCCAGTGTCTTCCACCAAGAAACAAACACCTTCCAATTCCCCTCCTGTCTGCATGGATGAAGTAAGACAAATCAATCAGCTTTACAAAAGATGCACAGGCTGTCCTTTAGCTTCATAGCTCCTCCTCATTTCTCACTACACACAAGTAGGTAGGTGTTGGTCTGCCGTAGTTGAAACAAAATAAAAAAATTCCTTCCAGTAGCACCTTAGAGACCAACTAAGATGGTAGTACTGAACTGTATTCTTCCATTCATAGAAAGTTCTTTGATCTGACAAAGAATTACCTTGAGTCATATCTGAATTTTTGCAAATTCACCTCTTTTACAATCTCCTGTTGTTCTGGGGCCCCCAATCTTTCTGCAACAGATTTAGGAGGCTGTAAAGCAGGTGTGGGGGAATCCTTAGCCTTCCAATTGTTGCTGAACTACATCCCCCATAAGCCCCAGCAAGCTTGGCCAATGGCCAGGGATGATAGTTGTTGTTCAACAGCATCTGGATGGCCAAAGGTTCCCCATGCCTGCTAGACAGGGAAGGAAAAGTCAGCAAAAAATACCTTACTCCCTTTCCATTAACAGAAGCCTTTGTCAGTACTGTACAGTATTGTGCCGAGGCACTTCTTGCAGGATTGTACAACGAACCCTCAGGTGTCCATTGATATTGTTGCCAAGTACTTTGCGGATAAAATCACTTGTGTCTCACTTGGAAGTCCAAGCTGACTGCACTGCAAATGTTGGGCATCTCCTTAATGTCATTTGGTCCTTTTTATTTGGATGGCTTTCTATTGAGACAGCCTGACGTTATGGGCAGGTTGATCCAAGACATGTGGCCTATCACCTGTATACTTGATCCTTGCCCATGATGACAATTAACAGCTACCATTGGAAGAGTGTGTGCCTCCTTGGAGCTCCAGGATGGTTTGTCACACTATTGACTTGTGCTGTATCTTATTTGTCCCTAGAGTCAAGGCTGTGGCTGGTAAGATCCAGAAACTTAAGGGGCAGCCATTTGTATCAATTTCAATGTGGTTTCAAGCCCAGGTTTGGAATTGAAACTGTCTTATTCTTGGTTGCCACGAAGCTCTTGGGGGGGGGGGGACGTATTCTGTTGCTTCTTACTAGATCTTTCAGTGGCCTTCAGAGATTGACCACAATATCATTCAGGATCACCTGTCTAGGATGAACGTGGAATGCACCATGCTTCAGTGGCTCTGCTGATGGGCAGACCTTAGATGACGAACTATTGCTTTGCCTCACAGGTTTTCTGCTCTAGAGTTCTATTTTATCCCTGTGCTATCTATCTAACAGCCCCATTAAGCCAATGGGTAAAAGAAGCAACATACAGATGACCACAAGCTCTGAGGTGGGACATTGAAATCCAACATTGAGTTGGAATCAATGTTATTGATGGAGCAGAGAACATGTTTATTTGAAACTGTTTGCAATGCATTCCCATGACTTTCTTAAAAAATAAAAATAAAACCCTCTCCTCCTTTACATCTGGCGGTTCCCTCATTGTGAGAAATGAGGTTACAGGGAACCAGACAGAGAGCCTTCTCGGTAGTGGCGCCCACCCTGTGGAACACCCTCCCTTCAGAAGTGAAGGAACTAAGCAGCTATCCTATCTTTAAAAGTCATCTGAAGGCAGCCCTGTTTAGGGAAGTTTTTAATATTTAATGCTGTGTTGTTTTTAACACTCGACTGGGAGCCGCCCAGAGTGGCTGGGGAAACTCAGCCAGATGAGCGGGGTATAGATAATATATTATTATTATTATTATTATTATTATTATTATTATTATACATTAACTGAAGATCAAAGAGCCATCTATGAATGGATGGATGCCAAGAAGCCCTAGCTGCACTACTCCTAACCAGCCACTCCGTTCTGTCTTCTGGGTGTAAGGTTTCGCACAGACGTTGTTGGCCCACAACTCCCTAGTCAACTGCCAGCGGTAACTGGGGTTGTAGCGCAGCAACATCTGGCAACTAAAGGTTGAAGAACGCCAGTACGGTAATGAACTGTGCAGTATTGAGGAAAAATAAGGGTTACATACTCCCTTCCAACCACTAGATGGCGCTGCTCCTCTGTTCTCACAGCTACCAGCAGCTAACGCCGCTCGTCTCCTAAAGCTCTTAGCATACTCTTTCGCCTCTTAGCTCAGAGCCGACGGACCAAACCAACTGCCGAGATAGAAACAGGGGCGCCCTCAAAAGCCTTGTTCCTTGTACGCTGAGGGAAGTCCTAACAGTTGCGTCTCCCCCCATTTCCGGGTGCTCGGTGGGACAGTTCCGGCGCGGCCATTTGAGTTACAACGGCGGGAAAGAAACAGCCGAAGGGAGCTCGCGGTGAGTTCGCTTCTCTCGCGGAAGCTGTCGGGCCTGGCGACTGAGGGGGGCGCGCGCCACAGCCGAATAGTTCAGCTCAAGGGGGCACTTTGGGCGGGGGGGGTGCGCGCTAGGTGCAGAGGCCCAGGGGCCCTAGTCAGGGAGGGGGGAGCCGTGGGCTCGAGAGGAGTTATGAGGGGGCGTGGCCAGAAGGAGTGGGGCTTATCGGACGTTAAGGTAGAGCGCAACAGAGGAAGGGCGTGGCCCCAGGCTGCGTGCCGGGGGCGGGGCATGGGAGCCGTTGTTACGCGCGCGCGGGTTGTCAACGGTGCCAACGGACGCGCCGCGTGAACGTTGAGGCAAAGAAAAGAGTTCTGAGGGGCGGCTGCTCTTCCGGTTTGAATTCGCTGTAGCTCAGCGAGGGAGCTCTTGGGAGCGGCTCTGGCATTTTATTTTATTTTAGCCAGAAGCTAATCATAGAAATTTTGGAAGGAACCCCGAAGGTCCTCTAGTCCAACCCCCTGCAATGCAGGAATCTGAACTAAAGCATCCATGACAGGTGGCTGACCAACCTCTGTTTAGAAACCTCCAAGGAAGGAGAGTCCACCACCTCGGGTGGGAGCCCACTGCTGAACAGCTCTTACTGTCAAAAAGTCTTTCCCAATGTTTAGTCGAAATCTTTCTTGCAACTTGAAGCCATGGGTTCGAGCCCTACCCTCCAGAGCAGGAGAAAATAAGCATTCTCCCTCCTCCACGTGACAGCCCTTAAGATATTTAAAGATGGCTGTCATGTCTCCTCTCAGTCTCCTCCTTTCCAGACTAAACATATATTTCAAGCACTCCTCATAAGGCTTAGTTTCCAGACCTTTGATCATCTTGGTTGCCCTCCTATGCACACCTTCCAGCTTATCAACATCCTTCTTAATTTGTGGTGTCCAAAATTGGACACAGTATTCCAAGTGCGGTCTAAGGCAGAATAGACTGGTACTATTACTTCCCTTGATCTGGACACTATACTTCTGTTGACGCAGCCTAGAACAGCATTGGCTTTTTTTGTTGCTGCATCACACTGTTAACTTATGTTAAGCTTGTGGACCCCTAGATCCTTTTCACTTGTACTGCTAGTAAGCCAGGTGTCCCCCATCCTATATTTGTGCATGTGGTTCTTCCTGTCTTAAGTGCAGAACCTTATATTTGTCCCTATTGAAATTCATTTTGTTAGCTTGCACCCAGTTCTCCAATCTGTTAAGCTCATTTTGAATTCTGATTCTGTCTTCTGTGGCATTAGCTACTCCTCCCGGTAGGGGTGCCATCTGCAAACTGGATGAGCATCCTCTCAATTCTTTTATCCAAGTCATTTATATAGACGTTAACAATGGGACCAGGACAGAACCCTGCAGCACCCCACTTTTCACTTTTTTCCAGGATAACGAGGAACCATTAATGAGTACTCTTTGGGTTCGGTCAGTCAACCAGCTACAAATCCACCTAACAGTTACCTCGTTCAACCCAAATTTTACCAGCTTCCTCGCAAGAATATAATAGGGAACTTTGTCAAAAGCCTTATTGAAATAAAGATACACTATGTCCACAGCATTTCCCTGATCCACCAAGTCTGTAATTCCATCAAAAAGAAGAAGAAGAAAGAAATCAGGTTGGTCTGGCATGACTTATTTTTAAGAAACCCATGCTGGTTCTTAATAATCACAGCATCCTTTTCTAAATGCTCACAGACCGACTGTTGAATTAACTGTTCTAGGGTCTTCTCTGGGGTCTTCTCTGGTATCAATGTCAAGCTCGCTGGTTGGTAGTTACCTGGACCTTCCTTTCCCCCTTTTTGAAGATGGGGACATTTGCCCTCCAGTCTTTAGGGACTGCACCTGTTCTCCAAGAATTCTCAAAAATAATAGACAAAGGCTCTGAAATTACATCCGCAAGCTCCTTTAGTACCCTTTCGATGCAGCTCATCAGGCCCTGGAGATTTGAATTCATTTAAAGTAGCTAGGTGTTCCCTTACTACTTTTCCTATCGTGGGCTGCAGCTCCCTCCTTACATCATTTGTAGTGCCAATCTTTGCTGGCTCAAGAGTTGAAGATAACCCGCTTTTAGTCTTAGCAGCCAAAAAAGAGAGAGAAAACACCTCTAGCTTTCTCGCCAGGTTGACTAGCTTGGGGGGCGGCCGGTTACTTTACATGCTTTAATCTTACATCCCTGTAAGACAGGCAGATAGCATTCCTGTATCTCTGTCGTCCACAAGGTGGAAGTAGGGAGGAATAGTGGGAAACAAACCAGACGCGATTTTGGTAGCCACACTTGTTCGTGGATTTACTCATCTTCATAAAAAGTGGAAAGTGTATGTCTTATTGTTCCACCTGAATGTGATTATGAAGTGTGTGTGTGTTTTTTTCTCTTTTCAGAAGAAATAAATTCATCTTAAATTAGCAGTACAGACAAGACAAGAGCAAAATATGGAAAACGGTGTTCGGTTAGTAACTATGAAAAAAAGTATTTATAAGTTCATTTCCACTTTTCTCAACAAAATTTACATCAGTCTTGTCCTTGGCATTTTTTTAATAGATTAATTTGTCCTAAGCAAGTGTAAATCACAACATCTGTGCTGGTAAAAAAGTGTATAGATTACAAGGGAGTGTTAGTCAGCTATAAGAATATGAAGGTGTGCATATAACTGAAGAACTTGCTTCTAGAAGTTGCTAGAATTTTGACCTATTATATGGAAATTACATTTTTTGCAAGATCATACTGGCTTCTTAATTGAAAGGAGTAATACAATAAATATCATCTGCCTGAGTCTGTATGTCTACTGTTGAGGTAGGTGCTTTTCAAAAAAATACTATTTTACAATAAGCAGCAATGACAGATCTGCTGTTAAATTTCTCTCAGCAGACATAGCATCTAAGCCCCTCTGTGCCTTCCAGTTCTCATCTCCCACCATATCTTTTAACTTTCACAATGGCATTCCACAAAATAATAATTTCATTAATATGCAATACACATATGGACAGAACAGTGATGTTTGTATAAGGAACAGCAAAATAAATATACTGACTGATTGAACTCCAGAGATGTTCTGCAAGCACCTGAAATACTCGAGCTGTATAGGACTGAGCTTGTTCTGTACTTGAATGGGAGACTACCTAGGACTGTGTCATTCTGTTTTATTTTTTTTTTTTTTAATAATTTTTATTAACTGGCCAATCACATCAAATTAAATCACATCACATAAATTCCAAATTACAAAGCCAAATTTTTAAATTTTGTTGGGGGAACCCATACTTCAAGATCCAAAGGGGATTCAAATCATCTTCTTATTACTGCATTAATGTCCAAATCAGTCCTAATCAGTCCAAACAGAGTTCATAGTTCTATCCAATCTTATCTTGGTGTTTCCACATCATATCTTGTTCATATAATTTTTCTTTTTCCTTTACGATCTCTTCTGTTAGTCTCCTTAAGCCGATAAGCAAATATAATAATCCTGTGTGAATTTCCCGTTCTTCCAATCTAAGTCCAGATGGTTTCCATAAATCATCTCCTTCGTAGATAACATCGCTCTTTCCATCATAAATTAGGCAGTTGTCACTCTTAAATCCCACCGAGGAGTTGGAACACGATATGTAAACAACTCTGTTTCTTCTCCTCCCAGACTCAAGAGCTCCGACAGTGCCTCCCAAAATGGCGACGGCATTTTTAACTGCGTCATTCCAAAACTCTTAAATTTCCAGCTTCGTCTTGGAACATTGCTTTGGTTCGAAAATTTATCTCCACACAGCCTTAAATCCACAACTTAAGTCCTTAAAACGACATTTCTGACTCTTTAGGGGAGGGATTCTTGTTTAATCACATAGAGAAATAAAAGAGAGTTTTCCCCCTCCCCCTCAGTCATTTGCCGTACCGGATCTTGACGTTTGGTCTCATTTCATATTCGTGTCTTGTGTTATCAATGATCTCTTAAGTAAGCAGTCTTTACTCCCCTCTTTCCTTGAAGTATGTGCAATTTATCTCGTCCAAATTGTTTCTTTTGAAGATTCTTGCAAACTAGTGGCGCGGATCAGAGACGGCTTCGAGGAGTGCCGGAATCCCACAGGAGGGCTTTGTGCCTAGTGCCCCCATCCCCACAAATTCGGGGGTGGTATAGGGCACAGCAGGCAAGGGCCGTCCCCCCCACAATCCTGGAGGGGTTAAGGAGGCTAATTACCCCCATCATAGCCTCCAAATTACCTCATGTGGGTCGGAGAGATGTTATTGTCAGCCATCTTCCGATGCGCCCCCTAGTGGCCCCCCTCTGTGTCATTCTGTTTTAGGAAACTCACAGATACAAGTGCAATGAAGAGTTGATAAAGGTCCTGCTGAAAAAAAATCATAAATGTAAAATATAATATACCCCTTTATAGTAATGTTTCTTTCCCCCTATTTTGTTAGTAAAAAGATGCCAAAGAGAAAATCAAGGAGGGACTTCAGAAAGAAACTGGGAGTAAGTGGCACATATCTTTTTCATTCAAACACAAATGAGACATTTTCCACTTCTGTTTAGTTTTATTTGATTCACAGCCTTGAGATAATCCGTACTGGAGTTCTATGGGGAATTTTGAACTTAAACTTTTTTTAAAAAAGCCTTTCGCTCTTCCAACTATAGAGGTGACACATGATATCCCAAGTGCTTAAAGAGCATGATGCAATACAGAATCATCCTCCGTTAGGGGCACTATAAGTATACAGAATATGTAAAATACGTGTGTACATAGAATGGGATAATGAATGGCTGACATTCAGAGGCATGGCATGACACAAAATTGGTACAGTCACTGCTGCTCTCCTCCCCTTACCCAGAAAATCTGCTGCTTGCCACTTTTGGATTGGAGATAACACAGTATTGATTCCTCAAATGCACACAATGGTGCTGTTGCTGTCAAATCATAGAGAATTCCACAGTACCAGAAAAAAATATACAAAATGGTTACATCCTGCTCACTGACACACACTATACAAATACAGGCCACAAACACACACACATCTCTCACACATACACACTCATACAGCTTGGCTGTGAGTCTTGGAAGACTTGTTCCCTGCCTTGCAGGCCTTTTCCCACCTGGCCTGGGAGGGGAGGGCCCTGACTGACTCCAGCTATGAAAGCTGAGGCTGCTGAAAAGACTCTTGGGCTGGACTATTGTTTAGGAAGTTTTGCTTGGCTGGGTGTTTCTGTTATTAATTAAATAAAGGATCTTTATTTTAGATCTTAAGATATATGTGGAAATTGTTCAATTTGGTTGTGTACTTTTTGGCGTCTAATTTACTGTTAATGGCTAATTTTGGCTTTGTAATTATGTGTTTTTTTCACGTTGTAAGCTGCCTTGAGCATGGTTTTAACTTTGGAAAGCCGGCATGCAAGTAAAATGCTGTATGTATATATGTATGTATGTCATACACTACATATACACAGCTACACAAACCTCTCTCTCTCTCTCTCTCTCTTACACAGACCACATATACAAGCAGACCACTCACATACTAGCATACCTTCCCTCACACACATTGCATACATTTCACCCTCTCTGACAGATCATACATACATACCTTGCCTGCCCGCCTCTCCCTCTCCCCCCATCACACCACTATTCCTCTTTCTATGTCCAACTGTTTCTCTATCAATCACACAAACAGCATGCACAGATCCGGAAAATCCACTCCACAGATGAAATAAGTGTCTGTCATTCACACACACATAAACCCCTATCTATCTCACCCTACCCCAAAGGCCAATCCCTCCCCCCCCAAAAAAAATACATACATAACCCCTGGTTTCTTGTCTTGTTTTGCTTTCTGCGGGTTTTTTATTATAGGAAATAGTATTTTGATAAAACATTTCTTTCTTGTTGTAATCCAGTATATGAATTTGTTTGAATTCTATTTCTTACGCTGAAAGAAAGAAATCTCAATTTTCAGCTATTTGTTACAGATTCTGTTTTTTGAGGGTCCTCCCCAGGGATACCATGTCAAGTTGCACTTTCATTTTAAACTGCTTTCTCTTTAGGAACCAGATGTATCAGGTATTTTGAAAGTTCTCCAAACTGACCAAGCAGAGGAACCTGATGAATTATTTGGTTAGTGATCGCATTTTGCCTTTTTAAATTGACACTAATAGTTACAGAACATAAAATAGAATCTGCTTCAGCGGTGTAAGTCGTGCCCCAAATCCTGTGAACAGTTTCAGGGCTGAAGCATTAGAGTAGTCCAAAATTACAAGGAATTGAAGTGAAAAATATAAAAATATGTTCTCCTCACATGTAAACAAGCCCATGAGGAGAAATGAATGTGCTGTCAAGCCCACCTCTTCTGACACATTACTGTTATCATGTTACTAGCCCTCCATGAGTTTTGAAGGTGAAGTTCTGAAATAGGAGGACTGTTAATTTAATAAAGTGGTTGTGCTGGAAGGGACAGTTGTCACTGATAGTGTGCCCTTGCTCTCCCTCATGTATATGTTTACATTCGAGGTGGACAAATGTCTGAATGCCAAAGACTGACCTGTGTTTTTATTGCTCACTACAAACAAGATGGTGCAGTTCAATAATGCTAGATTTGTCTATGTTATCTAGGTGAACCTTCACAGGAACCTTTACATAGCACCGCTGTGTCTGCTTATGAGGAAGAAGATCAGCATTCAGATGGGTCAACAAGCAGTTCATCAGATTCTGAGCCAAAAAAGAAGGATACTAGAGGAAGGTACTACAGATGTAAATATTGAAAACATGTTTATCCTTGTAACACATCATGTACCCATTCCTCATTCACTCACACACCTGTTAGCTTGACTAAAATATGCTGGGCATACTAACATTGGCCATTCATTCAGCACACTACAGAACCCCCATCTAATTTTCAGGTGCCTTTTCATGCAATTGAGAAGATAGCATCCAAACCATGTGAAATGCTTGGATGGTTTGATTGTTTCTTTTTAAACTTTTAACTAAGGATAAGGAGGAGTGAACACAAGCATGCTCCCTCCTTTATATTCGAAATCTAGGGTGCGGAACTGCAGGCCAATCTGTTCTGTTAGGGGTCCACTTTCGCCCATGAGGCCATTATTCCCAAACCATGCCTACCTGCCCATCAGCTGACATCACTGGTGATAAGCAGAGATTAAATCCTGCTCAAAAGCGCAAGGTGAAGCAGCTTGTGTGCCACCTGCTTTCAGGAGAAACGCACGAGCTGCTTCAGACAATGCTTTTGGAACCCAGCACGAAGCAGGATCACACCCCGATTGTACCAGCTGATGGGAAGGGAGAGCAATCCTCTTAAGCACTGGACTTGGTGCACAAGAGAGCTTGTTGCAGGTGTTTGCCAGCTTGCTGCTGTTGCCAGCAAACTTCAGCCTTGTTTCTCTCATGCCTATCAATGGTGGAGAGGGGAGAAACAAGCTCGGAACTGTCCAAAGCACTAAACATGGGTTTAACAATGTCCCTTTGCTTAAAGGGGAGGCAGAGCAAAGCACTGTTTGAAATGAAAGGAGAGGAGTGAATGTTAAAGTGGGCACATTGCAAAGCCACAGATGGGGTTTTGATAGGTGGGCAGCCCCATCCACCCTGTGAGGCCTATGATGCAAAGGATCTGGCCTGTGAAGCCAAAACGTTTCCCCACGTGTGTTCTAAATCAACTTTTATGTTTCAAAAATATGACTGTAGGAGTATTCCTAGCTTTAAGGTCTAAACAGGATTATTATTTGCAATCAATACATTATGCAGCAAAAGTGTATAAATATACTGCATTATTTTTCTTTGGCTCTTTGTACTCTACTGTGTCATCAAGACTGAACCTTTAGCTCTTGCAGTACCTTTCTGAGTGGCACATCTGTGTGACCCCTAGGAACACATTGTAAGAGATATTAGAGATTTGTAAGTTGTCTCAGTGAATTAAGCTTCAATTCCTATCAGCACATACTGTTGTGCAGTATCAGCTCCTTCAGCTCTTAACCACTATGCAACACGACACTATGCAACACAAGCCATATAGCTTTTTGAGTAACTCAGATATTCACAACAGTCGCATCCTTATTTTTTTCCTTGCATGCACACATCTACATACCATTCAATTCACATACCCATTTGATCCCCACTATATTCTTGCTGGCTCTTTGATTCTTACTGTCAGCATTGGACAAATCCTGTGTGCCAACAATGAAACTTCTTAGCAAGAAAAGAAGTGACCTTTTGATTTTTAAAGCTACATGCCAGAATATACTGTATTGCATTATTTTATATCTTTTTCTAGCAAGTGTCAGCATATCTTGAAATCAAGATCAGAGAGAGAAGTTTCTGAAGAGGAACCTGTGCAAGAGAATATGGTAAAGAAATGAAGTTAAGATTGTGTGTCCTACTTTTACTTCAGGAAAACAGACAACAATATATTGAAAATTCCAATATATTTCCAATATATTGGAAATAAATAATTGGATCTCTATGTTTTAAATGTATATTATTATAACTGGGTAATTAATTCTCCAGATTTCAAGCAAGTATGATTTATTTACTACTAACTGAAATCTCATGCTAGCTAAGATAATGAAGAATGAATATTGGTAATATTCACATGGCATGGCTCTTAAAATCATGACTTGGCCTTAGAAATCATATATATATTCCCTTGTATATTATAATTATAATTTCTCTTCTAGGAGCTGAAGCTCTTAAATGCATTTACCCCAATCTAGCAAATGCAGCTTTTGAGTGCTCAGAAAAGAAGATTAGCACAAGTATGATAGTTGAGGAATGGCAGACATACCAGGAATGGTGTGTTTGGTGCACAAAGCAATGTATCTTTCAGGCACATTATGTGTATAGGCTTTTGCAGACTCTTGTTTTCTGTGTTGAGATAATTGCATATCTTCAGACTACACAGAAATTATGAATGTTAGAAACTTATTTTAATGGAAGTTGACACTTAGGCTTTAAAATAGTGGTGCTCCTAGTCTAATATTTCTACAGTACAGCTCAGCTGCTTCCCATGTGCTCACTATAAACAGCTACTTATATTGGTCCAGTTGTGATCACAGTTGTCATATATGGTAACAGCTTGAGGCTGTTTTATTGCTCATGGCTACCTGTTTTACAAAATTTTCATGGTATCTTTATTGGATGTAACCTAATATAATTTAGTTTTTAATTATGTTTGCTGTGGGAAAGCAAGGTAAATTGTGGCTCCCTGCAGCAAGTATTCATATGTTTCTCACAGACTGCAGAAAACATTGCAGATGCATGTTACATAAAGATTTATAAGTGATGTTTCCATAATATGTAAAGCTGTTTTTATACCGGGGGGGAAAGTTTGCATCCGTTCCTATAAAATGAAAGGCACTGCATTTGTATTCTCTTTAATCTGAGAATAATCACCTGACTGTTTTCATTTAGAGAGCCACAGAGTCTACATCCAGCACAGAGAACTATAGAATAACATCTCCGCTGCCAGTAAGATGCAGCTCTTCAGAATGCAGAATATCAGATAACATTCCAGATCTTATGGAGGACTTGAATACTGATAAGGTTAACTATAAACTTTGCTATGCACCATAGCTGTGAGAACCTTTGTCCTAAGAATGATGCCTTTGGGCACATATCTGGGTCTTGTTCTTTTCTTTTAAAAAATGTGTTCAGAAAGCATTAGTGAAGAAATACAGTCCTTCCTACATTTTAGTTTCCAGTATTTTTTTCACGGTGGTGCTTTAACTGGTGCAGTTTATGTGTGTGCAAATTAGTTAGGGGCTGTTGCAAATGGGCAAGTGTCCTCTTGACACCGTTTCCTTGTATTTCCTCAACATGCCTTGGTCAGAACTAGCCAGAAATACTTGTTGAAAGAGTGTGAGTTCAGACAAACTTCATAGCTGCTGCTCCTGCCTAATGTGATCATAAATTTCAAAATAAAAGCATTTAAATGTATGCATTTTTATTTGACAGATGCCTATTAGGAGTGCTGAATGCCACAAGAAGCAGAAAGAGGCTTGTTCACCAGAGATGGCGACAGATTACTCAGGTGAGAAAGAGGTTGTGTGGTGTTGTTTTGCTTACAGTGGAGGGGATCCATGGATAGCTTGTCACTCACTCCACTGTACAGGATTTTTCAAATTAGGGCACTTAGCCTGATAGTGGTAGCTCAAGGTGGTATTCATGGTTCCCCACCAACTCATAATTTCATCCCCACAACAACCTTGTGAGGTAGGTTTGGCTGTGAGTCACCGAGATCCTAGTCTGACGATGTAGTGAAGTTAGAAAATTTCAATAGACAAACTTTGGTCAAGCTGAAGAAAAGCACTGTGGGAAGACCAAAGGCCAAAGGATTTATGGGAAATGTGTCCTTGTTACTTTAAGCTGTAGACTAGCTGTCTCTGGGAGTGTGAATGCTTATCTCAGGCATCTGCAGGAAGGAAAAACCTCTAGTTGATTAATGGTGATTCTAAGTGTCATCCCTATGTAAATAAGGGTTATCAAGCCTCGTTACAGGAGAAGGAGGATCTGGTGTGTCTCTGAGAAATTTGGGGAGGAAACTTTTGATCCTAAGGTCTTGAGAACAAACAAGCCTTAGCTGTCTCAAGCTGAGTTATTACCCAACTAGCTGACCATTGGTAAATTTAAAATAAAACAAGAATTCTGATTGGTCTTGAGGTCCAATTCCACGTGGGGTTTTACAGAATAAAAAGCTTAGGAAAGGAGTTTGTGGGCGCAGCTATCCGCCCTTCTGTCAGGTGCCATCATGCTGATGGTCGACTTGCTACATTTGTATGCGTGTCCTTTGTGATGAAGATTCCTATTGTCTTCTTGAGATGCAGATTCAACTGAGGACTTTTCGAACTGCTCTAACCTTTCTTATGTTCTCGTTTTTTGTAAGTACGTTTAGCTAGCGATGCTTTACAGTGTTGTTGTTTTTCTGTCTGAAACGCTATAAGAGATGTGCCTACTTTTAAGTATGTTTAATTTTGTTTTTTAAGTAAATTTTAAAAAGAGGATTTCCTTGTTCTGTGTGCCTTTCTGGGGAAGTCTGAATCCAAGCCTGACTATTTAGCCTCCTACTGAACCTGTGAATTCCTGCCTGTAATTTGCGGAACCTGTTGAATTTCTGCCTGCATTTTGTGGAAGCAATTTGCAGGGTGGGGCAGCCGGTAACTGGGAAGAGTACCCAAGGGAGAAGGTTAATCTTCTGGCTATCCTCGGATACAAGGGAGTGGTGGCAGCATTTACCCTTTTGGTGTGTTTTGTCCTGTAAAAAGTATATGTTGCGGCACCACCTTCCCTCTTTTAGCTTGGTCCCGCTGGATTGTAGGATAGGTGAAGAAGGGGCGTGTGACCCTAACATTACTACATGGTTGGCAGCGTGGTGGGATCGAACTTCCCTACAGAAAGGCACTTTGATTTTAATTTGAGCACGTATCTCTTATAAGTTGCAGACGTTTTATTTCTTTCTGATAGATAGGAATCATGGAAGGCGGAGTCCCCATGAGCATAGAATGCGAACGGTGGATGAATGGGGGCCGGGTGGAGAGAGTAGCTCCCTTCCTACTGCGGCAGAACCCCCCCCCCAGCAACCAATTTCTAAAGCAGACTCCTCCCCCTTGTTCTTGGAGCATTCCAAGGGAGAAGAGAACGCCGACCAATTAAGAGCTTCTCGGAGGGGCGGGAAAGAGTCGTGCAACTCTCAGAGTGCAGTTGGCGTGTCGTTTAACCAACAGCTATCACCTCACGAGGAAGTGAAAGCTGTGATTGCCTCTACACGTCCTAGAGGAAGCTATCTTGTTTATGCAGAGCCGAGGAAAATGGAGTTTTCAGCCGGCGAAGCTGTCAAACGGGTGCCAGATCCCGTCCAGGGAGGATTTCGGTGCCAGGAAAAATTTCCCCGAGTGGGCCAGTCCATCATTATTGCCCCAAGAACCAGCCGGATGGCGTATGAGTATCAAGACTTGCCACGACAAATGCGGGAAGCATCCGTGGAGGACGACGACCTGGAGCATCCGTCCCATGAAAGTTGCAGACCAGTGAGATGTCGTTCGCCTAGTCCAGTCCGGGTCTACTCGTCAGTAAGAGCTTGGGAAACCTGTGGGGCGGCGCGACGGTACGAGGAGGAGGAGGTCGAACCTCACCCCCAACCCTCCCGTGGATACACAGAGGAGGGACTTCAGCGTCCGGATGGACAGGTGCCCCGTTATTGTTATGCCTCAAGGTATGACTGTAGCCCAGAACCGCGGGGAGCAATTCCAAGACAGGCTCCTCAAGGGTTTCCTTTGAGCAACTTTGACTTGCGGTTGTTTCCTACATATCAGCCCCCCACAGACGTTTTTAGTTATTTAACTCTCTTTGAAGTGACCTGTCGGGATATGGGGGTGCCCTTGAGAATGTACATGCCTATATTGCGCTCCTTAATTTGTGGGGAGCTAGTTGAGCTGATGGCCCGTCTCCCTTTGTCCCAGGCAAATGACTATGAGCGTTTTAAAAGGCTGGTGATGCAGAGGCCTGGGTTTCATGCTGAAAATTATAGACGAGCCTTCCGGAAGGTGGAAAAATGCAACCCCTCAGACAGTATTTCTGTGTATTCTTCGAAAATGGCTCAAAATTTTGAATTATGGCTTTTGGCTGAAGGCGTTGATACTTTTGAAGGGCTAAGGCAATTGCTGTTAAAAGAACAATTTATGCAACAATTGCCTCCTGAGATTGCAAGCCTAGTTGCCAATCAGCATCCAGCTACTTTGGAGCAAGCGACCCAGCTCGCAGAATCGTTTAAATTGAAGTGGTCCCATCTGGTGAACAGGGGACAGCCGGGAGGGAACAGACCAGCGGTGTCGGCTCCAGCCGGGAGATCTGCTCCCCCAGCTAAGGAACAAAGTAAAGCCGTCCCCATGCCTACAAAAGACTCTTCTATAGCGGGGGGTGACCGCTCGAAACTTGCTCCTAGTTCGGGGCTGTGCTTTCATTGTAAAAAGCCTGGCCATGTGAAGGCAGCTTGCCCTCAATTGAATGGTAAAAAGCCCCCAGCCTTGACATCGACCCCTGCAGTGCGTATGATTCAGTGACCGGCGGAGGACTGGGAGGCTGAGCAGCAAAGTTCAGGAGCTGGAGAAAACCCAGTCCCAGATGGGAGGGGTGGGGCAGCGCCTGATGCTATAATTCCCAAGACTGCTGGAACCACTTCTAATTCTGTTACAGTGGGGCCACTGAGTACAGGGGCAGGACCAAGGGTGCCACATGTTAATTGGGCTAATTTAAAATTTACAGCACCCATTGAGATCAACAGAATTGCTGTGAACTGTTTCCAAGACACGGGTTCTGATATCACCAGCGTGTCTAGAGATCTGGTTTTGCCCATACAGATGCAGCCTGACCCCTTGAAGATCAGCCCATATGGCGTAGATGATATTTCCCAACCTACCGCCATTGTTCCGGTGTCCTATAAAGGCTACACTGGAAATCAACTTGTTATAGTTCATGATCCTGAAGTGTGTAAAAGCCCTGTTCTGGTGGGAAATGATTTGGGATTTAAGGTTCACCCACAGCAAATATCGGTGAACTCTTTGACAATTAAGGTCTCACCCACCCAGGCACAGGTGATGGAAAACTGGGGAATGACACCTCAAGGTTTGAGGGCTGAGGGAAGGCGCCTGGTGCTACAATTCCCCCAACCACGGGGACTGCTAAGACTGCTGTTCCTGAGAACCCGGTTGGGGAAGAGAGTTGGCTTAATAAGTACCGCCACTCCTTGCGTTCATTGTTCCAACTCAGCGTCTAATGCACCCCCCAGTGTTCACATTTGTCGAATTGCTGTGCCTTCCTTTTGAGGCAAAAACTCTGATACTGTGACTGTGCCAAATGACTTAGCTTTTGTCCCAGCTGATTCAGTCCAATTTTTGGAAAAGTAATTCTAGTGGTGGAAAATTAATCCCCCAACCTGCAGCCATTGATCCAGTTCCCTCCAAGGATTTTAAGGGGGATCATTTTGTTCCAGTCCCTGAACCCCAAGTTTGTGCAAACCCTACTTTGGGGGAAGGTGTTTTGAAATCTACAGTTCCTTTCCAGCAGCTTGCAGCAAGCCCCCTTGCAACGCAGACTGAGAAAGATGCAAGGGGGTCCTGTCAGCTGATAGCTGAGAGTCAAGAAGAGGAAGGGGGGCCACCTCAGCCTAGCCAAACCCTTGTGGAGAGTTGTGAGACTCTTGCCATGACGGGGGATTCTCTGTTGTTTGAAGTAAAGCAGAGATTTGGTCAGTTTCTCCTAGGTTGCCTAAAAGCTGTGGAAAGCCCTCCTTGCGAGACTGAGTCTGTCTTTTTTGTGTCTAAAAAAGAATTTTTCTATCCACAGTTCAAGGACTTTAAAGACCCAGTTGATATGCTTAATGTTTTTCAAAATATGTTTTGTAATGTAAGTGGCTTCGTTAAAAAGAGAATGAAATTGGTGGGTCCTTTACAAAATTTTAGTCCTGGGAAACACCATGGTTGTGTTATGAGTAAAATTGTTTTCAGGTCTGGTGGGATCATCAGCCTGCCCAACCCCTTTGTTCAAAATCTGCTGAAAACTTTGGTTGAGGTTTACCAAAGGAGCTCAGAGTTTTTTTCAAACCAGTCAGGTTTTGCCAAGCTCCTAGATAATCCTTTGTCCATGCTCAGAGGGAGATGGGAGGAGATTGAGTTAATTTTTCTCAATTCGTGGCCAGAACGCCTTAAGCATGTGCAGAGAGTTTTGGCACGATTGCGAGATGCAAACCTGACGGTTGAAGTGTCTAAATGTAAGTTTGCTCAAGGAGAAGTGATTTACTTGGGATTTGCAGTGGGGTCGGGAAACATCAAATCCCTGGAAGCCAAAATCCAGTGTGTGCAGGAATGGCCCCAACCACAAACCAAGAAGGGTGTACAATCTTTTCTAGGACTGGTCAATTATTATCAGAGGTTTGTTAATCATTTTGCTACTCTAGCTACTCCCTTGACCAACCTGTGTAAGAAAGCTCTGCCAATCAAAGTGGATTGGACTGATGATTGTCAGCGAGCCTTTGAGTTGTTAAAACAGGCTCTTGTGAGTTTGCAGGTGATGCTAGCCCCTGATCAGTGGCGTCCCTTTGTGGTGCAAACCGATGCCAGTCAAACAGGATTGGGAGGGGTTTTGCTCCAACAAGACAATGAGGGGAGTTGGCGACCGGTGGTGTATCTGAGCAAGAAATTGCTACCCCGGGAGCAAAATTATTTTACTGTCGAAAAGGAGTGTCTTGCTCTGGTCTGGGCTCTAACTAAACTCCGTCCCTATCTGTGGGGTAACACCTTTGAAGTCCAGACCGATCACTCCCCCCCCCTTTCCTTGGTGGAAAGAGTAAAAAACTCTAACCAAAAACTGCTCAGGTGAAGCTTAACCTTACAGGATTATCAATTTAAGATCACTCACATTCCTGGAAAGGAGAATGTGGTTGCTGATACTCTGTCACGTATGTACCAGTCTGTAAAGTGAATTGTTGACGTGTGAATGATGTTCCACTTGAGTATTTCCAAACTGTGTACATATTTTGTTTTGATGAAATTTAGGGACTTAACCCTGTAATTTCATCTTAGAGGGGAGGGTGTAGTGAAGTTAGGAAATTTCAATAGACAAACTTTGGTCAAGCTGAAGAAAAGCACTGTGGGAAGACCAAAGGCCAAAGGATTTATGGGATATGTGTCCTTGTTACCTTAAGCTGCAGACTAGCTGTCTCTGGGAGTGTGAATGCTTATCTCAGGCATCTGCAGGAAGGAAAAACCTCTAGTTGATTAGTAGTGATTTAACACCTGGTTACTAAGTGTCAGGAGAAGGAGGACCTGGTGTGTCTCTGAGAAATTTGGGGAGGAAACCTTTGATCCAAGCTCTTGAGAACCAACAAGCCTCAGCTGTCACAAGCTGAGTTATTATCCAACTAGCTGACCATTGGTAAATTTAAAATTAATCAAGAGTTCTGATTGAGGTCCGATTCCACGTGGGGTTTTACAGGAAAAAAATCCTAGGAAAGGGGTTTTGTGCCGCACCTCATCTGCCCTTCTGTCAGATACCATCATGCTGACAGTCAACTTGCTACATTCCTATGCATGTCCTTTGTGATGAAGATTCCTATTGTTTTCTTGATATGCGGATGCAACCGAGGACTTTGTGAACTGCTCTAACCTTTCCTATGTTCTCGTTTTGTAACTACATTTAGCTAGAGATGCTTTACAATGTTGTTGTTTTTCTGTCTAAAACGTTATAAGAGATGTGCCTACTTTTAAGTATGTTTAACCTTGTTTTTTAAATAAATTTTAAAGAAAAGAGGATTTCCTTGTTGTTCTGTGTGCCATTCTGGGGAAGTCTGAATCTAGAGCCTGACCATTTAGCTCCTACTGTACCTGTGAATTTCTGCCTGTAATTGCGGAACCTGTTGAATTGCTGCCTGTATTTTGTGGAAGCAATTTGCAGGGTGGGGCAGCCGGTAACTAGGAAGAGCAACTTTCTCTCTTGGGTTAATCTTCATGGCTATCCGGGGTTACAAGGGAGTGGTGGCTGCATCCACCCTTTTAATGTGTTTGGTTCTGTAAAAAGTATATATTGCGGCACCACCTTCCTCTCTTAGCCTGGTCCCGCTGGATTGTAGGTCAGGTGAGGAAGGGGCATGTGTCCGTAACATTACTGCAAGGGGGTAGTGGCGGGATGCTGTGCCCCCTAACATTACTACATGGTGGCAGCGTGTTGGGATTGAATTCCTAACTTTAGTACAGACGCTCTAACCTCTATGCCACACTGGCTCATCATATTATCAGACCATTGCCTATTAGAAGGCCTAATGGTCACTATTTTGCCTGCCAATATATGAAACAATAAGTGTTAGCATTGTTTGTTAGTGCTACTGTGCAGTGCTGTCTTCAATTTCACAACTGAAAGACAATGTTTTATAATGCCATCGTTTATGGATTTTATTTCTTCTATTAAAAGTTGGTGCAATTTTGAGGCATTTTAAATCATAAATTTTGAGGGTTGGCTGAGACCTATAATCTCAAAAGCTGCTTCAAAAACACCATTTATTTAGATTCAGATGCTGAGCCAGATTTGATAAAGGTTTGGGGTTCCAAAGACCTGAAAAAGGCTGCCAGCCGTGTCAAAGAAACTGATGTTATTCTGGATGCATTTGAGAAAATAACAGCAAAATACAAGTAAGTATCTTTATGACTAAGATTTAACTTGGTATATGACTTTAAGCTCATTGACTACACTGAAATTGGGCATTCTTAAGCCACAATACTTTGTGCTCTCTCTGTTACAGATTGGTTTGCTGCAGTTGTGCTGTTTAAACATAGTGAATGTTGTCATATGATTGTAACCAAAAGGCCAAGTCATTTTTACTCTGTTATGAAATTATTTTTCCCTGATACTACTTCCTAGGAACTCTGCCCCTGCTCACTCAACTCGCCAAGCCCTTGCCATTCCCCTCCCCCCACATTACTACCCTAGGGCAACCCCCATAGTCATGTTTCTTCCTCTGCAGCCTTCTTTGCACAAACACCCCATGCTTATATGTTACTGTATCTCTTAAGATTAGTAGAATCTGAAGAGATACAGTAATCTTACAGCAGATTAAGAGCAGGAGAATCTTAAGAGCAAGTTTGTCAGTTTAAGTTCAGTTGATGAATGTTGTACAAATGTGAGTAGTTGCTTGTTAATAAAATACATCTTATAAAGTACTACATTCAATCTGAGACATTTTGTCAAAGACAACACATGGTACCATGAATGAAATACATGATTGTGGGAAGATGCTGTTGAATATCTGAGGGCTTCACATCCTCTGATGTTGTTTAAAGCAGCAGTTTCCCTCAGTGTCCCTCTGTGCTCACTCCCATGTCATGACTGCTGTTGTTGTGCAGCCCGCCTTCTCTTCTGTTCCTCTGCCCCGTCCTGACTTCATGCAAATCCAGTATTGTGATGACGCACTACAAGTCCTCCAATGGGCGCTGTGCAATGGCAACCTTACATTCTTATGTATATAGGAAGAAAGAATACTAGAACAAAACAAATGGGTGCTTATCTAAAACAATTCCCATCCCTCAAGTTTAAACCATAATGAGGATGAACTAACTACAGTGGTACCTCGGGTTAAGTACTTAATTCATTCTGGAGGTCCGTTCTTAACCTGAAACTGTTCTTAACCTGAAGCACTGCTTTAGCTAATGGGGCCTCCCGCTGCTGTTGCGCCACCGGAGCACAATTTCTGTTCTCATCCTGAAGCAAAGTTCTTAACCCGAGGTAATATTTCTGGGTTAGCGGAGTCTGTAACCTGAAGTGTATGTAACCTGAAGCATATGTAACCCGAGGTACCACTGTAAATGTAATGCAACTAAATTAAGCTTTCAGTGTTTCAAGTTATAATTTCACATGTTATTCAGTAGGAGAAATTTAGATAGTTGATGGCATTATCCAATTTTTGTCCGCTCGTATCAAGTTCAATACCTAGAATATGTTTTTCAATATACTGATCAGTTCAGCATTTTTCTTTAGGTTTGTTTAATATACTGATTTGTATGCATTCTTCCCTATTCAGACAAGGAGTGGAGCTGAAAATATGTAGGAAAGCTATTGATAGCTTTTCTATTGCGTTCAGAGAGCAACTCACCAATAATGTAAGTACATTTGTTCCCTTATTTCTGCTGTTCAGATGGAAGTGCCATTGCTTATGTTGCCAAAACGGCACCATCCAGGCACAAGAGGGAGGTACTGGAGTTTGCAGAAGCATTACAAAAATAGGGGGGAACCCTCAGAAAGGGAAAGCCCGAAAACAGCCCGCCAATGATAAAATTTGCTTATTGGCTGTGGCATGCCAGCTAGTGAAATGCTCTGCATGAATAAGGCTGACAAATGGAAATGAGGGTGCAGCGCTGCCAAAATGCAAACAAGACTTGCATTTGTTAGACTGGTGAGGGAAATGAGGGGCTCAAATGGATGGGGTGGTGGAAGGGGGAAAGCCCTCTGCAAATTATCTGTTCAGACCTGTAGCAAGAGTGATCTGTTCTTCACAAGGAGGATAAGGGGATGGTTCACCATGTGGTTCTGAACAAATTGCATCTGAGAGAATGTGACCCTCATCAAAAAAAGGTTCCCTTCTACTGTTACACATACAAAGGCTTTGTATTACAGTGGTGCCTCGCAAGACGAAAAGAATCCGTTCCGCGAGTCTCTTCGTCTTGCGGGTTTTTTCGTCTTGCGAAGCAAGCCCATTAGTGGTTTAGCGGATTAGTGCTACAGTATTAGCGGCTTAGCAGGCTTAGTGGATCAGCTGATAAGCGGCTTAACGATAAGCTGATAAGCGGCTTAACGATCAGCTGATAAGCGGCTTAGCATCAGCTGTTAAGCGGCTTAGCCATCAGCTGATAAGCGGTTTAGCGGCTTGGGGAAAAGGGGGGGGAAAGGGAAAAAAACCCCGCAGGAACTCGCAAGACATTTTCGTCTTGCGAAGCAAGCACATAGGAAATTCGTTTTGCGAAGCACCTCCAAAACGGAAAACCCTTTCGTCTAGCGGGTTTTCCGTTTTGCGAGGCATTCGTCTTGCGGGGCACCACTGTATCTGACATGATTTTTCCTCTGCTGTTTTCCCAACTGCAGACTTTAAAACTTGCTTTTCAAATGACATATGTACTTCACAGAGAACATTTGAAAACTGAACTGAAACCTGTTGTATTATTTAATTCTCAAACTTAGAAATGATAGCATTAACAAAGTGCCCACAGCAAAATTAAAATAATACTTATTATGAAAAATGTTTGTGGCGATTAATGATTTAACATTTTTAAAGGACTCCAGCCATGTTTCTCAAATGGAAGACGTATTGTAAAACAACCAGGAAAGAAAGGTGAAGGGTGGGATAAATCTTTTAAATAAAACTTTGAATCATATTTTCCCCAGTTGAGCACTGATCCTTTAAGATTCTTGGCTTAGGATAATAAATACAGATTTAGAACTATGAAAACTAAGTAACTTTCCACAAATTACAGAATCTTTGTAACTTACCTGCTTAGGCCCTAATGTTGGACTGAGCCAAGACAGTGTCCCAAACAGTTGGCATTCACCTGGGATTCTGGCATGGACTTACTCATGGACTTACAAGTTGTAGGAGCTGCATCCTAGTTGGCTACAGCAGGATAGTGTAGCTAGAGCCTTGGAAAGAGCACAGAAAGGAGAAGGAATCAAAAAGTAATGATCACAGTTTTGGTTGTCTCTCATATGAGTAACCATGCCTTTTGAGCTTCCCTTGTTGACTCTATGTTATGGTTAGCCAGCTCCTGCCTTCTAGCCAGCCATCTTGATCCCAAAGCTGCAACAGACATATGCTAAAGGGAGAAATCTGGAAATCACAGAACTCTAAAAAAGTTGTTGTTGTTGTTGTTTAGTTGTTTAATCGTGTCCGACTCTTTGTGACCCCATGGAACAGAGCACGCTAGGCACTCCTGTCTTCCACTGCCTCCCGCAGTTTGGTCAAACTCATGCTGGTAGCTTCGAGAACACTGTCCAGCCATCTCGTCCTCTGTCGTCCCCTTCTCCTTGTGCCCTCAATCTTTCCCAACATCAGGGTCTTTTCCAGGGAGTCTTCTCATAAGGTGGCCAAAGTATTGGAGCCTCAGTTTCAGGATCTGTCCTTGCAGTGAGCACTCAGGGCTGATTTCCTTAAGAATGGATAGGTTTGATCTTCTTGCAGTCCATGGGACTCTCAAGAGTCTCTTCCAGCACCATAATTCAAAAGCATCAATTCTTTGGCGATGGTCCATAAAGCCTTCTTTATGGTCCAGCTCTCACTTCCATACATCACTACTGGGAAAACCATAGCTTTAACTATACAGACCTTTGTTGACATGGTGATGTCAGAGACCTCAACTTAAAAAAAAACCTATCAGCTTACTTGTAATTGGATATCTACTTCCAGAAACCCCGTGGCTAGAAAATGTGAAACCAATGAATTGCAACCCTTACAGTGACACATAAAAGCTGTGCCATAATAAAACAACTGAATAAAAGAGTAAATTAAGAAGCTATGCTGTATTACTAAAACCTGCACATTTTCATTAGGTTGCAGGTGCTGAGGAACTTAGAACAACAAAATTGAAAAATGCAAAGGTAAACAATTTCATGAATCTTCATTAATTGTATGGGTTCTGTCTAACTACAGAAGTGAGTATGCATGTTGGATTAGGACATTTCAGTGAATTAAGAGCTGGAGTTCGCAGTGTGCCCTGTGAATTTCACCAGAGGGAGAAGCTCTCCTTCCAATAATGATTAAATCCAACTGCTGTGGCAAGAATTTATGTCCTCGTCTTGATTTTGGCTCTGAGACATGCTAGTTTTAGAGGTGTGCTGCTTTGAAGCCCACGTTTTTCATCCATGATTGCTTTGGAGTGAGTGGGAAGGCTAGATTTCTGCTTCCGAGGTGGCTGTTAGAGGGAGAATATTTGGAATCATGAGACAGGACACCGGAGGGCATGTTGTCTCTGTGGCTAATTGTATTGACTGAAATGTGTTCAGTCAACATATTTCAACCTGATCAGGTGTAGTGCTTGTGTACTGCCGTCTGCAACTGAACATTCCCCAGGATAAGAAGCAAATCTGCATTCAGTACTCATTGCTGGAGCCAGTTTGTGAAAGGTGTGTGTGTCTTAGACCAAAATGCATAGCTTTCATACAACTCCTGGCTCTCTTCTTCCTGGCATTTTGGATGTTCAGGAGCATTATATTCACTACATGTGATAAAGAACCCAAATAGATTGGCATGCCTTATATGAGAAAATGAATTTATTACAACTGTTTTGTTCTCTTGCTATAGCTTTTCTAAAAGCAGACATTAGTTTTGGTGGACAATTTTTTAAAAATAAAACCACTGACATTAATGCCATTGTATTCATAATGGCAGGTATTGATTTTATATAATGAATGTTCTGTCCTCTTATACCAATTAATCAATTGGATTTCCTTTCAGTAAACATCATTTGTCCCCCTGTACATTAATTGTATTTATTTATTCTGTCTGTCACTCATTGTACTTATTATAGCAGGATCATGTGCAGTTAAATATCAAGTACAGAAAATGTACTGTAGTTGTTTTTTGATTCCAAATATGACCCATTTACTCATTATTATGAACTTTGATGCAAACAAAACCATTAAAATATTTAATACAAATGATTAAGGACTGACTGAAGTGATATCCAATGTTAGTTATATGCTGAGTAGGTCCACAGAAATCAATGGGCATATTAGTTAAGTTCATTGATTTCAGTGGGTCTGCTCCAAGTATGACTTAGCTGGATATCACCCTTTGTATGTTTTGCTTTTCAGTCTTAAAATATATTTATTGTCATTACAGATGGTGAGAGCAACAAATAAGAAAAGGCAGCGTTTGACAGAGGTCAAAGGAGAACTACTTAAGTATGTTCTTATCAGTTAAAATGTTTCATGAAATAACTTGAAATACATTTTAGATTTAAGTTTTAGACATAGTCCAGAACACTTCTTATATTATTAAAGTTTAAAATGCTTTCTTATTATATACCTCTCATAAGCTCATTTGTGTATGCTTTTTTATATTCTGCAGTATTTTGTGTTTTATCATGAATCATAAATTCCACTTGTTTGGTGCAATTATCAATGTTGACAGAATAATTCTATTGTTAGAGCACTGTTCTCTTCTTTGTTACATGCATTTCTAAACACCAGGAAGCTTCATAAACACAATTTGTGACAACCTGTTTTCAAGGTGTTTTTTTTAAAGATGATTCTTCATGGTCTCTGTGGAGTCACATGTGGGTTTTGTGCAAAGCAACATTTTGGAAAGTTCTAGAGCCTCCTCTCAAATGAGTGGAAGCAAGTGCCTTCCTGCCCAGGTCTTTTTCAACTGACAGCTGAGCAGCAGTGTTGGATACATGTTATTCACTCAACTCTAAACCTTTTTCCTTAGCTTTTTGCTAGAAGTTTGTTGCCTTACTAGTTACAACTTACACATATGTTAGTCCATTGCTGCTGATAATTTGTCACTGAGGCCCTCATGGATTTGAACTGTTTCAAGGTGTGTTGCTAACAGACTTCTGCTAGGTAACCAACTAGCCTATGCTGTGCCATCATTAGTCCCTCTGCTTTAGATCTTAGAGCCAGGAAATCTTTGGGGGAACCATCCTGCAGGATTGTGTCCTCCAGGGAGGCCAGCTTGGTAAACTTCCATTTCTGCATCTACACACATAGCATGAAGGAAGTCAGGTTGCTTACTTTAAACTGATGTTCTTTGAGTGGTCTTCTGTACAGTCACACATCTCTTTCTTGCTGTAGGCTCTTAGAAGCTCATCTTGAGGAGCTAGATGGAAAAGCACTGACGCACGCAAATAGAGTGGGCTCTGTACCTTTGAAGGGAAGGACAAGTCCCAGTTCCCATTCTATTGTATTTATTACTTTCTGTTTAAGGCACTAAGGTAGCCTCAGCTGAAGGGCTGTTTAGAAGTTCAATCAATCAGTAATCTTTGGCTCAGGAGCTTCTTTAAAACATTGTTCTGTGGAAGTGAAGAACCCATGTGTGACTGAGCAGAAGATCACTTGAATGTTAGCTACAGTTAACTATTTTTTAGCAGAACCAAGTAGCTCATCAAGGCACAACGCTTACACATTTGTGTTTTGCAGAACTGAACCACAGCTAAAGAAACTGGAAAGAGAATATGCTGAACTAAAGGGAGAACTATCCACTCTCAGGAATGCAGTTCAGTTGGTGACTGATTTAAAGGATCTTAAACAAAAATATGTCAATGTCAGAAAGGAAAACCCACAAGAAAAAACAGTAGTAAGTATATGTTTAATAGTTTGATGCCATATGCAGTATTTCATTACTTTGGTAGAGAAATCCTCATTGTTGCTACTGTTGTTTTGGGCAGCTGGGTTGGTGGGAGAATCCATGGCAGAGAAACCACCCAAACCCTGTTGTGCTCATTCTGAAAGGGCTTATTGTGGTGGTAACATTTAACCTCCCCCCTGCCCCAAATTCTGTGCTGCTCCAGCCTTTTCTTTTGTAGTTCCCTCCCATCCAGTGGGAGGGAAAAATTGGTATACCAGCTCCAGGGGTAGTGTATTCAATCATCTCTCAGCAGTCCCAGTGGCATGCTGAGGGAAAGAAGGGGTTTGGATCCAGCAGATCCAAAGGCACCTGATCCACCCTTGGTGCTATTACTTTTGGGGCATACAAAAGTGACACTGCCCACCTAGAGGGAGATCCAGTATATCCTACGGCCCCTGGAATGCCTTGCCAGGCTACCACTCGATTTGACAAACCTGGTTCTGAATAGTCCCCAAACTACAGTGAGTGGTTAGTGTTGATCTGGGTGCAACTGCATGGGTGGGTGGGGCTGTGACGGGATTATTTCACAAAGTGTTTTAATACTGCCTTTCTTAGAAACATTGTTTCCCCCCCGTTTTCTTCTTTCATAGTATGGTGCCTCCAGCCTTCCTGCACTCCTGGTGGAATCACGAAGAATTTTAGGAGCTGAAAGCCACGTTCGCCGTATCAACTCAAAATTACAACAGGTTTTAGATTCACAAACGGAGGACTAGACATATATACATATAATTTACACTTTACTGCCTAACGAATACCCCGCCATATTTTAAATACAACTACACAGCAGAGACCCATTGAAATTAATGAACATTACTAAGTTATGTCAATTAATCTCACTAGGTCTAATTGGAGTAAAACACAGTTGAATGCCACCCCACTGACACCTCTAATAGAACTGTAGTTGAAGCAGGAAATTGGAAGATTAATCCTTTTTTGAAGAGATTTTTCTCAAGTGGCTGAACTATTCATACTTTTAGTGTTGCTATCTGAACTCAGCATAAAAAGCAATAAATGCTTTTTTAAATTGCCAGTTAAGTTGGAGGCAAATAGGAAGTAGTGGAATAGGACAGAAAACTGAATATAAACAAGATAAACCTTGATAGTTTTTTATGGCAAGCTTGAGAAGTGACCTCACTGCTTGCTGTCAAGCCCTAAGAACATCTGAACAGCAGCATGTTGGCTACCTGTGGCCCACAGGGTAGTATAATTTACATTAAGCTACTTTGTTTTCCATCACTAACATAATTAAAACATACCAAAGAAAAACATTCTAAAATGAAGCAGGTGGCTTGTCCCCTCTTCTGCCAATCTCACACTCTGTGCGAAACAGTAAATATATGTGTAGTTGGACATGTATGTGAATTACACAAATCACTTTCTACACTATAACTTTATTCATTTGACTATTTAGCTGTACTAATCCATTTCTAGAATTAAGAGAGAGCATATTTCAGTAACTGGCATCTTGGTGGTTGCTAAGTTGTTTCAGCCCTGTAAGGGGTACTATTGTTTTTTGGTGTTTGAACTCTTGGGACTAGCTAGCTGAAACCATCATGATTTCTCAAGTAAAAGCACATTGTTGGCTAGCTTGTCTGGCTATTGCCAACATAACTACCCTAGCGAATGCTTTTTATTCAGCCATACCTAATTTATTAAAGTAGAGTTACTTTTTTGTTTCATCTCCTTTGTGTTTTCTTGAAACCTCTATTAGGAGTTCATCAGGTATTTCATCTGTACTCCAAGGCTGAAATGTTTCAGCAGCTTCAGCTAGTTCTATATCCTCAGCAGCTTCCAAAAAGCAGATGTCATTTTCATTATCTCCTGTGATACTTGAGCTTTTCTTGGTGTTCAGCTCTCTATTTTCATGTGTTGTCGTTAAAGATTTTCTTTCTGTAAGGTTGTGGTGTGTGTTTGCTTTTTCCTCAATATTTCCATTTTCATCCATTATATACACATATTCTTCATCCTTTTAAAGTAAACAAGTGATTTCAAAAGAAATAGTTATTTGAGGATTATAACTTTTAACCAGGTTTTAAAATATTTATGTATTTCATACAACCAGATACAAGTTTATTTTTTTTGTTATTGTTACTACCATTGATTACTTGCCTTCTAAACCATTGTCTTAAGGCAATTTACAAATAATTAAAAACAGTTAAGCATGAAAAACAAAAAATGAATTTAAAACATTGTTTTCAGAAAGTGCAGACAGTGGGTGCCTGTTGTATTGTGAAAGAAATGTTATTCCAAAGAACAGGGCCCCACTAACAACTCTGCTCCGAATTATTGTGGAATGGGCTTCTGAGATCTCTGGAACTTGCAGGAAAAACTCTCCCTCAGGTGGCAGCAATCTACTGGGTGAATCTAAGGGACAGGGCAGTCTCACAAGTAACCTGGTCCTGAGCGGTTATAGGGCCTTAAGTCATGCACCAATCAAAGTTGGTGATTTTTATAAATTCAGTAGAGCACCATGTGCTCCAATGAGTATTCATATACAGTAGCTGCAAACACTCTTAAATATTGCCTGGCTTTGGTGTTTAGAGGCATAAGCCAATAACTGTCTGCAGCTGCCCAACATAATATATCATGGCTGTTGAAGAAGCTTTCCTTCAGTAGGAAAGAGCTAAGCCTCAGTGGGAGACTTTCTAACAAGTTGGTCTTTTAAAGATCCTGAATGCACAAAGCTAAGAGGCCACACAGGCAAGTTCACTTGCAAATTAGTTACCAGATAGAAATTTCACATCATCTAACATCATCACTATTTTTCACTTGAGATGTTTCACATTCAACTTGAGTGTTCACAGATTAAATGATGTCACATATGTGCAGCAGCTCAGAGGCCTACTTTTTGTTAAGATAGTTAATCTATATGTTCAAAAGTTGTCATGAAGAGGTGGTTGCCACCAGTGCTTTTTTTCTGGGGGGACGCAGGTGTACGCATACCCCTAAACATTTTGTGAATCTAAGTTTGGCCTCATGGAGGGGCAGTATTTCAATATGAGTAGGAAAATGAAAGTACCCCTAAACATTTTTTTAGAGAAAAGCCACCAATTCAAGTTGAAAGGGTACTATTCCACATGGTCAAAGAGCTGTAGTGTAGCTCAGATATATTTTCAAAGTGGTAGATGAAAAGCTAGGAATTCCTTTATTAGGAGGTTAATAGAGGGCACTCTTGCGATTTCTGTCCCAGCAACATGACCCTATATTGCACATTTAGTCATCTGTTATTGCTGGTAAGAAAAAAGTTAAGACACACAACTCTGCTCAGACTTTACTAATTAGACAACAATATTTTTACACCATACAGTGGTACCTTTGTTTAAGAGCAGCTTGGTTTTTTAACAACTTGGATTAAGAATGCTGCAAACCCGGAAGTAGGTGTTTTGGTTTGTGAACTTTGCCTTGGAAGCAGAACATGTTCCGCTTCCTGTTGAGTGTGTTCCATTTGTAAATTGAGTCCCCAGCTGCTGTGGGAAAGCACACCTTGGTTTAAGAATGCTTTGGTTTAAGAACTGACTTCCGGAACGGATTAAGTTCGTAAACCAAGGTACCACTGTACTTTCTAACCTAGCTCATGATAGAGCAGGAGCATTCTACTTGCATTTTCATTAACAATACTTCTGCCAAAATAACACATGGAGAAGGTCTTATTACAAAGTTCTGGTTTCAGTGGGATGTGGTTCGTAGCAGTTGCACAACTGTGCAGACTAAAGGAATTCACAGATCAGGGATGGGCTTGCATGACTTTAATGAGAGAAACACAAGCAGTACTACAGTATTCACAACCCCCTCACAATGAGTAATTTTCAATTCTATGGGCATATTGTACACAAATTGAGAGGAGTTATGCACTTGCACAACTTTAATAATGCAAGCCTATGACAACATCAAGACTGCTAATGAAATACTGGTTTTATTTTAAAAAGTAGGCATGGAATTTTTTCCCCTCTAACGTTTGCTCATTTTTCATCTACGCAACTCATTTTCTAAACTGTTTGCTACAGAAATAGGTCTTGCCAGGATATAACCAAAACATTTCAATATTGCACTGTGAGAAAAGCATACCTCTTTGAAAAGAAATGGGAGGCATACCTCAGCTGGTAGTGGAAAACCTGTTAAATACAAAGAGAGTTTATATTGAATTATAACAATTTAACATTAGAAGCTGTAATATTGTAGGTAATACAAAAAAGTACTCACATTCTGACTTGAAGTTTTCTGCTCTGCAAACAGGGTCATGGCATTTTTGATACCAATTCTCACTTTTCAAATCTATTACAATCCTTGAAATAGATTTAATAGTTTATGTAAGTTTCAGTCAATGAGAGTGATCTTAATTGCTTTATTTTATAGCCTTGCTACAGATAAATGCTTTGCAGAAAAGGTAATCCTAGTTTTATTAACCTATTGAACAAATTATTTTTAGGAAAATACCAAAGTATACATACATTATATTGTTACTTTTGTGAGCTCTGCCAATATTCATGCACCAGCGATATTTGGAGATGTCATATACAAGAAGTTGCTCAAGAGAAAAATAGTTCCATCTTCTTATCCCTGAAAAAAAGAGATGTTCCACTTTGTAAACAACTTCATTATCTTTAGAAATACCACCTCTGCTTGGCCCAAAAATATTCCTTACCTCCTTGAACATTATCTTTATTGACCAAAGAGAGAACGAAGTTATCAATTTCTGGATAAGGTGAGCACTGATATCCTCCTATGGGGTCTATAAAAAAAATTACAAATGTTAATTACTTATTCTTCCGTAGCACATACTAAGAAATAAAATATGAACACTGTTAGGAACAGAATTAGGACCTCATTGCCATGGTAAAAAAAAGCAAAAAGCTCCATACCAAAACCATTTCTAGCTTGCCTGTCATAGTACACAAGCAATCATTGACAGATGATGCTAAAACTTGGCCAGGCAGGAGCAGGGCATAACAGAAACATAGCCACTGTTGCATCCACATCGCTTATGTCAGTTGAAGCAGCAGGCAAAAACCTGTTCGAGGCTACAGCATTCTAGCGTTGGCATAGCAATGGCCACCCACCCCTGGTTTGGGCTTTCAGCAGGCTACTGCCAGAGGCTGGAATACTGCTAGCATCACTCCACCAGCTGAGTCCAGTGGAGCTGCTCTGGGCCGGATGGAATAATGCAGCCGCCAGCTTCGCATATTAGAGGAATGGAGCCTGAAATGGTATGAACTTCACCTAAGAAAGCTGAATTCCGAGTCTCCTTTCCTCAAGTCTGCACTGAGAAAGTAGTAAAATCTAACATGCTTTTCATATCTAGCCTAGTCATCAGCAGCAGTACAAATTAATCCTGCTTCACATTCCTCCATTTTTAAAATTTCTAATAACGTAACACTTCTGAAAATTTTTGGATTACCTTTTGTTTTTTGTGTGTAATACACTGCAATGACCACTGACAAAGAGCGGTTTAATCAAATACTTGTCAGCAGCTTACAAAATTTTTGTAGATATTTGAAGTATTTACTATGCATAATAATGTTTCAGGATAAACTTCTTCAGGAGCACAGCTAGACATAAATTTCACAATTCAGACATACTCATTTTCACAGCCACATGATGAAATAAAAACATTTTGAAATTTTAAATGCCCTAGCATCATTTCCATAACATGAATTAAAATTTATTTTAACACAATTACCCAGACAGCCATTAGAAACACTGCCGTCTAAATCCGTAGATTTTTCTTTTGTCTCCTTTGGGTTGTCACAGGACAAAATTTTTAAACTGTCTGAATATCTGAGAAGAAACACAGGAGGAAGAATCTTAATACTTGCAGGATACAAGCATATTTTCCACAGCCACACATCTATAGCCACACTTTAAACCATGTTAAAAAAAAAAGCTCATTATTTTCACTTACTTGGCTATATCAGTGCTTGGAGAAGCAATCACAAATCATGGATAAAATGACAGAGATAGAAAAAAGAAACAGGACAACAGGAAAAATTCTGCTTTATACCAACCACCTTCCAAGATTTATAGCCAGATGAGAGGGCAGCTCCTCAAGCCAAGAGGACCCCAATCTATCATGACTCTACAAGGCAATGTTGCTCCAAATTCTCCAGGATTCCAAGCAGAGGGGGACTAGCATACATAATAGTCATTGCTGTTGCAAGTGAAATAATGAACATCCTCAATAATCACTAAAAAGTATTAGGGAAATTAACATTTCAATAAAGTGATATTGTTACCTTACATTACAGATCAAAGAGGAAAGGAAATACTGCTCTTCTATACAAGAATTCTTTACTGGTTCAGGAACAAATCTGTTATCTTCAGCAATGTCCAAAACAACACAGTTTCCTGCTTTTGATGACTTGTATAATCGGAAGTTTCTGTTCTTTGTATATACTCCTAGAGAAAAAAGGTTATTGGCTGTATCTACAATTGCTTATGCTTTTTGGAATCAACAAAGCAATTCAACATTTAAATGTGTTTAAGGCCACCAATTTCAATCCATAAACTTTCTTGGAATGCAGCTCTTAATTTATCACTGAATACCTTTTTAACAACAGATGGGATCTCACTAACAGGGTTTTTTTTAAAATGTTTTTGTATCTCAAATAAGATTTCCAACATATGAGGGGATTAGAATGTAGAGTCCTGACAATACTTGTGTTTGTGGTGTCAAATGAAGTATGCTTGAAAATACGCAGACACCCTGAGCCAGAAAACACATATTGAGAGAAGGTAGACTTTATGCAGCAAATGTTGGCCCATGGTCCCTGAACATCACATGTATAAATAAAGAATGACTGTGTTCTTATTGCATCTTCCCTCCCCATATGCGAAGTCTCTGACAGCTGTTCTTCATCTTCCCTTTTGGCACTCTTCACATGGGCGGAGAATTGCTCATACCCAAAGTCATACATACAACAGGACCAGATCAGGCCCACAATTTTTAGTATCAGTGTTAATCAGCACACAGTGGACAAATTCACAATGAGTAATTTTGAAATTATCTCCGTACTGAAATAACCAATTGGCAAAAAGCTTCTTAAAGCATTACCCATCTACCCTATGCTGTCAACCTTGAAATACATACAAGGGCTACAGCAGGGGTGGTCAACATGGCACCATCCTTTCATTGTCTGAGTACAGCATCTATCATCCCCATCCACTAGCTATACTGGCTGGGGCTCCTGGCAGTTGTAGCCTGACAATACCTAAAGGGCCCCCCAGCTACAGCAGATTTTCAGATATACCTGCCAGCTCTCCTGTTAAGGCATAAATAAAATGTTCCCAGGTTCTATGCAAAAATATTACCATAGAGCTGTGTATTAAATGTGCATTTATATTTACCAAGATCTACGAACAACTGCTTTTCTCCGTGTTTACCATTCACTATTAGAAAAGAAAGATCTGGATTTTCTTTCCATTGAGATGCACCATTTCCCAAAGAATCGTTTGCACTAAGTTGCCTACTATGAGACACATCCTTGGTGACAGTCTGGTTTTCAACAGAGCTGGACAAATCAGTGGCAGCTTTGCAACTCTGAGAACGAGAGACCACCTGTTTCTCTGGAACCATTGCATCTCTTTTCCTAGTTAAAAGAACAGCAGGTTGCAAAATTTTTCTTAAAAAGTTACCTAAAAAACAGAATGGGGAAATTTGAGAGATCAACAATAGGAAAGTTAAACAATCTAAGAATCAATATGCAATTGCTTGCCTAATAGGAAATACTGAATCTTTATAAATTGGGGGGGGGGGAGGGAGCCAAAACAGCATGCATTGTACGAATTCCTTTTTCCAAGATTTTACTAACAGCTTATCCAGTTAGCTTCTCATGCTCCTGCTCTGGTGGTTAGAATACAAACAAAAGCATAGAAAGAACCCTATGACATTAGCTGGTATGCTGCAGGAGGCTAGCAATACACAACCCACACCAAACCAGCCATAGGGCAAGGGCACCAGTGCAGACTGGAATAACTTGCACAATGAACCTCTGTAAGCTGGAAGTACTGAGTCCGCGTGTTACTATTATTTACACTCTTTGTCCAAGGAGCTCAAATTGGTTCTTCCAGAACATTTTATCCTGTTAACGATCCCTTGAGGTTGGTTAGACAGAGATAGTCTGGCCCAAGTTCAGTCAACTTCATGGCTGAGTGAGGATTTGAACCTGTCTTCCTGCTCCTAGTCAGACACTTTAACCAATGAGGCATGTGAGCCACACTTGCCAATTGACTGTATATACAGCCCAACTTGTTAGATATATAAAAAAATGATGATAATATACCGTATTTTTTGCATCATAACACTCACTTTTTTCCTCCGAAAAAGTAAGGGGAAATGTCTGTGCATGTTATGGAGGGAATGCCTACGGGTGGCATGCCTACGGATTTTCCTCCTCTAAAAACTATGTGCGTGTTATGGTCGGGTGCGTGTTATAGAGCGAAAAATACGGTATATTCATATCCACTACTTTAAAATGGTTGCAAATCAATTTTGCATGCATTTGAAATAAATTGTGCTTACCTATATGAATATTATTCTTAAATGCAGCATTGCAGAGCAAAAATATTAAGTGGCAACTAAATTTTTCATTGGTGCTGGAATCCAGATTCAAAACATCTTCAACTGAACATTTTATTCCATAGTGTTCATCAATCTTTTTACAAATGAACTGAAAGACACAGTGAAATTCTCCTGTTATCATTTTGTCCCCTATTAATTATTAAACTTGTTAATGGCTTATTATCCAATAAGTATCCACACTACTTACAACATATTTTAAACATTGCCATAAGTAAAACCCTAAGATAATATAAACATATTTAAAAGATCTGATATGCAAAATTAACCGGCACACAAAATGGCTTCATTTCATAGCTTTTAGAAAAACTAACACAGAAAATTTCAAATACAGCAAAATACAAGTAAGTATCTTTATGACTAAGATTTAACTTGGTATATGACTTTAAGCTCATTGACTCTGCTGAAATCGGGCATTCTTAAGCCACAATACTTTGTGCTCCCTCTGTTACAGATTGGTTTGCTACAGCTGTGCTGTTTAAACATAGCGAATGTTTTCATATGATCCTAACCAAAAGGCCAAGCCATTTTCCCTCAGTCATGAAATTATTTTTCCCTGATACTACTTCCCAGGGGCTGTGCCCCTGCTTACTCAACTCGCCAAGCCCTTGCCATTCCCCTCCACGTTACTACCCTAGGGCACTCCCATATTCATGTCTCTTCCTCTCTCCTACAGTCGTACCTTGGAAGTCAAACAAAATCTGTTCTGGAAGTCCGTTTGACTTCCAAAATGTTTGGAAACCAAAGTGCAGCTTCCAATTTCTGCAGGAAGGCCCATCGGACGTTTAGCTTCCAAAAATAGTTCGCAAAACAGAACACTCACTTCTGGGTTTGTGGCGTTCGGAAGCCAAAACGTTTGAGAACTAAGCTGTTCGAAAACCAAGGTACGACTGTACTCTGTGACAGTATTCTATTGCAGGAACAGTATTTAAAAATATAGATATTTTATGTTTTCATTGATTACAAAGATGATGAAAAGTCAAATAAATATTCCCATCCAAGACATCTGGTAGAAAAAGCCCTCCTCCAACTCAGGGGTATTTATGTGTTGGTCATGGGGAGAAAGACAGTGGTCAGTTTTCCCTTTAAGCCGCAGCCCCTTCTGTTTCATGGAATGCTGCTCAGGGGAATCCCCTGGGCTTTGGGAGTGAGTTTGCAAGAGGTACAGCAAGCAGGCGAGTGGGAGCTGAAAAGGCCCTGGGCATATGTAGTACGTTACACATAGCCCTTTGATTGTTGGCCAGTCCATTTCAGATGGACTGATAGTCCCTTATACTGGGACCAAAAAAATGCCCTTTTGGTCAAGCAACACTTCAAAGGTTTTAGGCTTCATCCCCAGTCCTTCCTCTTTTACACAGCACATGGGAAATCAACCACACTGTCCCTCTTCACCCAGTCTCAGAAAGACTCAGACTTTCCACTTCTGTCAAAAGGGCACATCTTATGACTACGTACTGAAACAGAGACAGCTGCTATTTTCCCCAGTGTGCTCCAACTTTCATACCATCCACTAAACTACTTTTTTGAAACTTTAAGACTAGGCACTCTTCTTCGGTAAAATAAAAGTATTATATGTTACTTGAAATTCTGAAGTACCAAGTTCTGGTATTTAACATCAAAGTCTGCTCACGATATATTCCCGCACAATTGATATTACTACTTCTCAAGTGCTTAGACTAGATAGAAAGGTCATGGCATGTCTTGCCTAATACCTTGCAGGATTAGATTTTAAACTAACAGATGATGGTGTAGCATTTGTTTGAATCACCAAAGAACAAGATTCTACTGCCTCCCTTGGTGGCTTATTTCATTGTTAAAATTCCATTATACCAAGCATATTCCCCAAATGTTTTGCCTAAATCTATATTCCTTATTACTTTAATATTACCTCTATCAAGTCTGCTACCATCTGTTTCCCATCAGCTTCTTGATTAGCTGGTATGTAGAATTCCAAATCAAAGTAAAGTTTGCAAACAGCTTCTTCTGGAATAACCTCATAACAATGCATAAGGCTTGTTTCATTATATGTTCTAGATTAAAGGGAGAATCACAATAATTTATATTCATTGAAATTACAATTATCAGATTACACCAAATACTCCAAATTATTTTTAAAAAAACCGTAGTTACTTTACATTGCTATTGCCTTGCATGCAGGTGATAACCTCTGTGAAATGCAAATGGAACCTTCTGAGGCCAAGCAGAAAAGAACCCTTATTGTCTGGAAAAACCCATAGCATCCTATTGATGAACACAGCTGTTTATCATCAAATTTGGAATGAGGAACTCTAAACTATAAAAAAAATATAGTTTGGAAACACTTTGAGTTATCCCCTGCTCCAAAAATATGTCCCAGTTCTTTATGTGTATGGTTTTATAGAAAGCCACTACACAGTTGAAGAACACAAAAGCACAAAGATGTGCTGTTTGAGTGAGCCTATCTAAGTAAAGCTGCATAACTGTTGCAACGAGCTTATACCAGAAGTGAACTAATGTGGCAACAGATGTCAGGCGCTACACCAGCACTCATGTTGTTGAGTGAGGTCAAAGGTGCAAAAGATGTCCCCTCATATTTATTTATTTATTTATAGGTTCCTTTTTGGAAGAAAAAGAAAATATACCCTCAATCTAATAAAAATCTAATGAAAAGCTGAATGTTCTGTCACACTGGGGGGAAAACACAAATGAATATACCGTGGTACCTTGGTTCTTGAACGTAATTCGTTCCAGAAGTCAGTTCGACTTCCGAAACGTTCAAAAAACAAGGAATGGCTTCCGATTGGCCAGGCGCCCAGGAAACAATAGCCGACAACTGCATCAGACGTTTGGCTTCCAAAAAACGTTCAAAACCCGGAACACTTACTTCCAGGTGCCGAAATGTTCAAGTACCAAGGCGTTCAAGAACCAAGGTTCCACTGCATAGACTTGGTTCCAGGAGCATCCCAAGCAGAATTCCACTTAGGAGGTGCACTAGTCAGCAGAGGAAGGAAAGGATTACAGAATCCCATTTCCCCTTCCAATCCTTAGTGCTCTCCCAAAATCTGCTTCACATGATTGGGGACCTACTGGAACACTGAAAAGTGATGCTAGGGGCTTTTGGGGAACTTAGCAAAAGTTCCCCCTCACCTTGTCTTCTCTCAGTGTGATCCCACTGCTGGATCAAAGGTATAAGGTAGGAGCCCTTCCATATCCCAAAGGCAAAGTCTGGATTCAACTTCTAAATTGCAATGGCTGCAACCTTACACACATCTACATGGGGGTAAGTGCCATTTAACACAGGGGAACTTATTCAAAGTAAACACACAAAGGTTTGGGTTACATCAATATAGGAACATAAATCGTTCTGAGTACAGTATTTGTTTTTCAGATACTTGCCTATAATAAAACCAAAGCTCTGTGTATGTTGTCACAAGATAAATCCTTTGCTTGTTCTCTGCATTCTTTTCCAAAGCAAATACATGAACGTCCTTTAAAAATTTTAAAAAACGCTCAATCAACAAATCAAAGTACCCAAAGCCACATTTCTCAATTATAATATGTCATTTCTCAATTATAATATGCTATAACAAAAACTTAACATGTGCAAGGCATATTGCTGGCAAAGCCACATTCTAATCATTAACCATCATACCTGTTTACAAGTTTTGGCAAAGTTAAATGCTTGAGTTTGCCGATGAAATAGCTTCCAAACTGGGGTTGCTTGCCATGGTTTGGACAACTGCGGTTTGTAACGTGCACGGAGAGGCCGTCGTTTATACGAAGATGCTAGCTCCTCAATATCCTTTAGCCTTTCTTCCCATTTTCTCTTTGTCTGTTCTAAAGCAATCAAAATATCAAGTCTGTATTCAACCAAGAGTTCCAATAAATAACAAGCGAAGCTCATGATCATTTTCAGATAGTTATTATACAATATAGCCCAGAAGTTGGATGCAGGATTGACTCTTGCTGTCTTCTTGACGACCAGAGATGAAATTGTGGCATTGGTAAATAGGTGGTGCAAAGAAGCATGCAAGTGCAGACTTAACCACTTCCAGAATCAATTGAAACCACTGACCAGTAAGACAAGGTGCTTGCTTATTTTGAAGCTTCAGCTTATCCTGTATCTTAAGAGACACTAGGGTAGTGCATAGATAGATATTTCACAGGCTAACTGGGTTGGTGGACATGCAAACGATATGTCTAGCATCAGCAGTACATTCAACAGGGAACACATCTCACTTCTTACAATTTATTTAGCAACAGGGTATTGTTATTATTAGAAAGCTCAAACTTATTGGGAAAGGTGCACATAGACCACAATTTCCACTTTAAAATCATGGCTGTCAACATTCCCCCTTTTTTTAAGGGAAATTCCCTTATTCCGAATAGGATTCCTCACAAGAAAAGGGAAAAGTTGACAGCTATGCATTAAAATATACATTAAACAGGGATTCAGTCCTTTGCTGGTTGCTGCTCATGTATAAGACAGAAAGCTGGTGTATATAAACATGCACTTTTTAAAAACAGGGCTGCACTTGACACACCACTCTTAACACTAAATTGTTCAAAGTACAGTGGTGCCCCGCAAGACGAATGCCTCGCAAGACGAAAAACTCGCTAGACGAAAGAGTTTTCCGTTTTTTGAGTCGTTCTGCAAGACGAATTTCCCTATGGGCTTGCTTCGCAAGACGAAACGTCTTGCGAGTTCTTGCGAGTTTGTTTCCTTTTTCTTAAAGCCGCTAAGCCGTTAATAGTCGCTAAGCTGCTAAGCCGTTAATAGCCGCTAAGCCGCTAATAGCCGTGCTTCGCAAGACGAAAAAACCGCAAGACGAAGAGACTCGCGGAACGGATTAATTTCATCTTGCAAGGCACCACTATACATATTTTCATGTCAAGCCATTACATCCTTCAGCAAGCATGTCATGTTCCACCAGAAAATCAGTTCTAAAGGTGGAAGTTATTAATACACATGATCATGAAACAGGACATTAGTCCAGTGATGCAAGCAAATATGTCTGTGTATATATATGGATTATGCCATTCTCAGCATATATTCAGTGCCATATCCTATGTTCTCAATCTCCATTTCCCACCTTATATTTCAGAATATGCACATATTTTTTGGGGGTTGGATCCAAAGAATTTGGACCCAGCAGCTCTTCCACACACACACAGAAGGGACTTTTGCTGATTTCCTCTACTTGCAGCCTTAACATCCTGTCCCAGAAAGTCCTCCAACCCTCTGAAGCAGATTTTTAAGGAGCACAGGAAAAATGAGGCATCAATACCACCTAGAGTAATTCCATGCGATGTCTCTTCACAGAATTCTGGAACGAACCACTAATGTCAACTGAATCAAACAAATTATTCTGAATCAGCAGTGCTTTTATCTGCAAGAAGTTTTAATCATGCTTAATACTGCTAAGTTTAATGTAAATATTTTCAGAACTTGGAATAGTGGACTTACTGGTGCTCATGATAGCTTTCTTGCAGAGAAGCAATCAGTCTTTATCCTACTTTGAGACAGCAAACACACTGAGGGGAAAATACCTGTAAAAACGTAGACTATTAATATGTTGAATATGAGAAGTGGTTAATTTCCTTCATAAGTGTAAATCACCCAATGGTTGAGCTAACCGCAGGTGCAAAACAGCCAAGCCAGTTGCTATGGTAAAGACCCAGTGCTCCAACTATAACTGTGATTAACACATGTCAGCTCAGTAGTAGAGTCTGTTAGTCGTCCAGTGCTACGTTCTGAATTGCTGGACTTATTTAGAGCAATGGAGATACTTTGTATTTATATAGTACACATTTGTATAGTGCACATATAGTACACAGTACACATCCACTGTGTACTGGGGCCCAAATTCCACTTGGCACCCAGACCATATGGAAAGGAAATGCAAATAGGCCTTCCGGCGCGCGCACACATACAAAAGAAGGGTTGCAGGTTCCTATAAGCCAGATCTTTCCAAACTTTTCATGTTGGTGACACTCTGTTTAGACATGCATCATTTTGCTTGCCGATCGTAAGGTCAGCGGTTCGAATCCCCGCAACACAGTGAGCTCCCGTTGCTCGGTCCTTGCTCCTGCCAACCTAGCAGTTTGAAAGCACGTCAAAGTGCAAGTAGATAAATAGGTACCGCTCTGGCGGGAAGGTAAACGGCATTTCCGTGTGCTGCTCTGGTTCGCCAGAAGCGGCTTAGTCATGCTGGCCACATGACCCGGAAGCTGTACGCCGGCTCCCTCGGCCAATAAAGCAAGATGAGCGCCGCAACCCCAGAGCCGGTCACGACTGGACCTAATGGTCAGGGGTCCCTTTACCTTTAATTCAGTTTTACTAGCAAACCAGAGGTTAAACTAACCCCTTTCCAGCCCGGGAGGAGCGTACGGAGCGTTCGCATGACACACTGCAGCCGTCACACTAATGGATGGGTAGGCAAACTAAGGCCCGGGGGCTGGATCCGGCCCAATTGCCTTCTAAATCCGGCCCACGGACAGTCCGGGAATCAGCGTGTTTTTACATGAGTGGAATGTGTCCTTTTATTTAAAACACATCTCTGGGTTATTTGTGGGGCCTGCCTGGTGTTTTTACATACCTACTAATAGGTATCTAAAGCCATTTGCACATAATAAAATATGTATTATATCAAAGCAATTGTTGAACTGAAATACAATTAAGAAGTATATTAATAGTGAAATTGGGAGTGGGGCCCTAAGCTATAGCTTGTTTAGCTTATACGTCAATCCGGCACTGATGGGGGGCGAACCGCATGGCAGCTGCCCCCCTACCTACCTCTAAGAAGAGAGCGTGGGGAGGAGAGCAGCTGCAGCCCCGCAGCCGCTTCCGAAGAGGAGTGGCTTTGCGCGCGCAAAAGAGGGAGCCGACGGGCCGTTTCCCGCGCTTTCCATTGGACAAACTTCCTTGTTGCTGGGGCCGTCGCCGTTGCTAGGGCAGCTTCCTCTCCTTCTTCCTTTCCTCCTCCTCCTTCTCCTCTTGGGGCGGGGCTGAGGGGTGGGAGACGGAGCGAAGGAGCAAAGTGCGGAGGAAAGAGGGAGCGCGCTCCGCCAGGCATTTGGGTCCAAAGAGGGAAACGGGCAACCGCAGCAGCACCGAAGAAGGAGGAGGAGGAGGCGTCCGAGGTCAGTAGCCCGCGGATCGCCCAGGCTGCTTTTTCTCCCCCCTCAGGGAAGCTACCCAGCCTGCCTGCAGGCGCCCTCCCCGCCCGGCGTGGCGCTCCTTGTTTTGATAGCAGGAAGCGCGCGGGGAAAGCAGACGGCAAAGGTGAAACAAAGAAAAGTTTCTCTGCGGGAAACTGTTGCTTCCCCAGCCGAGCCCCACCTGCGTGGGAAGCCCGGTCCCCGCCCGCCTTCCCACGCCCCCCCTCCAGCCTCTCTCCTGCTCGGCTTTTCCCCTTCCTCCGGCAGCCCCTGCTGCTGCTGTTGCAGCTGCTCGGCGCCATAGTTGCTTATTGTTCCTACTTCTTTCCGTCCCAGCGCGTCTGAGGCGCGGATCACGGATGCCCTCGAGCCTTTTATTTAGGAACCAGGCGAGGAGCTGGCAGGTCTGAATCCAGCCCAGTGTTCGCTGAGCTGCAAAGAAGAGGGGACCCGCTCTCTCTTTTCTTTTTTTTACAGAGCGGAAGCAGACCGAGAGATCTTACTTCAGCAGCATGCAGCAAGTTTTCTTTGAACCCACCCCCCACACATGTGGCTTGGTGGTAGAGTTGAGAAATCTCCCCTTCACTGTCTGTTGTTTTTGTTCTAATATTCTTTCAGCTCATCAGACATGTGGCATCCTTCTGTGACTGGATATGAAAGAATTAGTGAAGTAGTGCTTAAAAAAACAAACACCACTCCCCAAACACCCATTAGTATGCTAGTTTCTGCAGAAGGGAAGGACTATAATCTTCTTTGTGAGTACCAAAGCAGGGGATGGTAGCTAAACTTCTTTGGTTTAATTTGAATCGCAATTTAAATTTGTGATAATTGTGTATGCTGCACTTGAATTGATCAATAGCCCAATGGGAGTACTTGGCATATCGAAAGGGTTGCTTAATAATGCAATCTTGTCTGTTTCTGTAGTTAGCAATCTTGCCAGTTTTAAAACCTGAGTTTTTCCTGTCATAGGTTTTGCTTGGAGACCAAGATGGGAACATAGTAATTTATCACCCTTCCACCAAAGACTTCATGGCAGCATTACCCATGAACTATTCCTCACTCAAATGGCTTAGATTAATATATGAAATTATGCTGTCAGTCTTAACAAAAAATTACTACAACAGTATCTGGAAAACGTTGCCAGTCTTGCAGGAATGCTTTAGATTTCCCTTGAAATTGGTGTTTTGCCTGAGGAGGAATTTTTGAATTTCATTTTGAACAAAATCTGGTGATAATTATTACCCAAGGAAGAACTACCAAAATCAATATGATTTTGGCTTTATGTAAAATTTCAGTGGTAACTTAAGAATTACTCAGTTGGCCTGTGGATGGAGAAATTGGAAAGCTTGAGACTAAAGCAGTTGAATATTAATGTGAACTCTCACAATCATAAAGCAGCAGCACCTTTTTTCTCAAAAAAGGAGGAAAACAAAGTCCATGAGAGTCAAAAGATTATTTTCCAACAAAGGAAAACATTGTTGTCTTAATGTCATCAGCACTAACCGCTCTGTACTAGAAACTAAACTTTATTCGGAATTAACCTTGTCAGTTTTCCAAGGAGGAATGACACACTATGGCGCTATACTGACAGTTGCAGATAGGCGCCTAGATCTTTTCAGCCTTGTGCAATTCATTGTATCTTCCTGTTAAAAGTGAAAATAAGTGTATGGATTGATAAACAAGGTTAAAGAGGAGAAGTACAGTTTTCACAATAATAGGCTAGCTAGTTTTGCTTATCTATGTTTTCAGTCAAGTCTATGAAATTTGTCACTAGTGTCAAGAGCTCCAGAAAACATTTTCCATATTTATAATGTTTGTGGCTAAGTCAACATAAACAGATATATGTAGAAATAAAGCTCGTTAGGAGCAATTGACATGTGAAAACGTGCAGATCAATTTAGGTTGCATCTAGATGGCAGTTTCCTTTTGTGATTATTGCATCAAGTAGCAAATGGTAGAAAAGGCACCATAGCCAACAACTAGTGAAAGGGCATAGTAGCCACTTTTATCATAGGCTTTCACAGCAACACATTTTGAGCAGATCCCATTGCAACAACTTCTGATTACGGGAATGTCTTGTGAGCCTACCATGTCAGTGGTGAGCAGGACCAGAGGCAAAAAATAGATGGAGCAATGAAAGTGACTCTTATCTTTGCACGGTTGGCTTCATTCCAGTCACATTAAAGTCAGAAAGGTGTGTATACATACACCTATAGGCTGGGTTTGAGCCCCACATTGGACGAAAGATTCCTGCATTGCAGGCAGCTGGACTAGATGATCCTCATGGTCCCTTCCAACTGTAGAATTTCATGATTCTATAATGATCCCACATCTAATGGGTAAAAAGACCAATCATGTCAGCTGTATTGTTACTGACTTTTCCTAGAAGCCTCATAACTTTATGTGCCCTTTAAAATGTTTCTTACCTAAGGGAGGAGGAACTTCAAAGCAGAATATCTGTTAACTTTCCTAGAAGCCTTTCTTTCATCCTTTGTAGAATGAGATCATCCTCCCCAGAGAGATGTATATTCTGCTTGACAGAATATGACATCAATGCATTAGCTAACCAAGATGAGGTAATGCTTTAGTACTCTGGTGAAGCTAGCTAGTAACTGTTTTGTCCTCCCAAGAGCTTCGATGCTTCAGTACGTTAGCATTGGTGTTGTGGAAAAGAAACAAACCGTCAGTGACAGAGCATATGTCTGACTGCACAAAATCAAAACAGATGTCTGCTGATGGATGGGTCTTTTTGTGGCCAAGTTGCTTAATTTTAACAGACTGTTGATTTTCAGGTACGGTGGTACCTTGGGTTAAGTACTTAATTTGTTCTGGAGGTCCGTACTTAACCTGAAACTGTTCTTAACCTGAAGCACTATTCCTGGGTTAGCGGAGTGTGTAACCTGAAGCGTATGTAACCTGAAGCGTATGTAACCCGAGGTACCACTGTATAAAGTTATTTTTGAAGCAGTATTTTTTTTACCCTGTATTTAACTTTAAACCTGAACAGGTAGCCAAGTGTTGTAAATTGCTACCCGTTTGCATTTCCCCTTAGTGGGTTTATTAAAAATGCCTAGCTTTTAGCTAAATTTATGCTCCTTCAGAATAATTATGCCTCAGGGTTGTATTCTCCTTGTCTGAGGGAAGTTGGGGGCAGCTCATTTTTAATTTTTCTTTATCTGTTCTCTTGATACATGGGAGGCCACAATTTTATTTTCCAGAAGCTTTGCTTTCTCCTTGCATTGATTGGCATTAAAAAATTCTGATGATAACACTTTATCCTTTGTTTACAGAAACAACTATGGCAGACATAAACCATATTATGAAATCCTCACAAACTGTGACAGATGCAAAAAAATTCCCTGGTTCTGAAGGGTAAGTGGGGATTTTGGCTATTGGTGTTGGTTGGTTCTTTGTGGTGGTCTTTTTCTTCTCTTCTGTAGGCTTCGGCTTTAGTTTAGATCTCCCTCAAAATATATGGAGTGTCCACCCCCTAATATACCCATTCCTCCCATGGGCCTGGCACCAACTGATGGTGAGTTGTGACTCCTCCTTGCCATTATCCTACATGGAAAGACAAGGCAAGCAAACAGCAGTGAAAATGCAGCAACTCCCTGGACTTAATCTTATGTAAAAATGAGGGGAAAATACAAGAAGGGTACCAATCTTAGGAATGCCACTTGAATAAGTTGAGAAAGGCAAGTGATCAAGAAAACAAGTGTATTAAACAACTAGAACTCTGATTTTTAATTCATAATGCATTGATGGAGTAATCATTGAGGGAAATGCAGATGAGCTCTCAATTACAGTGGTACCTCAGGTTACATACACTTCAGGTTACAGACTCCGCTAACCTAGAAATAGTGCTTCAGGTTAAGAACTTTGCTTCAGGATGAGAACAGAAATCGTGCTCCGGTGGCGTGGCAGCAGCAGGAGGCCCCATTAGCTAAAGTGGTGCTTCAGGTTAAGAACAGTTTCAGGTAAAGTACAGACCTCTGGAACAAATTAAGTACTTAACCTGAGGTACCACTGTAATCGCAAATAATCAGTGGATTTTATTCAGTGTAGCACTAATGAGACCATTCCAGTTCCTCTTCTCCTACATCACATTCTCCCCTCATCTCCCACACATGCTGTTCTGGAGGTTGTCCCCTATCTCAGAGCATATTTGCAGAAGGAGACGGGGAAGTCCTGTTGTGTTGGCTTCTGCTTGCACAGCCATGTCATAGCATCATAGAATTGTAGAATCGGAAGGGACCCCAAGGGTAATCTAGTTCAAACCTTTGCAATTCAGGAATCACAGCTTATTAGCTGAATATGTCCCAGTATGTTTTGGTGTTAGGACTATTAGTTGCTCTTGTAACTAGAAGATTGCTCCAAAGAAAAAGCATACACAGGAGATGTGCTCATGTACAGTTGTACCTTGGTTGACAAACTTAATCTATTCATGGAGTCCATTCGACTCCTGAAACTGTTCGAAAACCAAGGCATGGCTTCTGATTGGCTGCAGGACCTTCTTGCACTCAATCAGAAGCTGTGTTGGACATTCGGCTTTAGAAAAACGTTCGCAAACCAGAACACTCACTTCTGGGTTTGTGGCGTTCGGGAGCCAAAACGTCCGAGTACCAAGGCGTTTGACAACCAAGGTACGACTATAATCAGCTATGTGCCAAAACAACTTGTTTTCAGAGACCTTGCCTGCCCTTTTGTATTGTTGTGCTTCATATTTTATTGTAAAATCCATGCATAATGAGGTCTGTAAGAGAGACTATGCGAATAAATTCACAGAATCGAGGCTAAAAACTCTTGTAACTTTAGTCATTTTGAGATCTGTTCATAGGATCCTCACTTGGTGTATACTGGTTTCTTCACCATCCCACTTTTTCAAAAGCACTCAAAAGCTTATTTTTAAAATTCACTTGTACTTTTCAAGGACTACTGTTGTTCCTCTCAGATTTAATACAAAAACGACTAGAGCCAATTTGATCCCCTCTTACGTGGTTTATATTGCATAGCTATGATGTTAGACCCTATTCCTGTGACTATAATCTGTTTTAATTCTGAATCTTAAATTGCTGTAACCTGCCCAGGGATATGTTGTTGAAGGGCAGTTAACACATTAACTAATAATAACGATAATAGCAGTATTGCTGTATAGAAGGTGAATACAAAATGCTCAATGGAGGTCTTGCAGTCATAAAACCTCTTTTGAGCTTCTTGTGTGAAAAAATCTTTGCACATTTCTCTCATTCTTCCTACAATGGTTCTGTCATATTTATTTCATCCCAAACATCTTGAATGCAGCTCAGCAGTGCAGGGGAGAGTTTACATCTCATTAATCTATTTCATGTGCTCAAAGGATCAGATCTGTTCTCAATTATCCAGTCTATCTAATAGTACAGTGGTACCTCGGGTTAAGTACTTAATTCGTTCCGGAGGTCTGTTCTTAACCTGAAACTGTTCTTAACCTGAGGTACCACTTTAGCTAATGGGGCCTCCTGCTGCCGCCGCGCCGCCAGAGCACGATCTCTGTTCTTATCCTGAAGCAAAGTTCTTAACCTGAAGCACTATTTCTGGGTTAGCGGAGTGTGTAACCTGAAGCGTATGTAACCTGAAGCGTATGTAACCCAAGGTACCACTGTAATAAAAACATGAAATATTTTCTTTGTTCCAATGTATTTATTTAATAGTGGATATTTGAGGGAACTGTTTATAACTAGGTTGTTGTTGTTTTGCTAGCAATTTCTCATTCAGAATTAACATTCATGCTGTTCTGAACTTGTGCAAAATCCAAAAGATATCAAATTTGCAGTATAATTGTATACATGCAAACTCAGAAGTCCTTTTGAATTCATTTGGACTTATTTGTAGGCAAATGTGTGTAGGATTGTAGCCTCAGTCTGCTTTTTAAATTCAGGATCAGAAAATTGAAAATTTGAGAGAGAGAGTTTAGTTTTACATTGTGTTTTATTTTTTCCTTAGGAAGAGCATCCCTATTAGCAAATCTGTGGACTCTGTGATACCGGCAGATGAGAGTTACAGAATGGATCACCCCGAAATGGGAATGTGTCTTTTAGTCAACAATAAAAACTTCCATCCAGCTACTGGTAATTTTTTTTTAAAAAAAAACTTTCTCCCCCTGCCGGTAAGGCTTCCCTCCCTGTAACCTGCTTTAAACTGTCAAAAGTGAAATATATCTACTTTTCAAAGTTGGCTGTTGTATGCTTAAGGAAGTCCGTAAGTTCAAACATGCCTAAATCTGCATAGGAGAGAGCTGTTGGTCTTAATATCAGGAGAGAGGAACTTGTGGCCTCCCAGATGTTGGCCTCCCAACTTCCATCAGCCCCAGGCAGCATGACCATTTGTCAGAGACGATGGGAGTTCTAGTCTCAAAACATGTGGAGGGCCACATATTTCCAACACCCCTTTTAAATAGCAACGTTGTGCTTTAAGCACACAGTTAGGTGACTTCATTACACCTAAATGAAGCCTGACAATATTGTTCCTTTTCCTTCCAAGCTCGATACAATCGTACCTTAGATCCCGAACACCCTGCGGGTCTAACGTTTTGGCTCCCGAATGCCGCAAACCCGGAAGTGAATGTTCCAGTTTGCGAACGTTCTTTGGAACCCGAATGTCTGATGGGGCTTCTGTGGCTTCTGATTGGCTGCAGGAGCTTCCTGGAGACAATCAGAAGCCGTGCTTTGGTTTCAGAATGTTTTGAAAGTCGAACAGACTTCCGGAAGGGATTCTGTTCAGCTTCCGAGGTACGACTGCACAAGGTTTTTTCTATACATGTTTTATTTATATACAAGGTTGGTCCTTCCATGGATCAGCGGGTGATGCCAAGTTCAATTGTTCATCTGCAATAAAACCAGTGCACCCATTGTTTCCATTCTTTCTGTGTTTACAGGGTGGAATGTTTTCCATAAATCCTGATATATTTCATATAGAAACAAGTCTTCAGGCTCCACTGTGCTTTCCCATATTTTATTTTCATATAACTGAGCAGAATTTGCCTGTGGCATACACTGTTTTCAAAAATTAAGTCAATGCAACTTATTTTCTTTTTTATCTAAAGGGATGGCATATCGATCTGGTACAGATGCAGATGCTGCGCATGTTGTAGACACATTCAGGACCTTGGGGTACACAGTCAAGCCTTATAATGATCTTACATGTAAGGAGATTATTGAAGTTTTGCATAATGGTAAGTAGTGATTTGGTGGATGATGTATTGCCTGCTGTGCCGAAATATAAAATATAAACTCTTGGGTTTTTGTGTTGTCCGCTCTTCTTAGCAATGAGGAACTTTGATATTAAATAATAATTAGAACACCTGGTGTGGCAGAAGGGTTAAGGGTCCCTTTGTGTAGCAGCTGGCTGCGTGCACACCACTGAGTAGGAGGATCTGAAAGCATAGATTACCATCAAAAAGTCTGCTCTGACAGTCTTAAGTCATCTGTTGGAAATGGGCAAGTCTAGATACAGTCCCCTCAACAGCTGGAGATCAGAATTGACCACCTTGAGGGAATGCATATGTGGACCAGGTCCATCATGGAACAATGTGTTTGCAGGCCCAGCAACAAGGTTTGGAAGTTGTGCCCCAGGTATTGAATACAATCCACCTCCGTGTCTGCTTTCATGAACTCTCCTTAGGTTAAGATTTTAAAATTATATTTTAATTTTGCTTAAGCCTTAAGCAGTGTAATTGGTATTTCTAACTTGGATAACTTCAGAGTCTGAACTGGCAACTAAAAATATTCCTTTCTGATTAGGAATGTCAAGATATATATTCTTCACTCAGGAAAATATTTCAGTCTAGACACTAAGCTCATTCTAGAATAGAAGCCACTTTCAGTCCTGATTTTGTTACCCTTTCATTTGTCAGACCCAACTTTCTTTAAATATTTCCACTTATAATGCTCTCCCACACTACTATTTGCTTTAATAAGATACTTTTCAATACTCATTTATATAATAAGCCTGCTAATAACTGCTGTCACTGCCTCCTACCTATAAAAAGGATTCTATGGCATATCAGCAGGATTTATCCTTCAGATATTAGTATGGCAAGAGCAGGGCAACGTTGGGGAGAATGTAACTGCATTCAAGCCTAAGGTAGCCTTACAGTTGCCACAAATTCATAGGAACGTTAAATTATCCTGTTACTATGCTGCTTATCCCAAAGAAGCTATATGATCGACAATGCTTGTCTCACTTTGTCTATTTGTTCGTTTGAGGGAAGCATTATTGTGCTTGAAGTTTTGCTATTGCCTAAAAGTTTCTTGTTGAAAAAATGTCAAATGAGTATTTGGAATTTCTGAATACTTAAACAATGTTTTCCCTCCACCTGGGTTTTTTGAAGCTGCCAAGGATGATCACAACAAGAGAAGCAGTTTTGTTTGTGTCTTGTTAAGTCATGGAGAGGATGGACTCATCTATGGTACAGATGGTCCTCTGGAGCTAAAAATGTTAACAAGTCTCTTCAGAGGAGACAGATGCAAGTCCTTGGCAGGAAAGCCAAAGCTCTTCTTTATTCAGGTAATTGTGCAAAATTGAACAGATGACAATACTGTGAAGACTTTCATTTTGAAAAACAAAAAAACGTTTCTCAAAGATAAAAGGAAATGTTATGTCTGCATTATACTATAAGCATAAGATCTATGGTTACATTTCTGGGAATATAAAATATATCCAGTGTGTCTGGTAGTGTTAATTTTTTGCTTTCTAGCAGTGTTAATATTTCAGTTTCCATACCATTCATACTGCTTAGAGAGGATAGCAGCAATATAAAAAACAAACAAACTAAAAATTCTCTTCCTTAAAACTGGCCATTGAAACCCAAAAGGAAAATCTTAACAGTGATTTTAGAACATGCACAAGCTTAGACACTAGGATCATAGTTGTGGGGCAGCTGCTAAGAATTCTTTAAGTTCCCTGCTTTTTTTGACTATGGTAAACAGATGGAAAACAAGAGAACTGCCCCAAATGCCATGATCCCTGTTTATTTTCATTAGGAAATGAGATCAGTATGATGATTTTGTATTTGTCATTTAATTTTAGGTCTCCTACAGAATAATGCATTAATAATGAGAACACATTACTTTATGCCAGGTTTCCTCAACCTCAGCCCTCCAGATGTTTTGAGACTACAATTCCCATCATCCCTGACCACTGGTCCTGCTAGCTAGAGATCATGGGAGTTGTAGGCCAAAAACATCTGGAGGGCTGAGGTTGAGGAAGCCTGCTTTATACTAATTAGTAAAAGCTTGTCTACTTGGACATCCTTCGGAAACATTAGTCAGGGCTTTCACTGAGAAACTAAAATGGCCAAAACTAAGCATTTGACCAATGCCTTTAAACCATAACCAATTCAGAAAAGCATTTCTTACTGTTTCAGTTTAGGTTGGTGGTTTTCTCACCTGTGACCACAGTTTTAGCAGAGTGCTCTAAAAGTGCTGTGAACTTCTCTGACTCAGAACGGCTTTTCCATGTCACAAAACTGCAAAGTTCAACTTGAAACTCATACCTCATCAAGATTAGCATGCCTCCCCTTTCAAGGTGTGCATAAACGAGTCCTCTTATTCCTTGTTTGTGTTCATTTGTATCCGACTGTTGCCATTTTCAGTGAGCCAATAATGGTAATATTTCTGGCTAGCATTTACTCTTCTGTCTTCCTTTGCGTAGGCTTGTAGAGGAACAGATCTTGATTCTGGTATTGAAACAGACAGTGGCACGGATGAAAACACATGTCAGAAAATACCTGTAGAAGCCGACTTCCTATATGCCTATTCAACTGCTCCTGGTAAGATAAATGAATAAAAGATGCAGCCTTGTGGTCAAAATAAATCGATGGCTTGATGGCTTTATAACTTTTTATTTAATGCATCTCCTAGTCCAGGGGTCAGCAAGCTTTTTCACCAGGGGGCTGGTCCACTGTCCCTCAGACCTTGTGGGGTGCCGGACTATAAGACATCCCCCCCACGACTCTCCCCTCCCTTCTCCACAGCACCGGACGAGCGCCTTGTGGCTGCTTACCTGTGTCTTGCGAGCGGCAGGGGCTGGTGGCGGTGGAGGGACGATGAGTGGCGCACGAAAGGGGTCCGGAGAGGGGCTGCTTAAAATGGTGGGCCGCTTGAGCACTGCTGCTGCTGGCATCAATAAAGCCCAGCCCCCTTCCTCCTCTAGGCAGGGTGGGAAGAAGCCAGTAGGAGGGCGGGAGGAGGCGGCGGCACCGTGTGAGGGAGAGGGAAAGAACACACGCGCTGGCGACCCACGCGGCGATTCCCGGACCCTCCGCGGTCAGAAGGCAATGTGGCCTGATCCGGCCCACGGGCCTTAGTTTGTCGACCCATGTCCTAGTCCAACAAAGGTGCCTAAATACTTCTCCCTCCTTTTGTAAAACCATTTCATGTACAAAAATGTTACTGGCCCATCAACCCGCATGCACTAGCTAGATAGCCTAAGTGGAAAATATCGCCAAATCAACATGGCCATGTATGAAGATGGTTTTTTAATCTCAACACTTCTCTTGGGGAATATTTGAGACTAAGGGGCGGTAGGCTTAACAGCAGGACAAATAAAAGTTGAATGAGATTAATGTGAAGCCCTTTACTAAACTGAATGAACACCCTTGTTCTGGGGCAAAGTTGTGGTGGTGTGATTGTGACCTTAATCAGTTTAATAAAAGTAAGATTCCTGCATTGCATGGACTAGATGATCCTGGGGTCCCTCCCAATTTTGTAGTCTCATTTTGAAGAACATTATATTTTATTCAATTCATTTTTTTTCTTATAGGCTACTACTCTTGGAGGAACTCATCAGATGGCTCCTGGTTTATACAATCACTGTGCGGGATGCTGAAACAGCATGCTACAAAACTTGAACTTATGCAAATTCTGACACGTGTAAATCGCAAGGTTGCAGAATTCAGTTCTTATTCAAACAGACCAGACTTCCACGGAAAGAAGCAGATCCCTTGTATTGTGTCTATGCTCACAAAAGATTTTTATTTTCCTCACTAGCTTCCTACACTGTGATGTGAAAGCTAGCAGAAGAGCACTAGCGTTTTATATCATTTTTAACTCTTGACCCGATGTCCAGTCTCTAATACATAGGTTGTATTGAAATGTTATGACCTATGGAGTGGATTACTACAATCACTAGAATAGTGGGATCACTTGCTAGTTCAGAAATTCTAGTTTGGAAAATGAAAATATATGTAGATTTGCAGTTATGCTCTAACCTCATTGCTAAAATAGATTGAAGGAAGAGATCAACTATTACTGTCAAAATAAAGTATCAGTTACCGCAGACTGAAGAGCAGTAAAAGGTTACTTTTAGTTAACTTTGGTAACTGTTGCAGCCCAATCCTGGGGTTATTTACCTGAAAGCAAACTGTTGATAGAAATGGTATTTCCCCCCCCCCCCCCAGTCAATACCATTAGAATTGGAGAAATTAATGTCATGACACAAGAGTGCAGTTTTTCGATATGGCGTAAGGACTAAACTATTATCTTTCATATACAATCATGTAGCACAATCAAACTTGTGAGGTAGTTCTTCAGCCTTTTAGAAATGGCTATATGAAATGCTTTTTGAGCCTTTTCAAAGCTTTTTGACCACTATAGAATACCTTAAGATTTTTTTTTTTAAAAAAGAGGTGCTTTTTTTCTAATAGATGGCAAATGGTTCTTGGAACGCTGATCTTTACTGGATCCAGGCCTTGAAGCAGTTTTGCATGCTTACATTCACATTTCAGTTTAGGCAGGAGTGTTGTGCAAGTGGTAGTTTGTGAAGAGTATAAATTCAGCCTGCTCCTAAACACATTTTTGTGGTTCTTAGTTTTATTTATATATTCTATTTGATGATAAGAAGTATATGAAAAATGCATGTCCCATTTCCCAATCCTGATTCTGATTCCTATTTTAAAAAGCAGCATGTTTTAAAATACTAAGACTTAGAAGCAAGTATGTAAAATAGAAGTTCATCTTCAGCTCGAAGTAAAATATTTCTTCGGCCCTTTCTAGCATGCAGATTCTTAACTACTTTCTTCATACAACTTTGTGTCCTGCCCGCATTGGCTCATTCTTAGCTTTCTTGATATGGCTCTTACAAGTCTGGGCTACGTGTCCCTGGTGACCTGTCCTTCCTTCCCCCTTTTTTTGAAGGTTGCTTCTATTTTCAGCTTATTACTCAGCTTTTTGTGCAGCTACATTGTCTTTATTATTTTTTTAAGACATCTGCCATTTTTCTTTCTCATCTGGAATCGTTAGTGATTGTGTCCTTAGTAACTCCTTTTTTAAAAAAACAACAACCCAACTTGTGCCTGTCTGGGGCTCTTTCCCCCAGTACTATATCTAGCTATGGAATCCCACCTAGTATTTCTCTGATACCATGAAAAACATCTTTCCTGAAATGAAAGGTTCAAGTTTTGCTACACTTTCTTCCACCTTTCCATATGTAATGTCATCATTACGTACAGTAGTTACTTTCCCCCCTGAAGTTCTCACCACTTCCCTGCTGGTTAAGATCTAGTCAAGAATAGCCAACCCCTCGCTGCTTCCTCCACATTGTGAAAGAGATGGTTTTCAGCAAGGCATGTCAGAAATTTGTTACATGATCTTTGCTTAGCAGAGTTTGTATTCCCCCAGATACCAGGGCATTTGAAGCGTTATTGCTTCTTTGAAACATCTGTAATTTGTTTCAGGACATGTTTCCCCAATCTTCCTTGGTATTGCAGTCTGTAGTATACTCCAACCATGATGTTTTGCTTCTCTTATTTTTACCCAGGGCTTCCCACAGGGACTATCATGATCACTATCTGGGATTACTTTCTAGGTGTGCACATTTGATAGGTAATGCTATTCACCCTCCTTCACTCAGTATGAACTTCTGTAGATTTCAAGTAGGCTTACAAATAAGTAAGTACAGGCAACATGGTAGTTAATAATTTATGCTAAACCATGGTTTTGCACAACACACACAAGCAGGTTCAGTGAGCCTTGTTTTTGCAAGCACTCCCTTTGCCCTCTTCACACATGGTCAGGAGGAAGAGTTTAGAAGCTTTTGCTTCCATTTTCGGTTAATGGGTTTGTTGCATCACTGAATTGGCAACCTGTAGCTAATGTTACTTATGCCAACTTTCAAACCATGGGTTACTAAGCTAGCTTGCATTAAACTATTCGTAGTTCATGTCAAACACAATTCTGGGTCTAGATGGCACAGCAAACCGCAGCTAACTAAAAGTGGAAGAAAAAGCATCTGAGCTCCTCTGCCATGCAGGGAGCATATGAGCCAAGGCTTGCTGTGCCTGTGCATGTTGTGCTCAATATTAACATGATAGTGAATGTCTTCAGGCATGGATAAAAGCTTGTGTTAGTGAACTTGTGGTGCTTGCAATACTCGGAGAAATTATTGTGAGTATAACTGAGATAGCTGTGCATGTTTCAGGTTGAGACCTTTCATCTTGATCCAGATGGGAGATAATGTGCAGAAATAGGTTCTGCATGCATGTAAGATTTGCCAACAGCAAAATAGGAAATGGGAGCAAGTGGGACAGAATACAGCATTCACTGGTGTATGTGCATATCATGGCTCTTTGGAATAGAGTCGCAGATCCACACTTCAATGTTTCTTGAAGTTTTGGTGTCCTTATTCAGCCATGGGGGCTCCTGGATTTGATCCATCCACCTACTCACCACTTGCTAAATAACTCTGAACTTTGAGAAGCAAGCACAGCAGTGTGCTTCAAATGGCATAATATGCAATAGTTTCTATACATTTGAATTTATCGTCAGCTAAATAAATCAGTTAATTTATTCAGAAGAGTTGACTATGTCTCTTGCTTAGAGGCATGAATCTTTTAAAAAGAATAATACAGAGCAATATCTGAAACTACCCATCATTGCAAACAAGATTTTTGGCAAAGGTTTAAATTATTAGATATGATTAATTTATGCGTGTGACTGTGACTATCTTAACTCCTGTATGAAAACCTAATAAACCATGTGCATTGTTTAACTAGCTTTGGTTACTTTTTTATTTAAAAAAACCTAGACACTTAGAACGTCTTACAAGTTCCAGTTTCTCAGTCCTGTTTAAAGTGTATAGATAATCATATTAACCCACATAGGAAAAAAATATTCTACAGGTAAAGTTTAAAGAACACTTGCCAAATACAGATGTGAACTATTAACAGCAATGCAACCTCCATTTCAGGCAATGAGTTGGCCTCAAAAGTATTGCTCCTCTTTAATGTCACTCTGCCTATAATTTAGTGTGGCAAAAGAGACATTGTTCACGTGTCATGTTAAACCATAGCTTAAACAGTGGTTAAGACAAACAGGCAGCATGCAGTAAATTCTCAACTTTGCTCCTTCCCCACTTGTGGCCATGACAGGACCAATGAGCGGAACTCAACAAAATATTTGCACTAACTCAAGGATTAGTGCTTGTGCAAGAAACAGGATTCCCCCCCCCTCTCTCCTCACATGCATCCTGTGCCATCCCCCTATCTGCTCCTGGAAAGTTGGGAGAACCCCCCCCCCCCAAAAAAATAGATACAGGGAGTGTACAAAGGGAGTAGAGGGGGAGAATGTTCCATTAGGGACCCCTGACCATTAGGTCCAGTTGTGGCCGACTCTGGGGTTGCGGCGCTCATCTTGCTTTATTGGCCGAGGGAGCCGGCGTACAGCTTCCGGGTCATGTGGCCAGCAAGACTAAGCCGCTTCTGGTGAACCAGAGCAGCGCACGGAAACACCGTTTACGTTCCCGTCGAAGCAGTACCTATTTATCTACTTGTACTTTGATGTGCTTTCGAACTGCTAGGTTGGCAGGAGTAGGGACCGAGCAACGGGAGCTCACTTCGTTGCGGGGATTCGAACTGCCAATCTTATGATCTGCAAGTCCTAGGCTCTGTGGTTTTACCCACCGCGCCACCCATACATTGATGGAATGTTCACTTTAGCACTATGTTGAAGGCAATTAATATAAAAAAAACTGCTCAAAACAAATAGTAGTCACAATAGCAGAGTGGGTCCTAAAATATAGTTCTCAAGTATCAAAGGCAAAGTCTACCTCATCCATCCCAAAATTGCCTCCAGACACCAATTAAGGAGTTCCACAACCTCCCTTCAGTCCAGATCTCCAATTGACTTCTCCAAGGAATCTTCTAAGTGTCCTTATGTCCTGAAGAATCAACCAAGATTTTACACAGTATCCATTTTAAGTATAATGGCAACTTTGATTTTTCTTCTTAATCTGGTCTCTTTGCAGTGCAATCCTATGAATACTTACTCTGAAGTCCCACCATGTTGGATGTTTATTCCCTGCCAGTATGTGTGCTGAGGACTGCAGGCTAGAATTGTGTATGAAAGCTGATTTCACACAATACTGCCCATATTAATGGTACATGCCTCAAGGCTGCAGGAGGGTTGGCTATAGGGCCCACCAGATGCATTTATTTACTTGATGTGTGACTTAATCCTGGAATCCAGATGTACTTGGAAGTGAGGGGAAACCCAACTAAAATACTTTCATTTACGTTTGCCAGTCCAACGACTGGAATTTCCATGGCTTTGATAAAAATATTATGTATACCTGGGACAGGGGTCTCTTCTTTCCTGGGTTATGCTGTAAAACTCCCTATAGACTGATGGTTTTATAGAAATAACACCAGCAATAGTCCAAAGGAATTTCACTGTACAGTACTGTATCATCTCAATCCAGACTACAGTGGTACCTCTACTTACATTCACCTCCAGTTACGTCTCCTTCGGGATACGTATGCGGGTTTCGCTGCACACGCATGCACAGAAGCGCTCTACCATGCCGCACACATGCACAGAAGTGGTTCCTCTGGTTGTGGAAACCTCAGGATCCGACCGGAGCTCCGGAACGGATCCCATCCACAAACGGAGGTACCACTGTATTATAATGTGCTATGTGGGCATCAGATCATTGCCACAGGGTGTCACTAGAGATAATGAAATAATTTGCCAAGGCTGAAAGCTGCTCAAGAGTATCTGATGTAAAACCAGAAGAACCCAACAAATCCTGATTGAAGTATCATCTATAATATATATTTGTTTGGGATTAAGTCCCACAGAAGGATTTATTTCTGAATAAACATACAAAGGACTGTGCTGCAATCTGTGTACACACCATACATTATAAGCATGTTTCTCTCAAAGAATCCTGGGAACTTAGAATGTCGAGAGTGCCATAAATTTAGCTGTGTGAGGAGTAAACTAAAGTTTGCAGTAAATGCATGGTGTGTATGTAGCCTTAATAGCTAGGTAAATAATCTAAAACTGTTCAATAATATTGCAAATTCACATTTAATAAATAGATGGTTGAACTGCTTATAATTCCTACCCACACTTGCATGGGTTGGTATACATCTTCAGAGAAATCAGGAGTTATAGCCTTGTTTCCCACATAGAGTTAATATTTCCACTATGGTGCTACAAAGTGAACGTTAGTTTGGAAATGTTTCCTGGTCCAGTGTCTTTTCAGGATTTATACAAATTTACTTAATTGCAGCAAAGAAAGCATAGTGCTTAAATACTTGCAATTTTTTTTGTGTGTGGCATTGTTGTCTGGGCAGCCCAGGACCTCTGGGGAGTTCCCTTTGGTGCTGATGACACAGCAGTTTGCATTCACCCCTGGAGGTGCACTCCATTGTCTCTCAAGACAGATAGTAGCTCTGTGAGAGATAAACTACAGTTCCCAGGATTCTTTGGGTGAAGCCAACTGCTTTAAATTCATTTAAAATGTATGGTGTGGATGGCCTGACTAGCAAACAATGTTTTTGCCTGGTGCCTGAAGATATGTAACAATGGAGCCAGGTGAGTATCCCGAGGGAGAGCAACAAATGGGGAGCCACCACTGAAAAGGCTCGTTCTCATATTGCTTTTTAAAAAACCTCTTTACATTGGCTTCCTCTCTGCATTGCATTGATTTTAAAACCTAACTTTGAAATGTTTGCATTCTGTTGCTCCAGATTATTAGTTTTCCCTTTACATTCTTTCTAGACCCCTGAGTGCTTCTTGTTCTTACATTTCCATTTTCTTTATTTGGTAATACTTTTTTCTTTGTAAGTCACCACCTGCAGCTATTTCTGCCATCCAGTCCTTCCTACTCTTTAAGGGCCTTGACATATTTATTTTCACATATCTTTTCCAAATGAAGTATTTTAATTCAGTCTCTCTTACTCCATTGTGTTCCCTTACAAAGGAAGAAATGGAGAGGTTAAAGAGGTATGTTTATTTAGACTGCAGGCAGGATGTTGTTTTTCTTATAAATTCTATGTTATTATATTGCATTATATTAATCATCATACATAGTTCTCCCTCCTAGGGGTAGACAAATCTTGTCAGTTTTGGTTCCTCTCAGTTTCTCATTCTTAAGTTCAGTTCTCCACATTTCCACATCAGCTGGCAATTTTCAAAAAAACTATTCCTCATGAAAATGTATCTGCATTTTAGTGTGGGTTTCTTCTAATGTACACAGTTTTGGAAAACAGTTTTCCATAATTTAATGGATTTATCTGTGCTATATTCACTAATTTATGCATCACATTTATTTTTGTACACACTGCTTGGCTAGAGAACTGCATTGCAAAATTCAGAGAGGTGTGAATTTCAAAGGATTTTTGCATTTTCGTTTGCATATTTGTTTCAGAAAACATAGATTTGGCAGGTTTGTCTTTAAATGCAACCTGAAATTAATTTCTTCCCCATCCCTTCTCCTTCCTCTCATTTTTATCTGATGTATACACATTTTTTTTAACATATTACTTGACTAGAAAACTACACTGCAAAATTCAGAGAGGTGTGAATATTGAAGGATACTTGTGTTTTGGTTTGCATATTATTTTGCGAAGTGTGACTTAGGTGTGACCTTTAAATGAAAGCTGAATCAAAAATTTTCTTCATCCCTAGACAAACATTAGATCCATTATCCTTCTGTGCTGTGTTTCTCCAGATTCTAAGACTGAAGGCAGGTTCTGTCTTGTTTGTATTGATCTATTAGTTGCTGTGGAAGCCTCTTTTGGCTGAAAAACAGAATAAAAATATATATTTAGATAATTAAATAATCAATATTAAAATTCATGTAAAGAAAATACAGATTAGATAAAATTAAGCAGGAGGGAGCAGAAATTGAAAACATTCCATTCTTACTGGTTCAGGCTACTATAGAACTCCAATATTCTTGGCAGCAATTTTGCTGGGGTGCAGTTTGATTTATAGAGCCACTTAGATTGCTTCTAACTGCCAAATTGATTTAAGAACCTCACTCAGTGTCCAGTCAGGCCTTTCACCCACAAACTGAACCAATCACAGACCAGATCAAAAGCCACCAGTCATATGGGAGTTCTATCATTTTCCAAGTCTCTTTTATTTCCTCAAGCTTAACATGATTCAATCAATCTGTGTTTTCTTTTTTCTTAAATATTTTTTCTTCTTATTTCAGTAATCTTCATAACTTTTAAATATATTGTTTCTATACTGCTTCCATCTATTTTACGTTTCCCCAATAGACTCCATTCTTCTCATCTGTTGTTAATACAGTGGTACCTCAGGTTAAGTACTTAATTCGTTCCAGAGGTCCGTTCTTAACCTGAAACTGTTCTTAACCTGAAGCACCACTTTAGCTAATGGGGCCTCCTGCTGCCGCCCTGCTGCCGGAGCACGATTTCTGTTCTCATCCTGAAGCAAAGTTCTTAACCTGAAGCACTATTTCTGTGTTAGCAGAATCTGTAACCTGAAGCGTATGTAACCTGAAGCGTATGTAACCTGAGGTACCACTGTATTTAGTCACAATCATCCAAGTTGTTTCACGCCTAACAGTCAGTTTGAACCTCGGCCTCCCAAGTCCCAGCCCATCACTGTAACCATTACACCAACCTAACTAAAACCTTTTATTCCTGGGACGTCTTCATCTAATAAAAGAGGTATTCTTAGTTTCATCTGACAAATGCTAGCGTGGTATTCTATGTACTGATCCATGTCACTGTTTGTCAGGTGGGGGGGGGGAAATCTATGAGTCTGACAAGAACTGTTTCAGGCTTTTTAGGGCTTACAACACAGACAAGCTAAAACAGTAGGATCCCATGGAAGTGGGGAGCAGACATCTATGAATCGGCATAGACCTCCTGGGCACACAGCTTCTCCTCAGAGGCCTCACTCTTTTTCTGCCATGAGGTAAGTCCCACTGAACACAGTCTGAATTGCTTCCAAGGAAACATACTTAGCACTCAATTGTTAAGTTCCTAATGGCCTGTCATTTATACCAAAGTTAAATACCTTAATGTAGCATATTTGTATCACAAACGAGTACCGCTACTTAATTCCTTACCCAATAAAGTGGTTCCCTGGTTATGAGGAAAAATATAATGAAATCTACTGCTGCCTCCATTTACTACATTTAGGCATCAAAATACCTAGAGTGGTACCTCAGGTTAAGTACTTAATTTGTTCCGGAGGTCCGTTCTTAACCTGAAACTGTTCTTAATCTGAGGTACCACTTTAGCTAATGGGGCCTCCTGCTGCCGCTGTGCCGCCGGAGCCCGATTTCTGTTCTCATCCTGAAGCAAAGTTTTTAACCTGAAGCACTATTTCTGGGTTAGCGGAGTCTGTAGCCTGAAGCGTATGTAACCTGAAGCGTATGTAACCTGAGGTACCACTGTATTGTTTGTTTTCAGGATCTGTACATGTGATCTGTTGTTAAAAGCATGGCCTGCATATTTTCTTGTTTCCAGGTTTTGAAGATGGCACCAGGATACTGCCATTATTCTTGAAGTTATCAGGGTTTTAAAATATAGATATATTTGTGTCAGAACAGAATTTATTAACAATTTCTCCCATCCCTGCACTGCCAATCTGGAGGCCCACCATTTCCCCATTCCTGCTGTGCGTGTTTTGTTTTGGTTTTTTTAAATTTGCCCAGAGGGCAAATTTATAGGTTCCTGTTTTGAAGAACCACTTTTTCTGGCAGCTTCCTCAAAGCCACAGCACATTATTTTCTGATGTGAAGCAGCCTTTGAAATAGAAGCTTGCAGAATATATGTAACCTATAAAGGGATTCCCCGGTACAGTGGTACCTCAGGTTAAGTACTTAATTCGTTCCAAAGGTCCGTACTTAACCTGAAACTGTTCTTAACCTGAAGCACCACTTTAGCTAATGGGGCCTCCTGCTGCCATGTCACCGGAGCACGATTTCTGTTCTCATCCTGAAGCAAAGTTCTTAACCCGAGGTAACATTTCTGAGTTAGCGGAGTCTGTAACCTGAAGCATATGTAACCTGAAGCATATGTAACCCGAGGTACCACTGTAATTATGTTAGTATTTACGTGAACTAAGACAGAGGAAGACACATGAATGGTGCTAGAATGAGGTCAAAATTATTGTTATGATAAGTATTAGACACTTGACGAATGATAAAAAATTATCTGTTAAGATTTTAGAGGCCTGAGAGAAGTGCCAGGACATGCTGACATTACCAATAAAGGACACTGACGTTCATTGTGGTGGGTTTGTAAGCTTCCAAAATAAGCTTTACTGCAAGGTGAATGGGCCAGGTGGTAGGACCTCTCAGCTCCAGATGGTCTTGGATGATGAATTATTTGGATCTGTTCCAATCCAGCTTTTGGCACAGGAACAGCCTGAGTCCCCAATGGAGGATTTATGCCAGAGAATTGATTGAAGAAGTGCCGTGTTCTTAGTTCTCCTGGACCTTTCATTGGCCATGTTGTCCTTCTGGACTGCTTATCTGGGTTGTTTTTACAAGACCTGGTCCTGTCGTGGTTCCTTATGTTCTAGAAAAGCCTTTCTAAAGGTGATACTGGGGGACTGGGATTGTTTCACTTCATGGCTATTGCTGTCTGGTGTATCCCAGGGTTCAATACTGTCCCTTATGCTCTTTAACAGCTACATGAAACCACTGGCAGAAGTTGGAGGTTTGGGCTGCAGTGTCATCGGTATGCTGGTACCACACAGCTTTACTTCTTACCTTCAGATCCAGGAGAGGTTGTTTTTGAACTGTGAGTTGCATGTTTTGTTGTTTGTTTTGAATGTGTATTTCTAACTTACGGATTTTGCATTCCCTCTCGCTTCATCACACATGATCAGAGGGCATGACACAGTAATGTAAAACCCAATAAAGAATAAGAACTATAACATTATTTGAAATATAGCCATCTCCATCTATTTAGTATATCACTCAGTACATAGCCAAGCATCTATCGGGCCTGGCAGGAAAAGTGTCTTCAGCTGGCACCCTAAATGAACCAAAGCTGGTTAATTCCCTAATTTCCCTTTATTTAGGAACACAGGAAGATGTCTTATGCTGAGTCAGGCCCATTGGTCTTTCTAGCTCAGTACTATTTAGCAATACTGACCAGCAGCACCTCTCCCAGATTTCAGGCAGGATATTTTCCAGCTGTACCTAGAGATACTCCACCACTGAGCTATGACTCCAAACACCTCTATTAAATTCAGCTAACTTGATAAATTGAAAGTGGAATATATGTGTCAATGTGTATATGTAAAAGGGAATTCTGGCAACAGGTGGACTGGAATTAACTTTGGTATTTGTCCAGCAATATCCCCCCACCTTTAAAGGCTGCAATGCTGGTTGCCATAACTTTTCTTTTCTCTGGTGTGTGAGACAAAGTTTTGCTTTTGGTATGCGTTTTGAACAAAGATTAAAAGGTGGAAGTTACAAGTGACATCTGAAAAAGAAGAAGCGAAGACAGAGGCAATGAGCTTAATGAGTCATTAATGTCTGAATTCCAGTTCATCTTTGCCAGAAATCATACACGATGTCATTGAATCATCTCAGAAAAGGAGTGGGCTACAAAACAAACAAAAAACCATCAGCCAGGAAGTTCTGCTGACTTGGGAGATGTATCTGCTTTATTCTATGACTGACACCAGTCTTTTGAAAGACACGTTTTAAGTTTTGTAGGCGAGGAAGACTAATTTAATAATTAAGTTGGCTAGATAATTTCTCTAATTCTTTTAAGCCATATTGAGACACGTTTGTTTGTTTCACTTTTTTCCACAGGCTTTCAATAAATATTTTCAGGGCAGGTTATTATTGTTATTTATGAATTTATGTATTAATAAGTAACCATGAAAAGGAATATGACAGCAATGAAGTGGTAAAAATAATAATGCCCTCAATAATCAATAAAAGAGGATTAAAGACTCAATAAATGTTAAAAAGCCATGGAAAATAGATGGCTCTTTGCCAGGAATCAAAATGACGAGAAAGTAGATACTAGGCAAGCCTCCCTGGGTATTGCATTCCATAGGCAGGATACCACCACCAAAAGAAACACAAGGCATGGGCCTGGAACCAAATAATAATAATAATAATAATAATAATAATAATAATAATAATTTATTTATACCCCGACCATCTGGCTGGGCTTCCCCAGCCACTCTGGGCGACTTCCAAAAAAATATTAAAATACTGTAATACATCAAACATTAAAAGCTTCCCTAAACAGGACCATGCAGCTAATTCTACACCCAAGAGAAGGATTTGGACCTGTGATTTTTTCAACAACAGCACCTACTATACAGGAAATGACTTTTCGAAAAAGGAGGAGTTTCACAGTGGTTGGCTGCTTAAAAAAAACAATCCCCCTGGTTATTTCCCCAACCTCATTATAAATAAAAATTCAGAAGAAAGAAAAGAAAATGATACATGTGGCATGGCACTGTATGCCCTGACTTCTCAAATCCTCGCTGAGATAAGCAGCCACTGCCTCTTAGGCTGTTACTGTTTGTTTCACAATGACAGCTAGAAACTTGGCTCTTTTTTTTTAGCAACAAAACAAGCCAAATCTCCCGGATCTGCCAGAGGCCGCCGGTTCCACACGCACGCACGCACACACACACACGGCGTGCAACGCTCAAGGTCGGATCCAGCATCTCTCCGTCCCCCTGGGTCTCTTCGCACAAGGCTCTGGAAGATGCTCGGGCGCCATTCCGTCCCCAGGATACAGCATCCGACCACAGAAAAAGGAGGCGAAGACGAGGAGGAGGGGAGGGGAAGCAGTGGCTGCTTGTAAGCCCTGGCTTCCCTTACCGAGGAACCGAAACCTCTATTTCCGCCTCCCCCCTCCCCCACCAGCCACTTTCCACCCGCTCGCCGTGGGCTGATGTCGCTGTTGCTGGAGGGAAGTGAAAATGAAATCGACTTTTCTGAGAACTGATGAAAGCAGCGGAGCCTGCCAATGAACGGCTGCGGCAAACTTCCGCACCCCTTTCTCTCCTTCCAGCCCCCACCTCCCCTTCTCTCGCTCTCTGCACAAACAGGCCTGGAAGAGGAGCAGGAGGAGGAGGAAGGGAGGGGGGGATTTCCAAGACTCAGCTCCTCGCGGCTTCCTCCCCTTGTTTTGCTTTCGATCTGGGCTGATCTCCGCCAAAAGCAGAGGAGGAGGGAATAACTTTTAGTTTTGCTCCCGCGATTTATGCAGCCGCCTGTTTTCCTTTCCATTTTGCGTCTCTTGGCAACCGCGATAACCTTGAAGGGAACTGCCATAAATAACGCGAAACAAACTTATTGGTAAGGCATTTTTTTCTAAACAAAAACCAAAACCCAAATATTAATCCTTTGCAGATTAGGCGTTTCTCTCCCCGCCCTCCACATGATTGAGACGCTTGCTTGCAGAAATGTTGCTATTGATCTCGATTGAAAACAAAAATAAAAGGCCAGCGCCGTTGCGGGTCATATGATTTTAGGTGCAGCTACTGGTAAGAGAATGCAGGGCTTTTAATTTCACTTTTGGATTTGCAGAGGCTGGGAAGGGATCGGCTGGAAGGACGCGTTTCTCTCGCTGGTTGTGGGGCTCTGAAACAGGCGGTTTGCTTAGGGGGTTGCCGGATGGCGAGAAATAGCAGCGGCAGAAACAAAGGCGAGGAGCGATTGCGACGGGGCGGAAGGGAGAAAATAATCTGGATTTAGGAGCACAGAATCTGAACCGAGCCCAGGAGCACCTTGCTTGGGGGACGCGGAGGAAGCAACTTTTATTTTCACTCCCGCGGAGGTTGACGAGAGAAGCTAATGGAGCTGCTGAGCTGGTGGACACTTGTTGTTTTCGATCCCGGAATACGTTGGCCATGCGGATATTATTTCTGGCAGCTGACCAGCCTCTTCGCGGGCGTGGAAGCTAGGTGAGCGAGCGAGGGCCCCCAACCCTGCAATACACGAAGGGGAGCGGTGCATAAAACCGGGGGCCGGGCGGGGGAAGGATTTCTCTTCCCACCTCGGGGACTTTGAACCCAGCCATGGCGGGGCAAGGCCCGTTCTGGTAGAAATCGCTTTGCCGAGAGAGGAGAGCCGGGCGGTTCCCGGGGCCCTGCGGCTGCCGCTTCCTATATGCTTTTCCTTTCCCTCTCGGTGCTGTGAAATGAGGTCGGGGAGGGGGGAATTGGGCTGGGTGGTTTCGTAACGTGTGCTTGGTACCGAAGGGCGCCGTGTGCTCTTTTTTTGCCTTTCCCCGCAGAGGCCTTGCGGCTGCCATCTCCACTCTCCCCTGCCCCTCCCCGAGAGGCTGTATGTAAGAGGAAGAACCAGGCAGGGAGGCGGCCTTGGGATGGTGCCGGAGAGAAAGGAAGGAAATGGCCACTTCCCGCCCTTAACTAGCAACTGGCGCTTGGGGGGGGGAGACACACCTGGAGGTGCCACTCTGCCAGCGGCGGCGGGGGGGCAGCCCCCGCCTCCCCCAAATACAAGCGTGACCCCCCCCCCCGCGAAGTAGGTTGTTGGTTACACAAGCCTGGCTCGGCCACTTCCTTTTCTCCTCCGCCTCAGCGGCCGGGTCAAGCCGTGACGTGTCTGCTCCGCTTGGCCAATGGGGAGCCGGCTTCGAGGCAATAGAAGGCGGCACTGGATACTTCTGCGGCTCGAGGCGTGGGAGGAGAAAGGCGAGACTAGGTGCATTTTGTTCCAGGAAGCTAGGCTTATCTGGTGCAAGGGCTGCCAGATATACCCCCTTTCGCGCGCTAGCCTTACCCGTTTTTGCTTGAAGTCAGGCCGAATAGGTTGGAACCCGACGTTTTTTGTTTTTTGTTTTTTGCCAAGGGATGGTTAATATTCTAGGGCAGGGTTTGGGGAATCTGTGGGCCTCTAGGTGCTGCTAAACGGCAACTGCCATCAACCCCCCAGCCAGCATGGCCAGTGGTCAGGGATGATGGGAGTTGGAGTTCAGGAATATCTGACGACACAAGGTTGAGAAAGGCTGTTCTAGAGTGTCACAGCTGCCTATGATGGCTGCCTTTGTTGGTCATTGTGTTTAGGTAAATGCACTTGGGGACGCGGGTGGCACTGTGGGTTAAACCATAGAGTGTAGGGCTTGCCAATTAGAAGGTCGGCGGTTCGAATCCCCGCGACGGGGTGAGCTCCGTTGCTCAGTCCCTGCTCCTGCCCTCCTAGCAGTTCGAAAGCATGTCAAAGTGCAAGCAGATAAGTAGGTACCGCTCCTGCGGGAAGGTAAACGGCGTTTCCATGCGCTGCTCTGGTTCGCCAGAAGCAGCTTAGTCATGCTGGCCACATGACCCGGAAGCTGTACGCCGGCTCCCTTGGCCAATAAAGCAAGATTAGCTCCGCAACCCCAGAGTCGGCCATGACTGGACCTAATGGTCAGGGGTCCCTTTACCTTTACCTTTTAGGAAAGTGTACCTTAGAACAGAAGCTCTAGTTAGCAAATTCATGGTGCCACATGCTCGATTTTACTCTGGTTTAATTAATCTAAAATCATTACCACCCCAGTTTATGCTTTGCCACTTTTAAAGGATTTGTTCTAACAACCTTAGATTGTGGCATGGCAGCCCCTTTGCTCACTGGGATTTAGCCGTTAATTTTCATGTGCAGAGGCAGCAGGCATACACAGTGCAGAGCAGGTCTTTTGTGAAAACCCAGTGTGCACAGAGTTCTGTGCATGTCTTGTATGTGACTGTCTCTAAGGAGACAGCTAGAAGTCAGCAGTGGTTTCCACACTTCAGGAAGCCATTAGAATTTTACATGAATTAAAATTTGATAGTCTGTAAACCTGCATTTCCACTTTTCACTGAATCATGACACTGAATACAAAAGAGCCATTGAAGTGAGGGGCATAAAAGTATATTGGCTATGAATGTTGCAATGTTGTATGCCTGTGATATCAAAATGTACGTTGTCTGCAAAAATTGCTCAGCATGAAGACTAGGCTATGTGAGAAGTAAGGAGAGGGGGCTTCTCAGTAGTGGCACCCATCCACCTTTGGAATGCCCTCCCATCAGATGTCAAGTAGATGAGTAACTATATAACCTTCTGAAGACACCTGAAGGCAGCCCTGTATAGGGAAGCTTTTTAAGGCTTAATGTTTTATTATGTTTTTATATATGCTGGAAACCACCCAAAGTGGTTGGGGCAATGCAGTCAAATGGGCGGGGTAGAAATAATAAATTATTATTATTGTAAGGAACACAACAACTCAATTCCAGTGAGAGTCACTCATTGAAATCAATGAAACAAGTTTTTAAACAGCAAACTTAAGCCCCATTAATTTCAAATGGACTTAAGTGCAACTGACTTTTACTGAGTGTAAGGAAGTCCTGGTCTAAAGGTTATTTGGAACATGGGGATTTTTGGTGTTCTAAGTCTTTGTTTTGGTCCAAGTTTGATTTTCCCTATCCCTAAATTGTAGCAAATTCCCTTCAAAAGAGTGGCATACTTTGCATTGGGCTGTCTAGAAATCCTAATTTGAGGAAATAATACCATTTTTGAAAATCTCAGTCTGGTTCTCTTGGATCCCAGTGATCGCATAGGAAAAGGGCCTATCATTAACTTTTAAGATTCAGATATTCATACCAGCTCAGTTAGTATGCAAATATAAACATAGCCAAAGTCTTGGGACAAGTACTTTTTAACTTGTTCACAAATTAACTAGAGGTAGGGTGAGTAGTGAGGTAGCCAAGTTTGCTAAAGACTTCAAATTATTCAGGGGATTAAAAGACAAAAAGCAATTGTGAGGAACCCAGAAAGGATCTCACCAAACTGGGGAATGGGTATTAAAATGGCAAATGCAGTTTAGTATGAAGTGATAATTTACTGGAGTAAAAAAAAACTGCACATATACACTGATTGAATGTGAACAAGCAGTGATGCATAGGTTGGTGAAAATGTTGATGCCGTGTGTTGCAGCTTTGGAGGAGAAGGCAAATTCCTTTTTTGGAAATTGTTTGAAAATAGAACTGTCAATATTATAGTGCCTATTTACAGACTTTTGGTGTGACCAAACTTAGCATACTGTCCGCAGTTCTGATCTCACCTCACAATATTGAGCCAGAAAAGGGCAGTCAAAAACAATCAAGGGGCTGGAGCAACTCCTAAGAACATCTAGGCTAGCATCCTGTTCTCACTATGGCCAACAAGTTGACTATGGGAACCCCGCAAGCAGAACCTGAGCTCAAGAGCACTCTCCCCTCCTGTATTTTCCAGCAAATGGTACAGTCATACCTCGGGATGAATATGCTTCAGCTTAAATATTTCCGGGTTGCGCTCTGCGGCGACCTGGAAGTAACGGAACACATTACTTCCAGGTTTTGCCGCTCGCACATGCACAGACGCTCAAAATGACGTCATGCGCATGCACGGAAGTGGCGAAACCAGATGTGCAGTTGCATCTTGCATTCGCTTCAGGATGCGAATGGGGCATCCAGAGGTGCCACTGTATTCAGAAGCATACTGCCTCCAACCATGGAAGCAGAGCAGAACTCCCCTCTTAAGGAAAGCTTACAATGCTTGGTTCTTTCTGGTTTTGAAAAAAAGATGAGTAACAGGGGACATGATAGAGGTTTATAAAATAAAACCAGGTCATCCAGTGATGCTGAATAGTAGGCGATTCAGAGCAAACATTCGCTACTGCAAGATATCATGATGATCACTACCATAGATAGCTTTAAAGCGGGATTGGGCAAGTTCATGGAAGATAAGGCATATTGATAGCTCCCAGTCATGATTACTATACATTACCACCTGTATCAGTCAGGATGCCCCAGGTGCTGTTCAGAACAGTGCAGTAACACTGTTCTGCTGTGGCTTTCTTGTAGGTGTCTGGTTGGCCACTGGGGGAAGAGAATGCTGGACCTGATGGCCTGGTCGGACAGGGCTCTTCCCACATTTTCAAAATAAATGTGGACACTGGGACAAGTTTCAGTTAATTACACTTCCTATATTGTAGCACTGACGCCGGTAATGGCGCAACATTTCTTGGGGCAGAAATTGTGCTTGTACTGAAGAATGGCCATTTTAAAATAACGCCATGGGCTATTTTCAAGAGCATTAGGTTAGGGATGTATTGTGTCTCCCCATCCCATCTCAATTTAATAATAGTCCTGATTAATTTGTTGAAAACTAGACATTGCTCAGCTCTAGCTGCCATCTCGTAAAATATCAGTGTGGTGTACTGTACAATAAAACACAAAACACCATTAAAAACAGTACAGTTGGTAGACAGCTGCCAAAGCCAGCAAAAATGTGTGGACCCCTTATCAGGTGCCACCAGACACTGCTCTGTGGGGAGAAAGAAGCATGTTATTTTAACATGCAATCTCTTTGGCCACCTGGTTAAAAACCCCTTCCTTCCTGGAGATAGATCATATAGTCACATCTCAGGTAATTTGCTACTTTCGGAAGCAGTAGTGGGGAACCTGCAGCCCTCCAGATGTTGTTGGACTCCCAACCAATTCCCATCAGCCTCACCCAGCATGCCCCATTAATGGTCAGGGATGATGGAGAGCAACATCTGGAGAGCCACAGGTTAGTCACCCCTGCTTTTACGGTGAGGGAGAATCAGAAGGATACACCTGCATCTGAAAGTCACACCAAATTGAGAGTTCCCTTTAGGACATAAGGGTGTTGCGTGACACCCTTCGAAAACTTGGATCATTTGTGCCACAAAGTAGTGTGGAGTTGGATATAGATTAAAAACTATGGCTGTTGTTTTCACTTGCGTGTAGAACTATGGTCAGATTTTAGAAACGGCTTTGTGTTCATTGCATGTAGACCAGGGGTCAGCAAACTTTTTCAGCAGGGGGCCAGTCCACTGTCCCTCAGACCTTGTGGGGGGCCAGACTGTGTGGGGGGGGTGAACGAAGTCATATGTCCCACAAATAATCCAGAGATGCATTTTAAATAAAAGGACACATTCTACTCATGTAAAAACACGCTGATTCCCGGACCATCCGCGGGCCGGATTGAGAAGGCGATTGGGCCGGATCCGGCCCCTGGGCCTTAGTTTGTCTACCCCTGGTGTAGACAGAGAAGGGACTTGTTTAATTTAGCAGCATTTACTCTCAAGTAGATGTGCATAAGCTTGCCACCCATAGAGGGTCTTGATTCTAGTCACAATGGGTTTACCCAGAAGAGCAGGGACTCTCAAAAGTCTCCAGCTGCAGAAGCCTCATTCCATCCAGAAATACTTCTCTTGTTGGGGCATATTGTGCATTATTAGCCTGCTGGGCTGCAGTTTTAGAAACTATTGCAGCTTCCAAACTGCATTGATGCCTGCTCTGCTTTACTGGCACAAGTGCTTTTCGGAGCACAGCCTGAGTTTGTTACTTCATAAGCATGAGTCATTCTTCCAGTGTTAAACAAGAACAAAATGTGCTCTCAACATGATGTTCTTTACAGTAAGGTACTCTTAGCATCAATGATTTGTTAAAACACTGCCTACTGCTGTAATGCTGAATGCTGCTTATGAGTTTTGTTTTCTGTTTAAGGGCACTTTTGCCATGCTGCTTATGAATGGGGAGGAGGTACAGGGCTGCCAATACAATTCTGAATGTGTGATCTCTGTGCAAAGGGGAAACTAATAGGCTGGGCGGCTGAAAAGATACTTGTGGCGTGTCCAGGGTTTTGTACATGGCCAGTGGGTTTAGAAAAACAAACTTGTGTTTTTGTATCAACGTTAGATTTCCATGCCATGTCACAAACTACTTTGGAAAGTCCCCCCCCTCCGAGTAGCCATATGAAATGTGCCACTTATGTAAAAGAAGTCTGCAAGTTCAAAGCCTGTCCCCAGCCAGACTACAGAATACTATTTGTACAATTATTTGCATACTGACCTTTTTCTTTGCAAAGATATCTCAGATTATGAAGTAAAAAAAAAAAAAGATACAGAGATAGATGCTCAAACGGTGGTCTGTGAACTCTGTTCTGTGGTCTGCGAAAAGGTTGTACAGTCAAGAATATCTGTTCTTGGCTGTGCCTGTGTTTTATTTTTTATGATCATGGAGGCCTTTTGAACCAGGGCTGGATTATCAAATAGGCTAACAAGATTCTGGCCTAGGAGCTGTGATTTTCATAGATAGATAGACAGATATATCTTTATTGTCATTGTCCCATGCAGGACAATGAAATTGCAATAGTAAGATATATAGTATATATATATATATATATATATATATATATATATATATATATATGATATATAAAATAGTAAGATGCTGGTGCAGTCTACTAATTTCCCTCTAAGTATTTTCTGAAATAGTGGTCTAGACTAGGGTCCCATCTGCACTATACATTTAAAGCTGTATGATACCACTTTAAACAGTCATGGCTTCCACCCCAAAAAATCTTTATTAAGAGTGCTGAGAGTTATGACGAGACCCCTATTCCCCTCAAGGAAGTAAACCCATGTGGTTTAGCAGTCAGTCTCTCTTCCCAGGGAACTCTGAGAATTGTAGCTCTGTGACAGGAATAGGGGGTTCCTAACAACTCTCAGCAACCTTAACAAATTGCAGTTCTTTGGGGAAAGCCATGACTGTTAAAAGTGGTATGATGTCATCTTAAACATATAGTGCAGATGAGGAAACTCCTGCAGCTAAGCTGGTGTCTAATGTATTGCTCTGAGGCCGAGAGGAGGTCTTCTTGTCTGGGTAGCCCAGGACCTCCATACACACTGCCCAGGCTTGCGCCCCAGGAATGTCATTTGGGTTCTGCCAGTGCAGCAGTTTGACTTCACCCTCAGAGGCACACTCCATTGTCTCTCGAGGCAGAGAGATGCCGATGACTGCCTTAAACACATAGTACAAATGAGGCCTAGTTGTCAGAGCAGTAGGCAGGATAGTCAGCGACCATAAATAATTGATTGGTGGTTGAAAACAGAATGTTGAAAGAAATCCAAGAAGTTTATTTAATCATGTATGGACCACTTTCTTTATACTGTATAAAATATCCAAAAGTGGTTTATAAAAATAAGCAGCCAAAAATTCTTAAATCAACAAAACGCCAAGGGCTCTAAAACAAAACAATTCCGTACACATATACTGATAATATAAATAAACAGCAATTAAAAAAAATATTAAATGTCCAACCTATAAAACTCTTAAAATAAACAGTACTAAAGATAATGAAGACAGTGACAGCGATGACTCCAGTGACCAAACTTGAAAGTGAGACGACTGAGTGACTTCACAGAGCTTTGCTCACAAAAGCAGACACATCCATAAGAAGCAGACACATCGCATAAGAAAGGTAAGGGTGTGGTTACTAAAATCTAAATTAGGCATGTGCTTTGATTTTTAGAAGGGAAAAAAGTTTCCTAAGTGGTCCACTGAGACCCCAGTAATTTTTCAAGTAATATTTGAAGGTGGAGGCGGCGGCAGGGATTTTGAGAAACACTGTTAGTTTATTCTACTTCCAAATTTATGACATGTCTACACATACATAGGACACACAGCCCCTCCACAAATATTTGTGCATCAAATACGGGAGCAATTGGCATCCTCATCAGAGTGCTGAGCTAGGTAAAGAACTGCCCTGAAATCTACGGGTGAAGGGTGGTATGCAAGTTTAATAAATAAATAATGGGGGGAAATAGAAAAAGACCCTGCACTATGTCTGCTGTACTTTACTTTTTTCTACTGCCAGTTCTAAAATTGGTGGCTTCCTGGTTTGGCAGAAAGAATTGCACGGGGAAGCTTTTCCAGGGCTTGCCACCCCTAGTTAAAAAAATTGTTTTACTCACACGTTTGTATGGTTCTAAGATCACAATGGGGAGCAAGTAGTTCCTTTTGTTTTGTTTTCTCACCCATCGGGTTGGTGTTACGACTCGTGTGTCTCATAAAGTTGAATTGGCATTTTAAAGAAATGAAGATTGCAAGGCATTCTGCCTTCTCAGAATGCTACATTTGTGATTAACAGTACTCAGAAGGGTGGGTAATATGTCTAAGGGCAACAGATCTCAAAGAGTGTGTGGCTACCAGTCACACGTCTACTCAACACCAAGTGACACTGTAGCATAGCTCCTGATTCCCACAGTCAGCCCATGCAGAAATCTCCACTGATGAAACCCAAACATCAAATGTTTGTAACAGTAGAACAAGCTTCATTCATAGTGAAGCTGCTTAGTCATGGGGAAGTCCAGCACACCTTGTCAGGCAAAATCCCCCTTGGCAGGTTGCAAAAAGGATTAATTTTGTAATGTATGAGACTGAACTTTTCCCTTTTCCCTGCCATATGTGTGACAGTTGTGCAGTTAAGTTCTCCATTGTAATACTTAAAATCACCAGTCTGTAATCGCAAGCAGCCTACTCTAGTATAACTCCATGTGCCAGCTGACTTGGTGACAGCCATGCATGCCAGCCAGATGGAGATGCTAAGCTTCCTTGCAAAAGGCTAGTTGTCTGTTGCAGAATGCGCCTGGCACCCGACTAATTTCGAACACTGTAAGATGAGCCATTGCTCTGATCCAGCAGGCTCTTATGTTCTTATGTTATCATGTGTAACTAGTATAAACACTGTGGGGCTATTACCCTGGTGTTACAGGCAGATGCACTGGTAGATGAAGCTGTATAATCATGCTCCAACAGAAATTAAGCCATAGCTCTCCGGTACATTAATACATTGCACATTGACTATAAGTTATATATGTGTGCAAGAACTCCAAACTAAATCATTTATAGGAGTTGCGGGAAACCTTTGGCCTTCCTGATGTTCCTAAACTACAATTTCCATAATCCTTGGCCTTGCTTGCTGGGGCAGGTGGGGATAGTAGTTCAACATCTGGAGGACAAAAGGTTCCCCATACCTGGTTTGTGGCGTGCCGTGTAAATTTTTGAGGATCTTTGAGGGGGGGGGGGAAATAGCCTCATTCTGTAATAGTTAAAGGCACTGAATATCATACATATCCCCTGGCACATGTGACCGAGTATTACTGCTTCATTTATGTAAAGCTAAAACCAGCAACAAAAAAGTAATTCACACATGGGAAACAGAAAATAAAACCCATAAGAAAGTTTGCACAAACAGCCAGGGGTTCAGTACTACAGTGGCAGGCACTGCTTTTGCAATAGCCAAGTAATGGTAATCTCCTGCTAATTATGTTATTGTTGTTGTTGTTATTTGCAATTGCAAAAAAATGTTTTCATTATCCTTTGGGATGTGGTTCAGAGTGTTCACCTTTGCAACTCAACATTACAGCAGGGCTTGAGTGACAGAAACAAAGCACAAATGAGCAAGTACAAGCAAATGTCAAAATGCCCACTTTGGAAAGTCTTGTGCTTGGGAGATTTCCAAGTCCTTAAAGGTGAAGAGAGGGATAGGGGTGGGGAACTTCACTTTCTAAAGAGATCATCTTTATTTCCAGTTGTCTGTCTAGGCACAGGTGATCTGTAGGTGGGAATGTCTGCACCCCAAAGCCATGGGTTAATCATGCTGAGAACTGGAGGGTTACAAAATAGGAGAGGTTTTTTATGAACAGCTAGAACAACCCCGCCCAGGTAATAAAACAAACTCTTTAATCAAATATCACATACCTTTATTGCACTGAGCAAATAGACGTTGCTCATGATTACAAAGAACAGTTTTACAAAAACAAAGATTACTATGAATAGCAAGTACACCTTGTGATTGTGACGCTTGTACCTCAGATACTTGAAATCTTGTGCTCAGGCACGTTCCACACTAAAACATTTGGTGTCTTTTTTCTGATTTCTACTCAGAAATGAAAACATACTCCCTGTCCTTTTATAATACCACTTAAAAGGAGGTTAATGAAATGGTCTTTTAAGAACCGATTTGTTCTTAGCCTCAACTTCTGTGTATTCTAAAGGGAGAAGCTGTGCTTGAAATATTAGCATACTTTTCCTAATTGACATATGAGTGCATTCTGTAACCCAAGTACAAATCGTTTTGTAACATGCAGCTATCAGAAAAGAGCCCATAAACAATAAAAGTATCAGTGGTTTTTTTTTTTCTCTTTTGCCATGACTGCAAATTGCAAAATTCAAATGCGTTGCTTTGAATTTTGGACTGGCTTGAATACTGCTTTTGTTTGTTGAAGGTGAGAGAGTCAGTATGACAGTCTCCTGAAAAAAATGAATATTCTACCAGATAAATCTCTGAAAACCATCATGTGCTTTTACAGAATTGGGCCCATTTATTTTAATTCTTCCTGCTTTCAGTACACATAATTTAAGTGATACCTATTAAAGGTATCCTTTGTGATATAAACTTCTAATACAAGAATTAATATTTAATTCTGTTGTAAGTGTAAGCAGCAATTTTTCCTCTGTGCAGTTTTGGCTTCCAAATTTCCCCAATACCCCAGGGCCTTCCAGGAGTTCATAAAAGAAAGGAACACTCTTATCTCCTATATACATATAAACATAAGGCTGTCATCACACAGTTCTTTTCATTGAAGGATTTGTAGTGCCTCATCACAATCCTGGATTTGCATGAAGTCAGGGCTGGGGAAGTGAGCAGAAGAGAAGGCAGGGTGCACAACAACAGGGTCTTGGCATGGGAGTGAGAAAGGGGAGACACTGAGAGGGGGGAAGTGGTGCTTTAGAACAGCGGCACCAGGGATGGAGGAACACAGAGGCAGTTTTAAACAACAGCTGAGGTTTGAATAAAGCAAGGATGTAGGGACACAGGGTGCTTAGAAGTTGCAGTTTGTGGGAGGAGGAAGATGCAGAAGGTTACTGTGAGTTGGTTTGGGTGCAAGTGGGGCTGCAGAAAAGAGAAACATGGCTTCAGAAATGGGCTTAGGAAGGTGAAAAGTCATCTTAGTACAGTGGTACCTTGGGTTAAGAACTTAATTCGTTCCGGAGGTCCGTTCTTAACCTGAAACTGTTCTTGAAGCACCACTTTAGCTAATGGGGCCTCCCACTGCCGCTGCGCCGCCGGAGCACGTTTTCTGTTTTCATCTTGAAGCAAAGTTCTTAACCCGAGGTACTATTTCTGGGTTAGTAGAGTCTGTAACCTGAATCGTCCGTAACCTGAAGCGTATGTAACCCGAGGTACCACTGTAGTCGCATGAGGTGGGAAGGGAAGTTCATAGGGGTTAATGCGGGAATGGCTGAGTGGTTGGTGAGCAGAGGGAGCAGGGACACAGCCCCTAGTTAACAAATGCAGTAATAGGTGCAATGTAATTTGTTTGGTTTAGGGAGCTCTCATTTCTTTCATGCATCTTGTCACAGAATTCATGTGAAATATGGCCTGCCATTCACGAGAAGGATTAGCTAAAGTTTCCTAGTAACTGCCTATGACCTTATTGTCTACTTTCTCAGTCATCGTTAGATGTATTCTTGGTGGGTTCATTTATGTCTTCCAAGTACAAATTCCTTTTGCTACCTTTGGAAGCAATAAGAAAGGGGTTAGATGAGGGAGCGGAACGTGTGGCCCTCCAGATGTTGCCTGACTACAGCTCTTATCATCCCTTACCATTCACCATCCTGACTGAGGCTCAGTCTAACACTATCTGGAGGACCACAGATTCCCCACTGCAGTGTCTAGGTGATAGGTAGGCAACTGCTGGTTTGCATTCTGTTGCTTTTAGTCTCCTCCCTCATAGACTGTACTGGTCAGGCAATAATGCACAAGAGACGTGGTTTATTATGGACTAGCCCATCCTTCTTACATGTCACTTTGAAGGCACAAAGTTCATCGGTCAGGGGCCCGTGAAGTTGTTACAGTAAGTGCCACCAGTGCTTTTTTTTCTAAAAAAAATGTTTAGGGGTACTCTCATTTTCCTACTCATATTGAAATACTGCCCCTCAATGAGGCCAAACTTAGATTCACAAAATGTTTAGGGGTATGTGTACCCCTGCGTCCCCCCAGAAAAAAGCACTGAGTGCCACACTTTTAAACAACAACAAAAGAGAGGTGCCAGTACTGTGTACCCTTGAGTACCCCCTGAAAACAAAGAAGCACTGGGCCCAGCGATGGCTGGACTGTTTTACCTTGGCTCTCCAATAGCAAAAAATTTTCTCATGTAACTTTTGGGTAGAACCTGTACAAGCATGGAAATAACTGAGGAGCTACATTTCCTGGGAAAATTAGGGTCGCACTATGCAGAGTCAGTAATGATGAGTCACTTTTGCGAAGGCTTCGAAGGCAAAAAGATTGTGTTTTTCTTTCTTGGTTCTATGGCTCAAATTAAATTAAAACCATCCACCCAGTCTTAATTTTTTCCTCCCATGCCTTCTTAAATGCACATTCAGGAAGCGCCAGATGATAGCCATATAATTTACTAAGGAAGTTGGGTCAAAGTTCATACCTTTCTTTTATAATACAAGCAGTGGCCGATAAATGCATGTCCAGTTTACGCGTGACCACGCATGTGTGCCTCTTGGCGACCTGGAAGTGGCTGGAAAAGGGGGAGGGGGCATAACACGGTGGGCTTATGCGTGCTCTGCTGCCATGCGTGATGACCCAGAACACAACCCCTGCACAAATCAGGAGTTCCCTGTACATTGAACATGTCTTAAGTATACAGGTGATTTACAGTCACAAAATATACATGGTTAAGCTAAGGTGGATGTGTATGTGTATGCATATCTTGAAGATGAGCTAGATTTTTAAGGGTCATCTCTTATTTCAGAGCATAACTGAGGATATCGCCTACCTTTTAACATCACATCTGCCTAGAACAGATCAGCTAACCTTTATTCCATGTTCCAACTTTGATCTGGTCACCGCTGAACCTAAGCAGATCCTGGCTAGTTGGGGTGACTGCACTGCAGGATTGTGGATTAGCATTGGTGGAAAAGATTGCATACATGCAAAGCTCTGAAATTCTTGAGAAGTACCGTATTTGATGGGAAGAAGCTTGGGGGGGTGTCTTCACATATGTAGAATTCTTCTTTATTATCTGCTAGGTTTTTTGGTAGGATGGAAGTCTTCTTTTGTTTGTGGTAGAAGGCTGTTCTTCATTTTTGTTCAAATGAGAAAGGAAGGGTTGGAGAAAGACCTGGAATCAGTGAGTGCATGTAGTCTCTCTTTCCTTGACAATGCACACAGGCACTGACTTAGAATTTATTTTATGCGCCAAGAGCATACGCATGAAGGAACACAGTGCCGTTCAGCTGCCTAGCTTCTCTGTAGTACTAATGCGAGTGCCAGAACAAGAAAAGCAATCCACCTTTAATGAGGAAATTGCGCTCTGGAGGCTTGTCTGAATTAGGAAAACATATGAAATGTTGTATATTTTATCTCTCTGCACACTTTGACCTCTTCCTTGGGTGTTGCCGTTCCTCCCACCACCCCCAATCTTCACCAGCTGCGTCAAGTTAGATGAAGGCCACATTGGGGAAAATGTCAAAATGTGCTTCAGAGTAGCTGACTGGGGCATTTTCCATGTGTGGAACAACTGAGCTCAGAAGCATGCATCCAGCCAGCCATAAAATATACTCAGAAGATTTATAGGCAGTTTTTTCAAGTCTTAAGACAATGAAGGTTTCAAGGGTGTTATCTCAGTATGCTTAAATGCCTCTTGCTAGCTAAGTTTTTAAGTGGTGAGAAATGTAGTCTAGCAGCTAAAATAAGTGTTCAGGGGGGTGGCCTGCCTTCCTGCGACATTTGTCACTGGTCACTCTCATGTAAGTGGGATGGGGTGGACCATAATCCAACTTCTATTGTCTCCCCAGATGCTTCTTTCTCCATCTCTCCCTTCTAGCCTTAAATGGCCTGTGAGACGTATCACATAGATAGGACAAAAGCAGGAGACAGACAGGTAAGTGCAGAGCTCAGCTTTGCTGTATCTGTAATCTGAACAGACCAGGCTGCTAGGACAGCTTGCAAGATCACAGTGTTAATGAAACAACTGCACCAGGAAATGAGTTGGGATCCAAAGCACACATCTTAGCAAAGGATGGTATGACACCCCCCCTCCAGCTCACTTGCATAATTAAACAACTGGCTGCATTTTGAACTACATGCTTAACATTTCTGCACAGTTTTGGTAACCTAGTGGTTACCATAGAATTTACAATAGTGCCCGGATCATCATATTCTAGGAGTGACCATAACTAAAGTACCACCCTAAGTAGGTATGAGGCACTTTTGGCCACGATGACCACCATCTGAGGATCCCAGAAGCGTCTTGCCCTAGGGTAGGTGTGGGGAACCATTGGCCCTGTAGATGTTGCTGAATTACAGCCCCACCATGGGCACCATTGACCATGCTTGCTAAGGCTGATGGGAGTTGTAGTTCAGTGACACCTGGAGGGTCAAAGGTTCCCCTCTCCTGCTCTGGGGCCTAGGCAAGTGGCTCATTGTGCGGGAAATATGCTTCATAAGGCATATATTCAGATCTTGGCATAACTTTCCTCAACCTGGAAACCCATACTCTTTAGTGTGCAATTAGGATAAACATTGCAAATTTCCATACAATATATTTTAACTGTGCACTTTATTCTGGATGTAAGGGAGAGTCGTGGTCAACGTACATCCAACGGCCAGAACTTCCTTGTATTTGGTGTTCCTTAAAATAGGGCTGGTGCTGCTTTACATCCTGGAATAGCTCCAGCTTCTGAACAGATCCAAGTTCCCTGAATCCTATAATTAGAGTACAGATTCATCTGAGCAATTCTATCTGGTCACACAAGATAATATCCAGACTTATGAAATGATTGTGAATCTGGAGAGGAAGGCTGAGTTTGTCGCTGCTGCTTAATTTTGAAAATCACATTTCACAGCTGTAGATTTAGTGTTTTCTGTTAAGCAGAAAGTTGTACCACAGATGTGAAGGGAAAGCAGTGGAAACTGAGGCTTATGAGCTCCTATTTCACCTGACTTCTGGCAACACCTGTGGTCTTTGGCCCAACACCTGCCCCTTCGTCATGTCAACTAGAGTCAGCTGTCTAAACTAGGATATTGGCCAGGCAAAATCAAATGGGGAACATTAAGCAGGAGCAAGTGGATGGGTGGGGATCTTGTGATATAACAGCTCTAACCTTGAAACGGAACCCAAGAGAAGAACTGGTAAAAGGCTTGCTGGCTGCTGAATTTCTGTTCGTATACTGCAGGGCAGATTAGGTTTCACGAATCCAGCATGATCGCAGGCAAAGCCAGAGGAAACTGGGCCGGCCCTGTAGTCTGGCAAGGCTCATTGGGGCCCACTTAAAAGTAGCTTATGGAAGTCTTCTCCAGGAGGAAGTGGGGTTTTCCCTGCTTGGGGTTGAGGAACAGAGAGCTTATCTGCTTCATTTGATTCCTGTGAAGGAAACTCTTGTGCGGCAGAGCTCTTCTGTAAACAGCACCTGCCTGTTCAGGGAGAGAGGATACTACAGGTTAATACAGAAACACTGCATTGTGTAAACTGATCCTTCTTTGAATAAGCTGCTGCTTCTGCCCTGACAGCGATTCCTGTTACTGGGATGGTGAAGAATTTGCTGCCACAGTCATGGGTGTGAGTTCTTACCGGGAAGTTACGGAGGGCTTTCGTTGCACACGGCTTTCCATGGAAATGTGTTCACAGGGGCAATAGAGGCATGTGGCTTGGAACCCTTTTGCAATGCAAGAACCTGATATAAGTATGTGCTAGTATGCTGTGCCAATTAGCTTAAAGCAGTGATGGCCAAACTTGGCCCTCCAGCTGTTTTGGGACTACAGCTCCCATCATCCCTAGCTAACAGGACCAGTGGTCGGGGTGATGGGAATTGTAGTCCCAAAACTGCTGGAGGGCCAGCTTTGGCCATCACCACTGGCTTAAAGTGTGGTGCCAGTCCCACAAATCCTTGCTTTAAAGGGCCTGATCTGGCCTAGTATATCTTTTACCAGTTGTGACTCTTACACACTAGCATAGTTTTACAGTTTGCCCATCTACCTGAAGATATCAGGTACTTTAAGGTAAGGGCATATGGCGTGAAAATGGCTACAAAACTTAGAGGCTAGCTCGTAAGATGGCAAAACTTACTACGTTATCATGGAGGGTGGATATAGATAGATGTCGTTACTGCAGTGTTTCTACTTATAACATTTTTCCAGCTGCTGACAGAAATTGAAACTAACATAAGCGAAATACCAGGTCCAGTTTCATTTCTAATTTCTTCTCTACACCAGTTTCAATTTCTGTGTTGTTTCCATTTCTGACAACATGCTCAGCCCCAGAAGTTGCACTTTCTGTATGTCATAAGAGTTGCTAGCCAGCAAAGTTGACCTTAAGGTTTACTTGAATTGTTCAGAGCAGTTTGATGAAAACTTTGTGGATGCCACAGGGATAGAGCAATTCCAGATATAAAATCAGTCCCAACTGATTTTACAGTCTTTTATAGCGCATGAATAGGCGCAGATCTGCTAGAAGGTAATATCCTTTCTCCAACTTATAATATCTATCCAACATCAAATGCTCTTCTGCAGGAAAGTGGTTTGTGAAGCAGCAGCAGCAGCACCCTGCAAGACTGATCCTTCCACTGTTGAGTGGGGACAAGGATCCTGTGGGGCAGGGCATCTGGCAGGGAGGAGAGTTGTGTCTTGGGCCTGCCTTCTGCCAGAAAGATGCCAGTGCCTGTCTGGTAAGACTTGGCCTTTTTTACACATTGCTTGCTCCTCCTCCTTCCTGCCCAATGCCTGACTCCCTAGCAGCCTCCTGTTGCTCAAGGCCGATCCAATTTTACTTCCAGTGATAACGTGTCTGGGTACTATAGCCTGGCGATATATCAGTAAATTGTCTGAAACCTGTATGGCATGGGTAGGCAAACTAAGGCCCGAGGGCTGGATCTGGCCCAGTCGCCTTCTAAATCTGGCCCGCTGACGCTCTGGGAATCAACATGTTTTTACATGAGTAGAATGTGTCATTTTATTTAAAATGCATCTTTGGGTTATTTGTGGGGCCTGCCTGGTGTTTTTACATGAGTAAGGTAAAGGTAAAGGGAGCCCAGACCATTAGGTCCAGTTGTAGCCGACTCTGGGGTTGCGGCGCTCATCTCGCTTTATTGGCCGAGGGAGCTGGCATACAGCTTCTGGGTCTTGTGGCCAGCATGACTAAGCCACTCGTGGCGAACTAGAGCAGCACATGGAAACGCCATTTACCTTCCCGCCGGAGCGGTACCTATTTATCTACTTGCACTTTGACATGCTTTCGAACTGCTAGGTTGGCAGGAGCAGGGACTGAGCAATGGGAGCTCACTCCGTCGCGGGGATTTGAACCGCTGACCTTCTGATCGGCAAGCCCTAGGCTCTGTGGTTTAACCCACAGCGCCACCCACGTCCCTTTACATGAGTAGAATGTGTGCTTTTATTTAAAATGCATCTCTGGATTATTTGTGGGGCATAGGAATTCATTCCCCCCCTCTTCAAAATATAGTCCGGCCCCCCACAAGGTCTGAGGGACAATGGGCCGGCCCCCTGCTGAAAAAGTTTGCTGACTCCTGCTGTATGGCATTCAGATTGCAATACCGGTTTCAGACATTTTGAGCTGGCAATACATTGTGGTGGCCAGGGAGCCATGATGTATTCCCAGTTCAAATTGCCTGTAGACAGCAGAGGTGGAGGCAGGCAAGCAGATGGAGCCTGCCTGCGCCTTTGAGGAAGCCCCCTGACCCTCCAGCTCCAGCTCACCTGAGCCGGAGCGGCTCCACTCAGCTGAGGGGAGAAAGAAGCAGCCGAGATACATTCCAGACATTGTGATATAGCATCATATCGTGGCATTTAGCTGCTGCTATATCACAATGCTGAAAACCAGATATTGCCCAGCCCTGGTGTGTACCCAACCTGTCCAAGGCCCTCCAAATATGCCCACTTCGGCTTAGGCCTCGACCCAAGCCAGTGCACACCCCTAATATACGTTTGTTAAAAGAGCATAGCACTTATTCTGTCTGGCAAAGTATGCTCAGGTCCAGAAAAGCTTCCAGTTTTTAAGGTACTCCAGCATGACTTCATGCTGCAATGCAGCTATCCTCTTGCCATTTGATTCTGCTGATTTGTACAAATAATCTTTATGCTAGAGCCAGACTTTCTGAAGCATGGACTGTTTGATCCTGTGGAGAGGTACAAGAATAAACAAAATGTGTGGGTGTTGCTTCATAGAGATTAGAAGAAATAAGCATGATACTTAGGTTTTGCCATATAGATATGCTCCATTTAGGAGAAGTACTATCTCAGACTGTACAATTGTGAACAATTTATTTCAAAGCCACACTCCCTTATGTGGTTATATATGTGTCCTCTGTTGTTTCATTCATGTGCTTTTGTTTGTTTGGTGAAGTTTGTTTGCTAAGTCATTGGAGGAAAGGCTCCTGTGTAAACTACAGATTGGACGAGATATGTAAGTTAATGGAGGTCTGTTTTCATACTGTATTCTCTAGGGTGTGGCGTGTGATTGTCAGCGGTGTTTTAGCGGGTGATGGTGGGTGCGTCAAGGTCTGCTGGCAATTGACTGATGCAATAATTGGGCGAGCTATTGGCACTTACATTCATTGAGCGTGCAGACAATTGGTGGATTCGTCGATGTGCGTGCGATTGGCTGTGGCGGTCTTGCGATTCCTCCCCCCAAAAGCCCAAGAAGTCTGGGTAACCCCCCCCCCCGAAAAAGCTCAGCAACTGTGGGCAATCCCCCCCCAAAAAAGCTCAACAACTCTGGGCAATCTCCCCCCATTTTCTCATTTTTGAGTCTCCAAAAAGAGGGGGCATGTTACACATGGAAAAATATGGTACATATACATGTGTGCCACTTGAGGAACCAGGCACCAGCCTCACTATGGAGCAGAAGACATCTGAATGCTTTGGGACCTGTAGGGGAAACAGTTGGGAGATCCATGTGGGCAAAAAGAATCTAATCCAGGGGTCGGCAAACTACGGGCCCCGGGCCAGATCAGGCCCACCAGGGTTCTAAATCCAGCCCGCCCAGCCATTTAAGAACCCACTGCAAAGCTGAGACTCCTGGCAATGGTGACGGGAGGAAGAGGCCGAGCGGCAGAGGCTCTGCCAATCAAATGCTGCGCTGATGTAAAACAGGTGTGGTGTTTGATTGGCAGAGGCTGCGCCACGCTAAGGTAAACCAGACGCAGTGTTTGATTGGCAGAGCCGCCGCCGCCCTGGTGCTCCTGTGGCTGCTGCCACTCTGCATCCCCATGAGGGGGGTGGCAGTGGCATTCCTGGAGGAGGACAGCTGGTCCAGGCTAGGGCTTGGCGGGGCCACCACCGCTGCACTCCCATTGGCGGCCGACGTGATGGTGGAGGGTGATGAGGCCGGCAGTGAAGTAGCCCAGGGGGCGACCTTCACCTCCGGGGAGCAGGAGGGCAAAGGGGCGGAAACACCCGCATGGGGCAGCAGCTGCAGGTGAGGCACCAGCTTGTCCTTGTCTCCGTCTCCATGCTCCTTGAAGAGGTGTACCAGGCAGTGTGCGCTGCTCTCGGCCAGCTGGATACATGGGCATCCTTTTGTTTAAAAAAACAACTGGGTGGGACTGAGCTGTAGTCTGATAGCACCTCAGTTGCATTTATGCCGCACCCACTAACTTGCAATTGCTTGCAAGGTGGCTAAATCAGAGCTAGTTGTTTGAAATTCTCACCTTTGCCTTTGTTTTGTTTGTTTGGCCAGGGTTTGAGAGGATATCTATATGCCCAACACAGACCTTTTGAGCTCGACCTCCCTCCCTGAACCTAACTATATCTTCTGCCCACCACACCATCTGTTCTGGGGGTGAATGTGCAGAGATCCTCGCACATCGTCAGGTGTGTGCCATGATAATGGAAGGAATCTTGCCAAAGCATAGAGAAGGTGGTGGCCGCAGTGTTGTGCCACAGCTGATAGGCTCCTGCGGAGGGAGACAGATCCGGCGGCTGCAGGATCCTGGAATTTGGAGGAGGGTACAGTGTCTAACATAAGGGCTTTTTCTCCTTTTGGGGGGTGCAACGGTGGCAGCCATGCCAGTGCAGCACATGGGTTTACACTTGGCACCCTTGAGGTCTTTCCTTGGTGGCCTCTGAACCCACCCACCCACTGGTCCCTTGGTCATAAGGATGGTTGCCATTTTCTCCCTTGAAAAGTATATAGAGCTGAAGGAGGGGTTTAGAAGACGGATGGTCTTTCCCGCTTCCTCTTTTTGCCCTATGTGTTTTTCAAAGCTCAGATTAATTCTAAAGGATCTGACTTTAAAAAACAAACAAACTCGGATCACTTGGGAAAGCAACATTTGCTTGCACACACTTTCTGTGTGTGTCTTTCTGTTGTGTGGGGCTGATCCAGGGGAGGAGGGGGTTGAGCACCGACAACGCTTGTTCAAAAATCCAGATGTGCCCAGAGTCCTAAAAATGTTGATGATCCCTGGCTTACTTGAAAGCACCTGCTCATAGAAGGCTAGTCTGTTTTGTTCATTTACGTCAGCACGTTGTTTATTTTGTGACAAGAATTCTGCCATGAAGGTGCCAAAAGGCTTTTGTATATAATTCCACGTTGCTTCCTTCGTTCAACAGGAAGAAACTGAATGGCTCCTGGCTGTAGAGGATAACGATTGCATCTCTTTCTTTCTTTACGCAACTCACTTAATCCTCTTGCTAATATATTTGCATGTATGCGGGCTGTTTCTCAAGTTACAGGTATACTGTCCTAAAGGTGCTCGAAAAAGCAATGGATGCTTGAGTATAAAGGACCCGTCTCAAATTGTAGAGCCTCTAAATTCCAGTATGGCTTCTTCCCATCGAGCAGTTCCTCTGTATGACGTAGGGCTGGGCAATATATCAATATATCGTCCAAAATCTGTCAGAAGTCCATATCGTGAGATTGGTTTCATAATTTTTGACCTGGCAGTGTAGTGCAAATCATCGTGCGTGCGTGCACTATGCCAAAATCACAATGTGGGGGAAACAGTGAAGCCAGTCAATGCATCTCTCGTTTCCTGCAGCCCCTGTTAACTCTGCCAGCTCGGCTCTCCCCTGCTTCATGCAGAGGACAGCAAATCAAAAGAGCAGGTGCCGATTATGATGCAGGAAAAACTGTGAAGCCAGCTAGTGCCTCTACATAGTTCCATCCTTATTTCAGACATCATGATATATTGGTATACTGTGATGTTTAGCTGATGATACATCACGATGTTGAAAACCAGATAGTGCCCAGCCTAGTATGAAGTATGCTGCTCAAAGACTATAGTCAGGTGGTTCTTGATTGGCTCAATAATACTAACAAATCTTGCTACGGTATAGGAGGCTAACATGTTGTGGTGACCATCCCTGTTGCCAGTTAAAAGGGGCAATCCTGTTTCTTCCCAGTGTAGGGCACCTTTCCACACACATCATAGCATGCTGTTGAACTTTTGGAGTCCTGCTCTTTCTTCTTCTTTTGTGTTTGTACACAAGCCACAGTTGCTGAGGTTGCATGTAACCCTAAACTGGTCAGGCATGAGCAGGAAGGACCTGCTGCAAGGCTTGCCACCTTGCATTTATAGGTTGATAGGTGGTTGGTAGTTAACCCATTCATATAATTAATGTTGTGAGTGAGATTCTGAATGACCATTCTGATCTGTGTCTTCGTGTGATTTATGGAGACAGAAAATTATTTCTCCGCACCACCTTGCCTTCTTTATGGCAGCACAAATGGGAGAAAATGCCAGAGTATTAAAGGAAGGGGTTGGTAGTAAATGCTAGAAACTTGTGGTGAAGTTTGGAGGCTGGAAGTAAGTGCAGGTGAAGCTCTGGCTTCTTGTTGCCTTCGACTGCAATGCAAAGAGTTTGTTGGAGGCTGCTGGTGAATGAAACTGCGAAGGCCTAGGCAATTACATAGTCATTTACGTCAAGAGAGGACATGCTTCAGACTTGTAGGTTCTGCTGTTTGTTTGTTTTTTACTAGCACCCTGAGATCTACCAACCAGAGCCAGGTGCAAAAGACATACACGTGTAATTAAAGAATGCTGCAGCCCAGGAATTAGTTTTAATTAGCCAAACTTCAACTGAGCTCACTGTTTGTCCTCACAAAACCACTCCTGGTTAACTCTCCTCCCTCAATCCTAGGTATCTTTCATTTTCAGCAGTATAATTTGGGAGTGAGGACTTTCTTTGTTGTCGCCATAATCAAGAGTCAGAAATGCTTGCTGATCTACTTCATGCAGATCTGTACCAGTAGATCCCACTTTCTGAGTACAGTGGTACCTTGGGTTACAGACACTTCAGGTTACAGAATAATACCTTGAGTTAAGAACTTTGCTTCAGGATGAGAACAGAAATCGTACTCCGGTGGTGCAGCAGCAGTGGGAGGCCCCATTAGCTAAAGTGGTACCTCAGGTTAAGAATGGACTTCCAGAACGAATTACCGTATTTTTTGCTCTATAAGACTCACTTTTTCCCTCCTAAAAAGTAAGGGGAAATGTGTGTGTGTCTTGTGGAGCGATTGCAGGCTGCGCAGCTATCCCAGAAGCCAGAACAGCAAGAGGGATTGCTGCTTTCACTGCGCAGCGATCCCTCTTGCTGTTCTGGTTCTGAGATTCAGAATATTTTTTTCTTGTTTTCCTCCTCCAAAAACTAGGTGCGTCTTGTGGTCTAGTGCGTCTTATAGAGCAAAAAATACGGTAAGTTCTTCACCCGAGGTACCACTGTACCTCTGCTTTCCATTGTTGACGCAACAACTATATTGCTTGGGTTTTAATTCCTGATGTATGATTTGCATACTCTATAATCAAAATAAATGTCTACTGAAAAAAGATTGAGTATTCTGTCAAAGAGAAACATCTTCCTTCTCTTAGGCAAATGAAGCAGTTAATTTCTCAGTGTCCTGTACCTGCACAGTGATCTTTCCCCTCTTTGCTATTTTCCTCCCCACAATTTCAAATGATGTTTGATGGATTTTTTTGTAGCAGCTGTGGTACTAATTTCTTGTGGAAATCAAGCCCCTCCAGAAGCCATCAGGATTTGGTCATAGAGAACAGTTATATCTATATATAGGGAAATGTTTTAATAATTGCTTAAGTTCCATCTTTGAGTAAGCAAAGAAAGCACATTTGATTTCTTCTCGAAAGGCTTTTCTGGCTCTTGCAATCCTACCTACCTGAATCCCACCTGTATTTGTTGATGAGGCCTGAATTCACTTCTATATTTAGCCATGATCTCTCCAGTACAGCATACCATCCTGCTTTCTTACAGTATGACTTACTACCCATTTAGAGGCAGAACGCATTCCTAATTCATGAAATATATGATGTCTAAAATTACATTGGCTTCATTTTACTGACATATTACATTGCAGGTTCATCATTTATTCTATGGTATTACTTGCTCATCAGTCACTGTTACAGAATATGATATTGAATCTATGATTGCAGCCTTCCATAAAGTATAAAGCAAATAAAAATAGATGAGTGTATTTCATCCAAAGTGTAAAGTGCACAACAACCTGATACTCCATGTTTACTGAGAAGTGAGTCCCATTGACTCATGCCGAGTTCTCAAATTAAGAGTGCATAGGATTACATGCTTGCTCAGAAATCCCCCTGAATTTAAAGCGACTCACAGCACAATCCAAGGCATGTTTACTTAGAAGACTCATTACGCCCAGGTAATGTAATGCCCCAATCCTACACATGTGGCCATTGAACATGACAGGCTTTGTTTTGAGTAGACATGCAGAGGATTACAGGCAAAGTGTCATCAACTTCTGTTGGGAAAAGTTTAGCAGATGCTTAAGTCTTTCAGTAAAACTTGTGAGACTCAAGAGGTACAGTGGTACCTTGGGTTAAGAACTCAATTAGTTCCGGAGGTCCATTTTTAACCTGAAACTGTTCTTAACGCGAGGTACCACTTTAGCTAATAGGGATTCCCGCTGCACGATTTCTGTTCTCATCCTGAAGCAAAGTTCTTAACCCGAGGTACTATTTCTGGGTTAGCGGAGTCTGTAACCTGAAGCGTCTGTAACCTGAACTTCATTTTTAAATTTCAGCATAGGTACATGGTGTTGCAGTGAAAATCATCTCCAGTGAACTGTTATAAAATACAATATAGTGTAGAACAATTGCTTGTAAGATAAATTGTCGGGAAGGTCTTATCAAGAATGCCCTCCAAAGAAGTAAACTGTGATTAAAGCCTTCCAAGGCAGTCCTAGAGATTGGTTCTCCTGAGGTCAGCAAAGTGGGAAGCCATGCATTGCATGGGCCTGCGCTGTAGGCAGAGCCTTTGTTCCCAAGTTTCAGGTTGAATATTACCATAAAGTTTATAGATATATATATTTTACATTAGCATTATAGATAATTTCACTTCTGTGTATAATGTAAAGTAGTGGTGGGAATCAAGATCTGGTGAGTGGGCTGGATCCTGAGCTTTGAAGGCAGCCCTGTTTAGGGAAGTTTTTAATGCCTGGTGTTCTATTGCTTTATTATTATCATTATTATTATCATTAATTCTGTTGGATAATAATACTACTAATTATTATTATAATGTGACTCAACTGCAAAGGAAGAAATTGGGAGTTCACTCTTAAGTGTGCTCCTAATTCTTCCCTTTAACTACATCTTGACGTTCAAAGTGCAGCTTGAACTTTTCTGGACTTGATGTCATATACGACATAGGAAAGGAGGGTGTGCGTGTCTTTCTGAAAACAACATGGCAGCCCAACCCACGAGACCTAATAAGGTCCATGCACCAGAGTTTCCCTGCTACTGATGTAAAGGAAACACACCTGGCTTGTCAAATAATTGAGCTGCGCTTTCTCTTCTTGCAAAGGTAACAATGCCAGTGGAAAGAATGCGAATGCGGCCGTGGCTGGAGGAACAAATAAATTCAAACAAAATACCGGGTTTGAAATGGCTAAACGAGGTAAGGCATGCCTGTGTTTTTAAACATTATTATGGGCCCATGAGGTGATACAAAAACAAGGAAAGCACCAGTTAAAACCAAACCATTGTTTAAACAAAACTAAGGAATGGAATTAAAAACCCATCAAAAGCCAGGTGAAATAAAACATTTTTATAGCCTGCATGAATCTAAGCAAAGGGAGAACCAACCTGATCAATAAAGTAGACAGTTGATACATGGTACATTCATAATGCCACAGAGTGATTTGATGCTAGAGGAATTAGTCCAGCATTAGCATTCATCAAACTCTAATTTGAGTGTAACCAAAATTGGAATGAGTGTAACCCAAAACTGTGGTTTGCTGCAGGGTGGATTTGATTTAAATTGAATCGATTTAAATCACTAGTCAGCAAGACTTGATTTAAATCATTATTATTTTTACAGAAAGACCCATTCGTGCATAAATTTTCAGAGTAGTTTTTACAGTTATCAAAAATTACTGACTTGGTTATACTATTAGAAATACATAGATAATTATGAAATTATTGTGAGGTTTAATAAGTTAACTCTTTATATTTGGACAACGTTTCTGCTATTCCAACGTTATTGGAAGGAGAAAAATAATCATAAGTAATCATTTAAACAATTTATTTAACTAAAACAATAACATTATAGAATATGTATCCATGTTTGTTAACTGATGTGTATAAACAAAACTTAGACTGAGTTTTAGCACGCATAAAAAACTTAAAACAAATTCTTATTTCCTGATAAATAGCCTTTGGACTATAATGTAACTTAGATAGAAAATTATCTTTAGAAAGATTTTTCCTCCAAAAGCATTTTATTTTAAAAATCCGATTTAAATCAAAACAATCCAATTTAAATAAAAGAAACTTTTTATTATTATTATTTTAAAAAAATTATTGATTTTTATCCACCCTGGTTAGCTGTAAACTGGGAAGTAAATAATTATGTGGCATATGCAAGTGAAAAGGAGTGAGCATGTTAGGACAGGGCTCAATGCCATATGACAGACATCTCCAACGTGTCGATTGCGCGATGGATTTTTGTCGATCACGACCCGCCACCCTCTCCCATGGCCACCGGGTGCCCTCAGCATGCGCTCAGCTGCAGCTGGAGCGACTGAGGCTCCGCTTAAGCAGGCTTGCTCACCGCTGCCGCAGCAAGCGCTCTGGCTGGCGCTGGCACCACCTCCGCCTCGCAGCTGCCTCAAGCACCCCGCCCATCCAGCTGGCTGGCCTGGAAAGGTGTGAGGCCTGCCTCTGCCCCCTGCAAGCTGCAGCCCCAGGCAGGAAGGCAAAGACAAGGTGTGCGGGCTCCGCACAGACTGCAGTGCTGCAGAGGGAGCCACAGGAAGGGCCGTGTGAGAGAGAGACAATGGTATCCCTCCTCCCTCTCCCCCCTCCCCCTGGTTCCTGTGGAAAGAAAACGCCCTCTCCCTCCTAGTGGGATGCTGAACTTTCCTCACTTTTCCAGCTCCAGCCTAGCTGCATTTACTCGAAAGTAAGCTGCTGGCCCCGCTCCCCACAGAGCTCTTCCTCTGGTAAAGGGGGGATTGGACATTTTGGGGCATGTTGACTTCCCACGTGCACCAAGAGCCCTGGGAGGGGAGGGGGCTGGTGTGAGGGTAATAATTTGTTATTATTTTTATCATCATCATCATGATTTATTATTTATACCCCGCCCATCTGGCTGGGTTTCCTCAGCCAAATATAATACGTTTAAGTTGAAGAATGACAATGGGAGAGTGTGGTAGATCACTGTTAGTTTTTGATATTGGATACTAGAACGCACTGTTAGTTTTTGATATTGGATACTAGAACGCAGCCTAATGGAAGTTGGACATGCCTGCCATATGACATGTGAAGCAACCCATACTATTTTGGTTTCCATATTCATGGTTTTCTGGGAAGTGTTATAGCCTGCCTTATTCTATGAACTCTGAGCCAGTTTTAGTCATTTTCTGTTCCCAGGGGTCCACACTGTTAAGTAATTCAAGTAATCAAAAGGCTTAGGATAAGAGGCCAGTGAAATTAGAAATGTTTGCCTGAAATCACAGTAATGCACATCCAATAGTACCTCAATTAGTTCACAGCTTTAAGTCAAAAGGAGGCACCTGAATATTTTGCAGCATTTAGTAATTTTGCTTAATCTCAGTAAAATCAACAGCTTTGACTTTCATTCCATGCAGAACATTATTGAGCCAGAAAGTGAGAAAGCAGTGAAAAATAGGTTCAGGTTGTACAAATGCTACCTGTTTTATAAAGTAAGAAAGTTTAAGACTTCTGTATCTGCAAGTTGTTAATTGTGGTTGTTTCCTACTTGTTTTTCTGTTCCAGGAAAAAATGATTTTTCAGATTCCCTGGATGCACGCAGCACGCCATGGGTGGGATGTTGAAAAAGATGCTCCTTTATTTAGGAACTGGGCTATTCACACAGGTAAGAGGAGCTCAGGTTTATTGGGGCAGGTTTATTGTGGAGGTTCTATCTCTTCTTTCAGCGTTGTAGTGTTCTGTTTTGCTTTTCCACATTTTCACCTTTACCCAGTGTCCCAGCTGTAGTGCAGTGAGCAGGTGGGGCTCTTGCAGCTACAAGGATATAGCTGCAGCTATTTAATCATCTGGGGGAAACAGATCCACACATGCATCCCTTTGCCTCTTCAGAGCTGCCCCCTCCATTCCTGTTTATGTGGCAGGGTCATAATATCTATCAGAGGCCTCTGTGCCTGGCAGCTCATTGCTGATTTGATGGGCCAAATGCGGAGAGGTTTGGAGTATACTTGAGCAAGCAGCTGCTGTGTGTGTCTTACAGGGTGTCCAGAACTTCTCGGTCTGATTGTAAGGATCCCTGAATATGAAGGGTCCCTAATTCATAAAAAGCAACACTCTAGAGGTCCTGGGCCCTAAGGAAGTCAGATTAGCCTCAACCAGGGCCAGGGCCTTTTCAGCACTGGCTCCGGCCTGGTGGAACGCTCTGTCTCATGCGGAAAGAAATCAGATCCCGCAGGGCCTGTAAGACAGAGTTGTTCCTCCTGGCCTTTGGCTTGGAATCAGCCTGATCCCCTCCCCCTCTTTCCTTTTCCTTCTGTGATGGGACCCCTATTTGGGGACTTCCCTGGCTTTTTTCTGGCCCACGTAGGACCAGTCTGGCTAGTTGGCCTTGGTGAAGATTTTACGTTTTCTCCCCACAAACAGTTTTTGATCTGGGCTTCCACTGAAATGAGGCGGCATTTTAAGTTGTATTTTAATCCTGTTTTTAAGTTGTATTTTAATCAATTGTTTTTATACCTGATGTTAGCCGCCCTGAGCCCGGTCTTGGCCAGGGAGGGCGGGGTATAAATAACATTATTATTAATATTATTAATATTATTATTAATATTATTATTAATATTATAATCATCATTATTATTACAGTGGTACCTCGGGTTACATACGCTTCAGGTTACATACGCTTCAGATTACAGACTCCACTAACCCAGAAATAGTGCTTCAGGTTAAGAACTTTGCTTCAGGATGAGAACAGAAATTGTGCTCTGGCGGTGCGGCAGCAGCAGGAGGCTCCATTAGCTAAAGTGGTGCTTCAGGTTAAGAACAGTTTCAGGTTAAGAACGGACCTCCAGAATGAATTAAGTACTTAACCTGAGGTACCACTGTATTTATTAGCATAAGGTGTGTCATACCACGAATCCCGTTTTTCTTTCTTTATTAGGGAAGTTCCAGCCAGGAGTTGATAAACCAGACCCAAAGACATGGAAGGCAAACTTTCGATGTGCTATGAACTCCTTACCCGATATTGAAGAAGTCAAGGACAAAAGCATAAAGAAAGGAAATAATGCCTTCCGGGTATACCGGATGCTGCCGTTATCTGAGAGGCCTTCAAAGAAAGGTAAAGGAGAGGAACATTGCGGATATTCTGGAGATCGAGAGAGCCATGCTGATAGTGGGCTGCTTCCTACATTAGTCAGATTGTCTCCTTTATAGCAGGCACACTTGGTCTTTAACATCCTCGCTAATAATAATAAATTGTGCAACGTCTTCACTTCTGTGCCTCACAAAAAGAGCAAAACATTAACAAATAAAAACGCTTCTTAATACAAGAGAAATATATATACAAAATAAATACACACTGGGCAAGATTACCTGGTTGGCACAAGACTGTGTATATCTGCCTGTCATGTGTCAGGTCAGGCAAGATACTCACAGGGATGAGAAGACAAAAGATGTAGCAGTAGCTCCATGGTTTTAGGAGCAACTAGTTTTTCCTTGAATTCCAAATTTAGTGGGGCATCTTGCTCCTCACCCCAGTTGACGGTTTTGCAGGGTAAGCTGCAGGCAGTACTGCTGTCCACGTTTCCTTAATTTCATTACGGTTCGAATAGGTAGTCTAGGCCATTTCAAGTACCACGTAAATTATAATTATGATCAACATTGAGTCCAGTGACTTTCCAAGTTGGAGTATGTTGGGGCTAGGCAGAATTGTCCAGTCTTACCAGGAAATGATTGTAAAACAATAAATGAATCCTTACATTTCTACAGGAAAGAAACCCAAGGAAGACAAAATGAAACAAATTAAGGTAAATATCTCATCATTTCATAGACAAATTACGGTTGATGATTGGAAGATGAATGGAGATTCATGACACAGTGTCTTGCCAACCTGTGAAGAAATTGGGTTTTACTGGTTGGTCTATGTGGGTTTATGGGGTTAACTGAGATTCTAGCAAGCATTGCCTCTACTCTTTCAAGCCTATGTTCACACACAGGCTTAAGGGATAGACAATTGCTTTAAAAAGAAAGGAAAGCTGAAAACTTTTGTGCAGACTACTATTACTGCACTTTTTTGTATTCCCATGTGATCATGCTGAAATATATACAAAACCTTTATATCACCTACTAGGAATGAGAGATTCCCCTCAGTTGATGGGCATTTAATTTTATTCTTACCCTTCTCCATCCAAATATGGAACAGAAGAGCTGTCCAAATCTTACACTGAAACAAAACAAAAACGAAACGCAAATGTTTCTGTCTGAATTGGGCCTCCTATCCTTATACACTTGTACCAGCAGGAGCAGGTCTTGTAAAAGGCATTTCCTTGCCTGCTTTCTGTCTCTTGCTCTCTGGGAGCATGGATTTTCCAAACAGAGAACATGTGCCACTGAAACACATTTTGTGGATGCAAAGTTCAGGTGCTTTTCTAAGGAACTAAGAGGACGTGTTTACGTAGTGACTGGCTCTCACGATTATCCTGCATTCTCTGCTCATATCACTAAAATGCACTTGGAAAGCTACAATGAATATTTAATAGGAATAAATGTTTCAGGCAGCGCCTCACCCTTGCAACTCTGTAATGTTGAATTTTTCATTACAAACCATGCATTAACATTTCTTGGAAGGCACCTTGTGAATTTCACACTTTGCTTTTATGTATGAAAAGGGCTGGGAAAGGTTGCTGTTTCAGTCTGATCTTGGGAAGCTTAAACAGCCATTCGGCTTTCATTTAGGCCTACCATCATGGCTGAGAAGGGTGTGTCAGGGACAAAGGGTAGGGAAAGGTTAACGAAGGATAGTCAGGAGATACTGTATTTTTTGCTCTATAAGACTCACTTTTTCCCTCCTAAAAAGTAAGGGGAAATGTGTGTGCGTCTTATGGAGTGAATGCAGGCTGCGCAGCTATCCCAGAAGCCAGAACAGCAAGAGGGATTGCTGCTTTTGCTGCGCAGCGATCCCTCTTGCTGTTCTGGCTTCTGACATTCAGAATATTTTTTTTCTTGTTTTCCTCCTCCAAACACTAGGTGCGTCTTGTGGTCTGGTGTGTCTTATAGAGCGAAAAATACGGTAGCTCTTCTGTATACTCAACAATCTTAACACACTTCCATTTTTTTATTTTTTTCCCCAGCAAGAGCCAGAGGAATCGTCATATGAACTGAGTAATGGAACATGCCAGGGGTTTTCTGATTACTGCTTATCTCCAGCAATAAAAGCTGAAGTCGACAGCACAATAAACATTGTAGGTAAGTCGCCCCAGCACATTCCTTTTCGTATCTGGTAAACTCTTACTGCACTAACTGTAGCCTTTAAAGTTCAGTTTCACTATACTGTTGGTAACACGGTGGAATTACAGCAACAGGAGTTCGTATTTTGATGTGCCTAATAATATTTTGCTTTATTTGAGAACTCTTAAGAACAAATGTGGACATGAAATTTAATGGTTTATTTAGCTCGAGTGGGTCTCAGTAGTAATCCTTCTCACCAGTGAAAAAACACTACAGGAACTTTGAAAGCACTTTTCAGCTAAAGTAGGAATCCAGCATCGTAACACCCTAACAAGGTGACGGGGAAGGAGATGAAATAGAAGAATTTTTGTGGCTAGACCATCATTTTCCATGTTAAACTAAGAAACAGGAAATACTTTTCATCATGAATGAAAGGTCATTTTAATTATAGTATATTTCATATCAAGGGAAGGGTAATTAAAACTGATGCACTTATTTGAATGTTCTGGTATATACATTATGCTGGTCCCAGCAAACCAAGGTTTGCAGATCAGGAATTTGCTCCCCTCTCTTCCTCATAGTCAAACCTTCCATCTGATTCCTAACCAAGTCCCCTCTTAACCATGTCTTCAAACCCTGGTTTCAGATGTTGGTTGAGATGGGACAAGTTTAAGACTCTACATAGTGTACCAATCTTAGGGCTAGATCTCCAGCCATTGTGAAGTTACAGTCCATAACAGTGCTTTTTGCTTGACTGTAATGTATGCTCTTTATTAATGCAGGCACGGGTAATCATCATGATTCTTTCTTGTTATCATGCAAAGTTGTAGGAGATTCGCATTTTGAGTGTGGTTCTGAGGATCATATGATAGTTCCCAATCCACCTGATGTTTGCCAAGTAGTGGAAGTGACAACAGAATGTGATGACCAACCCAGCAGTGTGAGTCAGTTGTATCCACTACAGATCTCCCCAGTCTCCTCCTATGCAGGTAAGAAAGATTGCACTCGCAAAAGAACTTGGGGTCTTGGTTTCAGTCAGTGCCATGTTTTAACTTTTGGTAGGTAGGTGCTTTTCTTTTCTATTTTAGAATAGTTGTCAGATTCTTTTAGTGCTTGGGTTCTGCTAAACACAGGTATTATTTCTTCTGAGAAACAAAAGACCTAAACCTGCTGTAAAACACAGAAACGAAATACTTATTAAAATTATCCTTTACATATATGTTCAGTAAACCTCACTCAGTGTGCAAAAAATATGTTTTTAGCGGTTTCTGTTTTTATCTGTAAGCCACCTTGAGTCCCTTTCATGGGGAAAGGCAGGGTATAAACAAGTATATAATAATAATACACAAGTGTGCATGGTGTCACAACCAAGATGATTGCAAATGTGGCTTCTTAGGAAAAGCTCCATTTTGGCTTTCACTGAGAAAAGTGGAGTATACATTTCAGTATGTATGCGTGTATAAATAAAATTACTTGAGATGTGAGGAATGGGAACCGAAGGGCAAGAGGCTTTCTTACACAGGGTTCAAGAGAACATTGTTTGCCTGAATTGTCTCTGTGCTGCTGCATCTAGGAATTAAAGGCTGATACATGTACTTGTACATGAAATCCTGTTATGTGACAGAGAAAATTGTGGGATGTATAAGCTATACCACAGACAAAGGCTTGGTTCTGGGGGACATTATGGAGCAGGAAACCTAATACACTACCAGTTTGTGTGTGTTTTAAAAAGGCCTTGAGGCTGCATGTTCTAGATAAATATTATCAAGTGAAAGAAGTTTCGTTGCTTCTTGGGTGTGGGTGCCGATAGCACTGCTTGGAGGTCAGCCAGAAGAATGTGCAAAGACTGATGTATGTTTATGTCTGTAGCTCCAGAGGTGGTTGAGAAGGGGCTGTTGACCATGCAGCAGGCCGGGTTCTAGCAGTGTCCCCCTTTTGACCCTCAAATAGAAAGTTTTGCATCCTCTTTACCAACTTCTGATTCTAGTATAATCTTGTCCTAGTAAAGTGACTTTTTTTGTCTGGCACTGTTGTGGCATTTCAGTGGTATAGCTGCCTCACACTGAGTCAGACCATCAACCTCAGTATTAGCCAATCTAATTGGCTGCAAGTGTCCAGGGTATCTGGGGGGGGGGTGGTCCTCTCCCTGCCCAAACTGGAGATACAAGGGATTGAACATTGGGGCATCTGATGCTCCCAGCCCTTCCCCACATGGAGTCGCTGGTTCTGGAGAAACCTCATAATGCTGACATGGAATCCATGATTGAATAAGAGGAAACATCCTGTTACATGGTTTATTGACAATCAATATGTCACATGTTTTCAGTATGCATATTTTTATCCACAGAAAGTGAGACAACAGACAGCATACCAAGTGACGAAGAAAGTGCACAGGTAAGCAAAGGAATAGAATATATTTCATGAGTCTTTTATTCCTTTTCCCGCCCCCTTCCCTAATATGCTTCAGTCCATTTCTTCTGTGAATTGAATGGTAGCAAGGTAGAGGTGTTTGTTTGCTGGTTTAGGAATTTCTGCCCCTCCTTCCATCTACAAAGGCCCTGGAGGCAGCCCACAACAGAATAAAAATATACAATAAAATTAAAGCCATAGCCATAAGATTAAAACACTGGTGTGGCATTAGCATAGCAGAGAGAAACCCAACCATTAAAATAATCCAAATGCCTGGCCAAAAATAAAAATAAAAGTATTCAGCATTCACCTGAAGACTGAAATGGTGGGAGCCAACTAGGCCTCTTAAGGGGGAGGGAGTTCCACAGACTGCTATCCCAGAACCTACTTCAGAGCAGGGCCACTGAAATAACTGAGATGGTTTTGGGGTGTTAAAATTTAAGGATTTTAACTTAAGAGCCATTCACTTTCTACTCAAAAGCCCCCAGGGGTGTATGCTGCTAGCAGAGGCAACCATGCCATGTTGCTCACCCACGTGGTAAATAAATAAACGCTCTGCTTCAGCCAATGGCTATAACCACTTTGCTTCAGCTTACGATGCTGAACCGTCGAAGCAGTACTAAAAATACAGCCATGACGAGGCGTTTTCATATTTCGGCCCTAGCACAGCAGACGGTATTTCTACACGCAAAGTCCCTGGGGGACTTTGCTTTGCAGCTGCTCCTTCTCCACGAGGGAAGTGGAATCTCAAAGTTAGCACAACTCCTCTGGAGCGCCAGCCGCACACAAGCAGTTCTCAGTAGCAACCCTGTTGCTGGAGAAACCTTAGAATTACTCCAGAGGCAGCATTTTTCAAGCATTCTAGCTCAGCTGGGCTTGCAAATTGGGCCGAGTTGTGGTAGAAGTTGATACAATCAGTTCAAGGTGCCTTGGTATCAATGCAAAGAGTGTGCCCTTGCATTAATCTCCGGGTGCCAGCATTGCTGGATCAGGGCCTCTCTAGCACCCGCACGACACAGTTGTGCTGCACAACTGCTGTGCCATGTCAGCAGAGGCTAGAAGAGGCCAAAGCTTCCTTACGTAGTGTTCTGGGGTGCTTTTTTTGACCCAGAACAGCCATTGGGGCTGGTGTGTATCTGCACCAGGTGTAGCTAATTATCATTGAAAACTGCATGTCTTTTTGCTTACCTTCACACTTCAGGAGTCATGGTGTTTGCAAGTTAATGCACTGCTGCAGCAATCTGTAATAGGACACTTTTTTCTCCTTCAAAATGAGCAGTGAAGTCTTTCAGTTGGGTACTGCTACAAACAAACAACTGTGCATAACATTTTCCGACTATGAAAGCTAGTTGTAGCTTGCTTGTTTGTCGTATCTTGGTTGCAAGCTGCCACTTTTGGATTTCCTGAGCTCACATGTGGTTGAACACAATGGCAGGAAGTTCTCCTAGCCATGATGGAAAGCTTTCTTACACATGTGGTACCTGCAAATACCAAAAGTATTTCTGTCCAGCCTCACAGTCACTTCTTGTATGAGAGAAAAAACATTCTTCACTATAGCTTCTGTAGCTGATTTTTGTTGTCAACCCTGCAACTGGGCAGGTTAAGTCTTAAGTGTGTATGTTTATGTATGCTTACAATGTGTACTGCGTCAGTGAAACTCTGTAGACTTTCCTCCTTCACCACACAGAAGCTGGATGGTCAAGGAGAGGGAGTGTACCATTGCTCCACCCCTGACATTGGCATGTGCACCAGCTCCCTGACCACTGTGTAGTCGGTGACAGGTTCGAATGGGGTGCCTAGGCAGTCAGGAACCCTGGGCAATTGGGGGTTTCCGGTTGCCATAAAGAAGCTACAAACGCACACCCAGACTTTCCCCAGATGTATGAAAGTCAGGATGATAAGAGAGTGCATGTGGCAGTGTAGGAGCACTTCTGCCACATGCTGGAGGACCTTTTATCGCACCTCACTTGGCATGGCCAAGCAAAGGAGCCTAGGGCCAATTGTGCAAGGAAGGGAGTCAGTAAGGCCCAAAACAAACAGGTTGCAATATGGAGCACCGTTGAGGGAGAGAGGAAACTGCCTTGCATTCTTGTACCCTCAACACTATGACAACAGTCATCCTACAAGTGTGGTTATTGCCTCCTCTACAACAAATGACTTTTCCAAGTGCAAGAGGTGTCCTGATTATGTTGTATGTGGGATGAATAAAACCCTCTTGTCTCTTCTCTGCAGGGTCATCTTCACTGGCAAAAGGAAAACGTTGGCGGCAAACAATACTACAGCAACTTGGGGACCAGGAACTCCCCTTACCCGCTTCCTGGGATGGCTACTTTTGTGACTTCCAACAAGCCTGACCTCCAGGTCACCATTAAGGAAGAAGCCTGTCCCTTGCCTTACAACAGCTCGTGGCCTTTCCCAGAGCTCCCTCTGCAACAAATCGTGTGCTCGGCTTCCACCAGCTACAGCAACAGCAACAGGCCACCGGATCACGAGAACCGGGCCAGCGTCATCAAGAAAACGTCAGATATTACTCAGTCAAGAGTCAAGAGCAGCTAAGCCACATAAACGGGCAGGTTCTTGGCAGATTCTCTGTTGTGGCTTTGAGGAGCACATCTAATGTACATTCAGCAAACCGAAGAGAGAAGAGCCTTGACAGTGCGGAACACGACCGTGTCCAACTCCAGCACTGGAGCATTTTAAACTCAGGACTCCAACCAACAGAATGTAGACGTGAAGCTGGACAGAGGTCCAAGGTTACAGCCCAGGGAGAGGAAAGCCACCCTGGTAGATTCCAAGGCTGAAACAAGAGGACCAAGAGCCCCTCCCCAAATGAAGTTCCTCCATTTCTTGCAGTTCAGGCCACAATGGAACTGAAAACCTCGGAATGGAAAGAAAAATGTGAACTTGCTTGATTTTTGTTTTTTTCCAGAATCAGTTGTGAATATGTACATAATGCAGTGCTGTCCTAGCAATACTGCAGACTGCTTTCGCACCTTATTGAAAAAAAGAAAAAGCACTTGCAAAAAAGGCCTTTCATTATCTTGCTCTTATTAATGGCACACTTAAAGTCCCTTCTTCCCCACCCTCAACTTCGCTCTTTCCCAGGGCTCTTCTGGCTAATGTCGCCTTGGAGTATGGAAAAAGAATCAAATAGGAAAGTAAAACCTCCTCCTGTACATTTCGCAGGTTGTTTTTAAGAGTGCTTACCTTATACTTGTCTAATCTGCTATGCTTGAAAGCTGTGTGGTACAATAGAAGAAAATCTATTACAGATATATTATGCAAATTCCCAGGTTTTAAAGAGAGAGAGAAATACTCTAATTCTAACCAGAGTAAGCTTTTTTATTTTTTTATACAGTGGGATATTTTATTCAAAGTAAAATTCTAAAGTGAATATTAATTGTTTTACTTTTTTATCTTTTCTACAGCAAATTTATAATTTTACAATTCAGTGACTTGGTTGTCAGCAACCATCGCATCTTTGTGGCACATTTTCTTTTTTTTCTTTTTTTCCCTTTTTTTCCTTTTTTCTTTTCTTTTTTACAGTTTGTAAAGGTGAAATAGCTTTTAATGAATTTTATGTAGCAATCAAACTATCCTGTGGATTGATAATAAATATTATATATAAATAAGTTTTTAAATAAACACGTTTTCTTTGGTGTGTGGGATTTAATATATATATATATATATAAGATAAAACACTTCCCAAAGGGATCGTGTAAAAAAGTTAAGGGGGCAATTACTTTCATGTTCTGAAAACAAAAGATGCCAAAATATATGATGTGTGTTCCATTGATTGAGAGGCACTTTGGGGCACGTTCCAGGCTATAGCAGAGGCAGGAGGAATAAATGATAACTTTTGCTGGATTATAGCTGTTGTTTTTTAGATTAGGTTAAGTGGAATTTCTTAAGTGCTTCAGGTACATTCGGTGTCAAAAGTTATTTACAGTGCACAGAATGCTTACCAAGAAATCCTGCACACAGACCAGTTTTACTAATTTGAGACAGAAGATTTGCTTGAGAGATACAGTTAGAACAAATTGAATGCTAAAGAACTATAAGGTGCACATCTATAAGGAGACAGGTAACTCCTGTCTACAAAAGCCAGCATGGTAGTTTAATTTTGCAGTGAGGCAATAAAAGCTGTAATAATTTCTGCTGGAAATCCTGCTGCTTAGGCTTTCTGTTTTGGTATCCCATAACTGGGATACTTCTTAAAATCTGGCTTTCTTAACCACTTTAGAAACATGGGTGAACACAGCAGTGCTATTTTTCAAGAAGAAAAGGTGATGGATCTCAACAGCAATGGTGCCTACCTGAGAGGGGCTGGGACTGAGTTCTGGCAGGTTCCCGCTGAAAGAAAAGCCCTGGAACAGAGAATCCCAATTAGTGTTAACTGTGGATAGTATCAATGAAGAGATTCTAGGCAGTGAGTCAAGGCTTGTCCTAGATACGTAAAACGTATTTATACTAAAGTTCAGAATCTGACTCTCGGGCAATTCTCAAGGTGGCTTATGACAATAAATCATCAGTAACCATGAAACCAATACATAAATTATTATGAATGTGGCTGCAGTTCTCATGATGAAGCAGTCGCCTTACTTAAAGGCATTCAGCACAGGTACAGATTAGACCCACATTCGTTTATGGTTTATATAATATATGAAGCATCTCCTAAAATGTCAGTTGCTTGGGGTATAGATTAATCTGCCGCATAACCCAAAGTTTTCACACATGAAGCGTAAAGCATTTTTGTGCTACATGATGTCCTCCTCCCTCCAAAAATAAAACCTATCAATCAGAATGCTTATTTGCTTGCAATATCATTTGTTCAATCTTTGCACTGGACCTGTTGCAGCTGCGATGCTGCTTGTGGCACAAGCAAAACAACAGTGATTGTGAGATCAGCCACTTGGCCCAGATAATTTCTTAGCAATACAGCCAAATTATGCCTAAATCAATCTATGTGCTTGTTACATTTCTGCCCAACCCAAATGAGGACAGAGCAGCAAGGTACATTAGGCTGATATCCCAAGGCTATTCATTGAGCTTCCTAGCCTTAGGGCAAATTCCATCTTTACTTTTTCTGCTTGGATACAAATCTAAATTGAAATGGTAAAATGTATGTACTGTAATTATACCACAGAGAATTCTCTTTATTTTCTACTCATACTGACATAGTTCAACTATATATTTTGCTTCTATAATGTATTTTTATTTGTTAAAAGTGCATGTATACACACACACACACACACACACACACACCAGCCATGGCTCTACTGCTTCAGTACTAGTTTATGCACACACAAAAAAGGGCCTTGAGAAAGTGTTCAAGTAGCACACATTTATCCTGTCATTTTGAAAAGAACTTAAATGTTGGTAATTTATCACACAGTGAAGTTTCAAAGTGCAAGTAGGAAACCACAAGTAAAGTGCACACAAGCGTCACAACTCACGGCTGCTACTGATAATGAAGTTTCCCAAGTATGTGCTCTTTTGTTCATATTTTAGCTGTAATGTCGTTGCAGTGCAGCATTTTAACTACCGGTAGTTCCAATCACTTACAATAACAGGTCCAAATGCTTGTACTTTCAGAAAGTTTATACAGCTCCTTCTTTGGCACAGCTGCAATTGCTCTTTTGGTTCAGGATACAACTGCATTTGGTGATTCTTTTATTAGAGTTCTATATGGCAGACCTATCCCAGGTTTCACAGGGAGTGTGTGTGCTCCTAGAACAAAAGGATATGGTTTAGTCTTGCTTTATACATCAGGGATTCCCCAACTCCAAAACATAGTAAGAAAACCCCTTAGGGTTTCTGTTGTGGCTGTGCACCAGATTCAGCCAAATTGCAGGCTAAATTGGGCTGATTAGAGGGCATCTGGGCTTGGGCTGAGTTGGGTTGGGGCAGCCCTGGTTAGGCCATCTGGGGTGATCTGCAGCCATCAGGGACAGGGCATTGGGTGGAAAGGCTGCAGGAGTCTGCTTTGCCAGCACGTTCCCCAGAGAATGTGCTGGGGAAGCAAACCTTAGCAGGATGGAATCCTCCACTCATCAGGATTCAGTCCTGTGGCCTGCAGGATGCTTTTTTGAAGCTTGCGAAGTAGCACCTAGCAGGACTGAACCCTCTTGCTCTTGGTTGGGAGAGGAGATGCAGTGTTTCTTCCCCCTGACCCCTCCTGACAGTATCTCAGTTGCAGTTGTCAGAACCCTAATTAAACGTTAGCCCCACCCCAAATTGTTGGCTGGACCCAGGGCAAGGTGGGTGGTCCCTGGGTTGGCCAGGCTTGCAGAGGGGGTGGAGGGGGCTATGTGCAGCTCTAGGTTCTATACTATGGCCTTGCTGCCCTGACACAGCAATACTGATAAGCTCTGGAAGCTCTAGCTTTGTAGCAAATCCCAGCATATGTGAATGAACAGTCTTGCCCTGAATCAAAGCAATAGTCTACCTACCCCAACAACTGGCTAATATTAGTTGCCAGCAGCACTTCTGTAGGATCTCATGACCACAGATGGATGGACATTTGATGGCTCTGTTCTCCAGGTTTTTAAAGCTGGAGATTACAAGTACTGAAACCAAAAACTTCTTATTTGCAAATAATATATTCTGAGCCATGCTCTTTTCCTGATAGGATTCTATGCAAATTCAAATAATTATTAACAGTCATGTAATCATATTTTTTTTAAAAAACGAATACAAAAATTTAGGAGCCAGTGAAATTTTATAGTAGTCGGATAGGAGCAGAGAATGGCGTCATTACTTCTGCAGCAACCTTCATTCCAACACTCAAGCCCAATATTTTTGAGGCACCAGTGGCTATTAGGCACGTTCATTTTTTATGCTGTTAATTTAAGTACTTAGGTATTAATTTTCAGGTATATGATAATTCTGAGAGTACTCTGAGTTGTACTTAAATAGGCCTTAATTTTAAATAATTGGGACTGCCAAACCCCCCACACCGACTGCATCCTTCAAGCAGCCCTGTTTTGTTGAGACAGAAATTCATCAGTGGAAGCTTTTCCTGAAACTGAGGTGATGGGGGTTGGGAACCTCCAGCCCAGTGGACAGCTCCACCCAGGCCCTGATCCTTCACTGGTCCTACTCTGTCTGTGCTCTGCGTCTTTCCAAAAGCTAAACCTCAGAGTGCATTGGTTACGAGTGGCCTTATAACATTGTTCTGCCAGCACTGCCACACTTCATGGTAGGGTCTTTTAGTTTTGTTAAGCCCCAATACCACATCACAGGCTTCCTTTCCACTTACCTCCTCTGTTCCAAAGATCTCACCACTGCTACTGAAGCTGGAGACCCAAAGGTGGGAAGGATGACCTCAAAGGCCTTGAGATAAAGTGCGGCAGGTAGAACAACTTTCCAAAAGTCCAACCACAGGGCACGGTGATTAGATAACTAAGAAGTGATAGGGAAAGTCACAAGAGCAGGATTAGTTAAAATAGAGTTGTCATATTTGAAACAGTAAAAATCCAGACAGAAAAGTGGTGGTTGTTGTTGTTGTTTTGGCCAAAGGTGTGGAGCTGCTTTTAGTTTTGCCCAAAGTTGTTGAGCACTGCCAACATGGGTTGCCATGCGTCCGGATTTTCCCAGACATTTTTGTGATTTCTGCCCAGACACTACTTCCGACTGCAGTATTCCAGGGAAATTTTGGATGTGTGACAACCCTAGTTAAAGAGAGTGACAACCCTAGTTTAAAATGTACATGTTGTTATATGGATTTGACAGATTTCAAGGCAAACTTTTTGAAAGTACAGTACATACAGTGCAAACCATTTGTAGCCTATATTCTTAAAGCTGTGTTGGTTTTTTAAAAAAGTGCTAAGCTGCTAAAATGAAACAGCAGCCCAAGAATGACTAATTAAATACATTTCAAAACTCCTTCAAACAGAGCTATGTTTTTATAATCAAAACTCCAGCTCCTCAATAACTGACTTTGACAATGTGTTTGCACTTTCAGTTTACACAACAACCTGCTTGGCTAGTTGCTGCTCCAAGTTCCCATAGTAACCATTCACTTGGCTGCCTTGCCATGGAAACTGCATATTATTTCCTAGTACCTGAATGACCTTTGAGCTACAGAACAAGAAAAGGTAGACAACTGTTTCACGTATGGACATCGTATACTTATATGTACCCCTGCAGCAATTTCTTGCGGGTACTCATGTCAGATTCTCCATTCACTTAAATGGAAGTAGGGAGTGCCACACACACAAGGGAAAGGCAAAAAGAACAGCACCCCCCTTTAAAGTGATAGAGGAAATGTGCCTACAGGTTCAAAAAGGTTAGGGACCCCTGTTCTTGCTTCTTCTCATTTCAATATGTGCCCTTTTGCTGCTGGATGTTGCAGAAAGTTTTCTACACAGAGGCACCAGACATATAAAAAGGGGTGTTACAAAAATGGTTTAGTTAAACAAACCATGGTTTCATGTTGCATCTGAACCCAGCTATTGGCTCCAGGCTTGAAGTCATTACCAGAATATGTACACATTGAACTGCAATATGAGCATCACATGATGTGACAGTTATGCAGCAGTTTAGAGATAACGAAATAATAAAGTTTCCTTATATTGGTGCAATCAATTAACTATCTTCCTCCCGCCTTCATTGCTAGCAGTTACTGAGGCTCTTGGGTAGTAGTAAAGTCGAAAAGGGTTTATCAATGCTAGCCAGAGATTGCAGCATTCTTTATAGTGACAAATTAACAAACCCAGACTTCTAGTATTTACCTCTTTCCTTTTTATAACTTTGGCCCTTTGAGCAAACAAATAGCAGCTATGATGCAACTTCATCAAACATTGCATTATGGAAATATGCCAAATTTTATATAAAAAACACACAAAATACTTGCACTAAATCAGTTCAAAGGTTACAGCAGATTGTTTCATGCACACCCAGCTATAACTAATGTTAGAGCCCTTGCCGTCATCAGGAAACAAAGGAATGAAATCAACCACCAAGTCAATGATAATCTTTTTGATCTACATGAACTTAAAAGAGTTTGATGCAAGGAGGTTTCTCCCTTTTGTTTCCTGGGTTGGGCTCCTTTGTTCTTAAAAGCCGTGTCTTTGTCAAAAACATCAACAAGTGTACTGTACCTTTCCCCATCAATCATTACATCACTGTGAAAGGGAAGGTTGCAGTCGTGCCCTTCCTGCTTTGATGTGTTGAATGCTCAGGAGCCCTGCTGGTAAAAGGTGGCAACTGCATTAGCATGCTAAGGCGACATTATCCATTGTAACAGATTTCCTTTTTATTATAATGCTGACTTCGAAGCAAACCAAACCAACCTGATTTATCTCTATCTGTGGTAATGGGAAAAGAGCATTAGGTATTGTTCCACAGAGACAAGGACTCAAATCCCTGTGCTGACTAGCCTTGAACACTTGAGGCTGCATACACACCATATGTTTAAAGCACATGGCGCTCTCCAAAGAATCATGGGAACTGTAGTTTGTCAAGGGTGTGAGGAATTGTAGCTCTGTGAGGCGTAAACTACAGTTCCCAGAATTCTTTGGGGGGGGGTAAGTCCTGTGCTTTAAATGTATAATTCTCTCGGCTAATCTACCTCAGAGTGTTTCTGAGAGGACATGACTGCCCACATACATGGGGATGCAGTTTTCAAATTTCATATTATTTCAAGAAACACAATCCTGTATCACTTCTGCTCTCCATCCCCAGGACTGGCCAAATCTAACATGTTACTCAGAGTAGCTGTATTTAACCTCCTTCCATGCCAGCACAGTACGTCTGTCTGTCTATTTAATTTTTTTATTATGTTTTATTATTTATTTTATTTTCAGCATTTGATCCTAACAATCATTTCAGTTGTAAATACAATTTTATTCTCACTTTCACTTGCACTGTTTATAAACAGACAGAACCAAACATAGAAAGAGAAGGAGGCCAAGTCATGGGAAATATCTGTGCAAAAGAATTATGGAAGGCGCAGGAGCTTCTGACAGTTTTAAAGCTGACTCTTGCTTCCATATAATTAGATATGTGTTTTTATTGGAGGTTATTGCTGGTTAAAGAGCTCTGTTAAACGGAATGGACAAATCAGTATTTAATTTTTGCTATTTATGCTGATTCATGCATTGCATGAATTCTACATACAGGCCTCACTTGACAGAACTTTTAATTGAGTAATTGGTGAGATGAAATTTTAATTTGTGGGGCTAAGTTTGAAGAGCACACTTAATTACTGAAGCCATTTTGGCTCCTGTGTGTTACTGTAACCGAGAAAGAAGAACATATTAAGGAAAGGCCATGGAACTTTTGTTTATTAAATGGAACCTCTTTCAGGATTTCTTCAGTGTCCTCAAAAAGGCACATATTGAGCTTTTAAAAAACATATCTTATTATAATTTATTTTTAGATAATAACAGTGTGTTGAGCTTTTTCAGTATACAGATTTACATTTTGACAAATTAATTAAAAGTTAGGCAGCAGACTTGTTGATAGCCCTAACACATTCCATTCCACTGACCATCTCCTACACTGCAATATGTCATTTGGAAGGAATAATCCACAGCGATGCTCAAACTATTCCCACTGTGCATAATCCACGAGTACTTTTGAAGAATCAGGTAAAATGTAAAGGGACCCCTGACCATTAGCTCCGGTCGTGACCGACTCTGGGGTTGCAGCGCTCATCTCGCTTTATTGGCCAAGGGAGCTGGCGTACAGCTTCCGGGTCATGTGGCCAGCATGACTAAGCCACTTCTGGCGAACCAGAGCAGCGCACGGAAACGCCGTTTACCTTCCCGCCAGAGCGGTACCTATTTATCTACTTGCACTTTGACATGCTTTTGAACTGCTAGGTTGGCAGGAGCAGGGACCGAGCAACGGGAGCTCACTCTGTCACGGGGATTCGAACCGCTGACCTTCTGATCGGCAAGTCCTAGGCTCTGTGGTTTAACCCACAGCACCACCCACGTCAAATCAGGTACCTTCCTTCAAAAACAAGCAAGCAGAACCTCATATATAATCAGAATAACTTCAATTATGTATAAAGATTTTAAGGAGTTCACGGGAGTTTTTGTGTGTGTTTTCCTTCCCAGGTCTGTTTATCCTCTAGTCTAGGACACAGTTGTTTTGCATCTGAATGCACAAGAGCTGTTGACGGAGGAGGGAGTCTCCTGAAATTTAAGGAAACCCTGCTCATTGTAAACACTGCCTTGAGGGTTATTTCCTGCTTCCCCTGCAGCAGCCATGACAACAGTCATTCACGTATAAACAGTTGCTAGGATGCCACTTGGAAGGGAGGGAACAGAGAGAATACCAATAATATTTCATTTAAATGCAAGAAAGACCTAAATTTAAAATGTTCAGTAATCTCACGAGCGTTCTTTAAAATGAAATTTCACATAATTTTTAAAGGAAAAAGAAAACCAGTGTGAAGCTCACTGGGTGTAATTGACCACTATTGCCTAGTCTGACCTCATCCACAGGGTTGTCACCATGTCAAAAGTGGGGTGGGGGGCAGGCGAAATAACTACTTATGGCACTTATGCCATCCATTATTCTTTGCAAGGCTCTCTCTCTCTCTCTCTCTCTCTCTCTCTCTGTGTGTGTGTGTGAGAGAGAGAGAGAGAGAGAGAGAGAAATCATGTGTTTCAGATGGCCTGTGAGCAAAGATGCTTTGGCCCTTCAGGGTTTCAGCTGGCTGTGTGGTATCTATAAGGTTTTAGCTGGTTTTAAACAGAATTTACTATTCTGGTCTGAGTGAGTTGGTTGTTATGGCTGGGCTTTATTTTAAATATATTATTAAATTTATCATATATTATTGATTTTAAATATATAAATTATATATTTTTAAATAATTAGTCATTCACGTGCAGCCATTTATTTCTTTACATTCTGAAAGTACCAGTTCTTCTGTCATTGGGATATAAATCAAATGAAGTAGCTTAGAATGAAAGCAATTTCACAAAAAAAGGTGTGGTTGGAGAAGGTTTGTTTGTTTAATTTCTTGCTTATTTTCACAACATTAAAGATTTGGATAGAATATCGCTTCCCTTTTAAGATCAAGATAGCAAAACACGGGGGAGGGAGCATGGGGGCTGGTCAATTTATCAATGGATATGCAGACAAGTGTCCTTTTTTGAACTTAGATTTAAACAATGCTGACACCTAGTGGTCACACACAACTCAGTCAATTTCAAGAAGTGCCTTGCAGGATCAGCAGAAAGTCTAAGCACTCTGGTTTCCAACAACAGCCTGCCAGGGTGGTACGTCTAGAAGGAGCACAAAATAAAGATGATGCCCTTTCCATTGGCCTGCATCTTGAACATAGAGGTTCTGTCTGTTTTCTTTTATTTAAGAAAACAGATCTTCATTCATTTACAGTGGTACCTCGGGTTAAGAACTTAATTCGTTCTGGAGATCCGTTCTTAACCTGAAACTGTTCTTAACCTGAAGCACCACTTTAGCTAATGGGGCCTCCCGCTGCCGGAGCACGATTTCTGTTCTCATCCTGAAGCAAAGTTCTTTACCCGAGGTACTATTTCTGGGTTAGTGGAGTCTGTAACCTGAAGCGTCTGTAACCAGAGGTACCACTGTATTAGCATATTTGTAGCTCACCCCCCTTTTTTTACTGACAGGACTCCCTATTTACAAGTTGGGATTTCCTTCCCTTTCCCTGTCCTAGCCATGACCAGGGCAACTGGCTTGTAGTGACCTTGCACCTGCGATTCGTTCCTCCATGGGGCGATTTGTGCTCACGAAGGAAAGTAACCCCTTCCTCCATGGTCCAGTTCCTCCAACATATCTGGACCTAACAATAAACTAGACTGCAGATACTGTACATAACCACAAACTGACAGATATCTTATTTAGGCTTATCCATTCCAGACATCCACTGATTTCCTGGGGAGTGAATTCAGTAAACCCTTATCTGTTTTTCTCTTTCTTTCTTTCTCTTTAAAATTTCCTTACTCCCTTCTTCAG